ATATTATAAATAGATCATAGTAACTAAACAGCTGATCCATTTTTAATAGACTCTATATGCTTCCTGACTTAAATCTGAAAAGCCCAGTCCAAGCCATCAGAAGCATCAGTTTCTATGCTACAAAAATCAACATGAAATTTGCTGTATATAAATACCACATTATATATATCAAATTTTTTCACTGTGAAAGAAAACTGGTTATCTTCTACTTCATGCAGACTCCTACAAAGGAAGAGCCATTAAATAGCTATAAGATAAACTAACTTAGTGGAATATAAGATTAGATACAGTGTATACCAGCCACTTTGACCTGAGAAAATGTTTCCCAAAACACTTTTCTAAGACTCTATTTTGCCTGCTTAATACAGTGGTCTAAAATTACTATTGCCAAATACCAGTGAAGGAAGAAAACACAAAACTCAGTAACATACAGACAATAAACACAGGATGACCATACTCCTATTTAAGGCTAAGTCCATGTGTGTGAATGTGCAACCATTCACACGTACATATGCAAAGGAGGAGCAAAATCATGGGGTCACTTCCAAAAGAGACAAAAATGTGACATATTTTAGCTATCTTCCCTAAACCCATGTAAAAGTCAGTCAATCCTTTTTCAGATGCAATCACCAATTTTTTGTTACAAGTTCAGTATTCAGTCACTAACACAAAGGTTTGTTGGCTGACAGGCTACACAGCAGGGTAGCTGTCCATGAATAAACTGCAGAAAGTACAGGACCTAAAAATACTTGAAACACTTGAATAAAACATTAGTAAGACATACAATGTTAGTTTGCATTACTTTCAGGACACAGATTTTCTGGTTTGGATACAAAGTAAAAACTGAAGTCCCTGGTTTAAAACTATCCATCTGGCTGAAACGCAGATTCAAAAAGAAAAAAAAAGAAGAAAAAAAGAAAGTACACTCATGATACACCATAGACACTCAGGTTTATCCAACTCCTTTGTACCTTGAGTCGAGCTTCTACTGAAGCCTTCTTACGAGCTTCCCTTCTGCGATACTGTTCCACTTTATCCAGCTGATCAGGACGCTGAAGCATTCCTGCTACCCTCTGAACAGCTGTTGCAACTGCTTCCCTATCCGTTTCCTCCATGGTTGATTAGGACCTCAGAATGCCTTCATTACTTAACAGGACTGAAAAGAAATAAAACATTTTTTAAAAGCCCACCTTTTTTCATTCTATGGCTATGTGACATTTCAAAGCTAACAACTGGAGAATTAACTTTGGCAAGAAAAATGGTGAAACTTGACAGAAGCATCATTAAACCACAACATAAAGAGAAGCAATTGGAATTCTACAAGAACTGCATTTAAAGGCACTTAACTCAGTCTCCTTAGCTGCCCTGCAATGTTTATTGTCGCTGTTTTTGCATTTACCTTGCTCTAAGTTTGAATTTTAAAAAAAAACCTAAAAAAATACCACCAAAAAAACCCACCACCACAAATCTTCATTAAAAGAAGGGATTCTATTTAATCCAGGGGTAGGCTAGCCTATTAAAGGGGTAATAAGACAAGCATAATTGAATCTTGCAGAAAGTTCAAGCAAATGTCCTAACTCATCCTGAACTACAGTTGGGTGGAGTTGAGAGAACCACAGCCCTCCTGCAGCAATAGGTTAATTTTGCTACCAAAACTGGGTAGAAACATAGGCAGTGGAAGCTCCAAACACAGAGACTTAACTATAGAGAACTTCCATTTAGGCTTCTGATGGATAATTTTTTATTTCCTCCTCTTGTTTTCAGTTTTTCTCACAGTATCAGCCCAGTCCATCAGGGGTGTAGGGAAAAGTTATTCAAGTATTTCACCTCAGTCTCCAGCAGAATTCCTAGTGAAGCCAAGACATGCAGGCAGACCAGTATGGGGAAAAGGTAACATCTGCTGTCCATCAAGGCAGACCTGTTCTCTCAAATTTCGTTAGCCACTAATAGAAAATAGGGAGGATCAAAGATGCAATACCATGGTGTCCACGGACCTCTGAGGAATGTATCTGGAGCTCCTCATTGCTTCAAATTATTTCCAACATTTTATGTCTTTAGCGTTGCAACCAAACAGAACATTTCAGGTTCTGCTGCCACAGCTAGAGATTATACTCTTTCATACCCATATTATTCCTGAAAATCAGATATCTATTTTCAGAACATTCTGCATTCATAAATCCAGTGCATCACTTAATTTCAGCAGAACAGTGATGTAAAGAACTGTGTAGAGTCCACCACAAAAATAAAGTGCTCTTCCTTTTTGCTGAAAGAGCAAAAGCAAGCAAACTCATGGGACAAGCGAAATTGATAAATGAAGGAAACATTGGGTGGGGGCACCCTACAAAACAACTGAAGCAAAGAAAAACCCTACAAAACAACTGAAGCAAAGAAAATTGCTCACCACTCCTCACAGGCAAACTAACGCTCCAGCCAGTCTCTGAATAATCACTACCCTGGAAACAAAACCCCCATATTTTTTGGCTAAGTATGATATTTACCAGGGAACTTCCCTTTGGACAGTTTGGGTCAGATGCTCCCACTGTGCCCTCTCAATCTCTGCCCACCCCCAGCCTACGTGAGGGGAGTGGAGGGCAGATTAGAAAAAAGAGAAAGGCTTCACACTGTACAAGCCCCCTTCAGCCACAGCCAAACACTGTGGTGTGAGCAGCACTTTTTTGCCACAAACCCAAAACACAGACTGTTGTAAAGAAAGTTAACTACATCCCAGCCAGACTCTGCAGAGCATTGGCAAAATTCCTAATGTTATAACTTATCATGGGTAAAGAGCGTTCCAGGCAAGGTTTGCCTGTGAGCTCTGTAAGAGCATAAATCTATGTCTCAAGTTCTGTATCTCTAGTACCTTCAAGAATTACATGCATAAGTATGAACTTAGTCCAGAGTTATGTCTAGTGTAAACTCCTGTCCCTCTTTACTACTGGCCTGGTTAACTCAAACCATGTTTGATTTCTTACTCTTCATCTAAACATCCAAGATCTACATTCATCACTTGTGTTTTGGAATGAATACTCCAGTTTCATTTGATTCAGTAAATTTCCAAGCTATAAGAGCTCTACCTAAAATTTTAAAAAAATGATACTTTTAAATATGAATTTACTACAGAAATTATATTCTGCAGCAGAGAGCTTTATCCTGAATTACTGCCCTTATTAAAAACTCTGAATACATCCCCAGAGTTACAACATCTTTAGCTCACACAGCCACTACCCAAGCATGTCAAGGAGACCTCGTCAGCAGAATCAGAAGCCAGCACACTGTAACTAACATGTCGAGGCAGACAGGCTCTTGTAGAACCACCCAAAAGGAACAGCAAACTTTAAGAAGCCACGTCAATTTCATACAGAAACTGTGAGTCAAAACTACATACATCTTCACCGCAAAATACAGGCAGAAGTGAACAAAACTACGTCCGAGCCGACTCGGGAAGGCTCCAGCTGCAATCACACCCTTCTCCTGGGGACCCAGCTCCAGAGGCGAGCCAGCGGGGGCGACAGGCTCGCAGGGGAGGCCGCTGTCCCCGTGCAGAGGAGGCCCCGCTGCTGCCGAGGAGCGCAGCGAGCCCTCCGAGCGCAGCTCGGGGAAAGCGGCGGCGGCAGCCCCACACCCGCCCGGCTCCTCCCTGGCAGCAGTGGCTCAGCTCGAATCGTTCGCACCGACGCAGGTGCCGTCCGTGCCGGGCAAAGGCCGGAGACCTGCCCGCGGGCACGCCGAGCTCCTTCGCCCTCCGCCGCGGCCCCGGGACAGGACGAACCCTCAGCACCCCCTTCGGCCCCGCCACCCCGAGGGGCTCCCCGCATCGCCCCGGCCCATCCCGCCCCCCACCCCCTCGGCTTCCCACAGCCAGACCGGGGTCCCTACAAGCCGCGACAGCCCGGCAGGGGCCGGCGCGGCGGCGCTCACCGGCCGACAGCGGCGGGGACGGGGCGAAGAGGGCGGGACGCGCGGCCGCACTTACCGGGGCCGCGGCCGCCCCTGCTCGGGAAGGCGCTGACAGCCCCCGGTGCGCCGGCGCACGCCCGGCCGCGCACGCGCACTGCGCTGCCGGCGGCACCGCCTCCTCACCCGCCTCTTCCTTTTTTTTTTTTTTTTTTTTTTTAACAGTGGTTCTGTAAAGGGGCGCAGTGTGTGCTGCTGGGGCCTCATTCAAAGTCCCCGAAATAGTTTTGAAAACAAACAAACAAACAAGCCAATAAAAAAAACTTCACGGCTCCTGTGAGACGCTAAAGCTTCGTGTTGGAGCGGTTGCCTACTGCAGTGGGGAAAAAAAGGAAGCACACGGAGTGATTTCTTCACGGGGGGAGTTGTTAAGTGTTGGAATGGGCTGCCAAAGGGAGGTGGTGGAGCCACCGTCCCTGGAGGTGCTCAGGACATGACTGGATGTGGCTCCGTGCCATGGTCTGCTTGACACGGCGGTGTTGGGCCAGCCTGGGGGGGCTCGATGACCTCAGAAGTTTTTTCCAGCCTAACTCATTCTGTGACTCCGTAATGAAAATGGATAAGCTGGCTAAGCTGCGCTTCACGCCGTGCCTGTAGATCCCTGTGGAAGCTGCTTATCCCGGCAGAGGAGAAGGGGAGCTCCTCACCCAGCCCGCGGTGCGGGCTTCTCCTCACGCCTTGCCCAGACCGCAGGGCGCTGCCGTGCCAGCCAGGGATGTGTCAGGAGTTCTCACCACCCAGCCCGCGGTGCGGGCTTCTCCTCACGCCTTGCCCAGACCGCAGGGCGCTGCTGTGCCACCAAGGATGTGTCAGGAGTTCTCACCGCCACCGCCCCTGCCTCGGCGCCTCACAATCGCTGAGGCTCCGGGTTTAATGTATATGTAAGAGAAAACTACGGCGCCCTTTAAAAGACAGGTGGTTAAGAAAGCTTGCTGAATGCGGTGGGAAACGGGGGCAGGCGAGGCTCGGCTGGGGGCTGGGCCGCTCCAGGGGTTTGTGTAGCGGTTGCCATGGCGGTGCCAGCGGCTCCAGGGCCCGGCGGGGACCGCCGGCGTCAGAGGCCGCCCGGGACTCGGCAGGGCGGCACTGCGCTGCGGGACCTGCGCCGGCAGGAGCTTCCGAAGGAGCTTAACCTGTCCCCCAAGGCGTGAGTTCCCACCTGCGGCACTCTGACTGGAGAAAAACTGTAGTTATGCAATTAGAAATAAAGTTTTGGTAACGGGCACCCTTGAAGAAGATTTTTATCGTTTCGAAAACTGCTTAGATCTTCTCTTTTTTAATCACCGACTGAAAGTAGAGGTATTTTCCCCCCCTTTCTTTGCTAGTCTATCATATTGTTGCTGTAACAGGGATAAAAATACTGAAGGTGTCTTTATTGCAATGTTAGCTGTGCAGTCATTTTATGTATTGTTGGTTTAGGTTGATTTTTCTGGGGTGGTGCAGATGGAGGAGACTGTAGGAGGTGAAACCGAGTTAGGGGGACAAGACGAGCCCAGCTCCTCTCATGGTCACTCTGCACAGCAGGAATCAGAGCAACTGAGAGCAACACAACTTTCTTCTAAACCTCATATTGATCTCTGTCCACCTCTCATTGCTATAAAAAAAGGTAAGGGAAAAAATGATGAGTACTTCATGTCAGCTTTGTATGGGAAAAAAAATCTAGGAAGAAAAATGAGAAACCAAAAATCAGGTAGAATGTTTAAGTTTGTATATACTGGGTGCTATTCTGAATCTGCCAGTGTAGGGACTGTGTGTGCTGAGTGTGCAGTTTCCAGCTTTATAAATAAATATTTACATATAAATAAACAAATGCATATATGTTTATATATTCATGTATAAATATATTTTTAACACACACATATGTATGTATATGTATATATATGTGTGCATATATATATATATATGCATCTACAGGGTCATCCACAGCAAATCTGATACTGTAGAAGATTTCCTAGTGTTGAATCACAGTAACATGATTCAAACCATTTTTATATATATATATGCATGTACAGGGTCATCCACAGCAAATCTGATACCGTAGAAGATTTCCTAGTGTTGAATCACAGTAACATGATTCAAACCATTTTTTAAAAATTAAAATGAGTAGTAGTCCACAATATAGTGTACTTTATAATATGACAGATAATATGGTATGTCTTTTCTGGAATATTTTAACAGTGGTAACAGATTAAATTAGTTGGTTCAAAGGTTATTGAACATAGCCATCTACCTCTGTGCCTGTGGGTGCATCCCTTACTTATGTCCACTTTGCTTATGTATTCACTGACCTTGTGAAAGAAGATCATGTTAGATAGTACTGAATAAATAAATATTCATGGCAACTCAGAGAGGGGTGTTAGGCCTCGGGGAAAGCTAGAAGGGCAACAAGGAGAACTAAAGGCTAGTTGGTCTCACCTCAGTCCCTGGGAAGGTGGTGGGGCGATGAATCTCGTATACCATTTCCAGGCATCTGAAGAACAAAAATGTGAATGGGGGTAATCAGCATGCATTTAGCAAGGGAAGAAATGTGAACAACCTCATTTCCTTTTGAAATGAAATTATTGGTTTGGTAGGTGAGGGGAGTGCAGTGACTATGGTCTGCCTTTTCTTCAGTAAGGCTTTTGACATTCTTCTGTTGAGAATTTTTTATTGTTCCCCTTGAGGTGAGTTAGACACACATTTGTGCTGAAATATAGAAAAAAATAATAAACAATGCATTGAACAGTCTTAAAACCATAACTGATTCTACAGGAAGTCTGCAAAGATGCTTCTTGAAGCAATTCCTTATATACACTTGCACCAGCACAGTCCTGTGAGCATCAGCATGAAGCACCTCAGCCCAGCCTTGGGTCCATCCCCCAGCACCAGCTCTGCTGCCCAAAGGTAGATTCTGAGCCAGGCATTCCAGGATGGCTACAAGAAAAAGCTGTGGCTGTTTCTTATCACCAAGGGAAACTATACTCCCTTACAAGGGATTGTTCTGCCACTTGTATTCCTTCCTGCTTCCAGCCAGCTTAACCCCTTCTGCAGCTGGACCTTCTTGCTCTCTATGCCAGATTGGTCCTGGGTTACAAAGTACTGCTGATGAGCAGTTACAATTTAAATTTCCCCTTTGCTCCTGTAATATTCTCATAGAGAAGCTATGGAAGTGTGGGCTGTCTGAGCAGAAAGTGAGATGGATTGAAAACATTGAACAAGCTCAGAGGGTGGTGATCAGCAGCACAAAGTGTGGCTGGAGCCCAGAAGGTAGCAGTGTACTCTGGGGGTCCAGTCCTGTTCCACATCTTCATTAATGATCTGGATGATGGGGCAGAGGGAACCCTCAGCAAGGTTGCTGAGAACACATAAAAGGGAGGGTTGGGCAATGAATCAGAGGGTTGTGCTGCCATCCAGAGGAGCTTAGAGAGGCTGGAGAAAATTCCTGCACGTGGGGATGAACAACATGCAACAATACTAGCTGAGGGCTGAACAGCTGGAAAACAGATTGGCAGGAAAGAATCTGAGATTCCTGGTGGACAGCAAGTTGAACATGAGCCAAGAATGGTTCTTGTGACAAAGGAGGATGATGATACCGTGGGATGGATAAGGAGTATTGCCAGCAGGTTAAGGGGGATGATCCATCTTCTTCATTCAACACTGGTGAGGCCTGACCTGGAGTAGGGTGTCCAGTTTTAGGCTTCCAAATACAAGAGAGACATGGGTATATGGGCAGAGTCCAGTGAAGGGCCATGAAAATGATGAAGGCAGTAGAGAACCTCTCTTGTGAGGAAAGGGTAAGAGCTGGTCCTGATGGGATTTTATCAACCCATGTAAATGCCTGAAGGGACTGTGTAAAGATGAGGTGTACAGAAGACAGAGACAAGCTCTTCTCCATGGTGTCCAGTGATGGGACCAGAGGCAGTGAATGGTGGAAACTGAAGCACAGGAGGTTCTCTTCGAACATCAGGAAACACTGTGAAGGTGACCGAGCACTGGCCCAGATTGCCCAGGGAGATTATGGAGTCTCCATCCTTGGAGATACTCAAAAGCCATATGGAAACTGTCCTGGACAACTTGCTTTAAGTAACCCTGCTTGAGCAGTATCCCTTCCAAGCCCAACCATTCTATGATTCTGTATATGATACATATTAATTAGGTGAAAAGAGATGCAATTTGATAGAAAATTTATATGGAAATCAGTGCTATTAGAATTCAAGTTTTAGTCACAATCTTATTATTTATATAAAATAGAGTAAACAGTAATTCATGGAAGTTTGGTGAACTGCTCATAAGCATTACTGCATGCTCCACTGGAGATCTTATTTGCTGCCAATGATGGGATGTAAATATCATTTTTTGAGAAATAAAATTATCTCATTTTCTCCAGTATGAGAAGACATTAGCTAGCAAATATGAAGACACAACAGTCTTGTAAATGCATTTGTTGTACTTGAATAATTAGAACTTGTAATTTCTTTTAACTAGAGACAGAAAGCAAGTATCATAGACATGGAGGGAACCTGAAGACAGGGAGCAGCGAGCTAGGATCTGCTGTCACAGGATCATCTCTGACTACTGTTCTTCCGGCAAGTGTTTTTGTTCTAAAGCAGGTGGTGACTCAACTGCCTTTTGTCCACTAAATGTTCTTCTATATAGATTTTTCTTTAAGTCTTCACTGACAAAAGCTTGTCTAATATTGAAGCATGCTGAGTTCCTTCAAGTCTCTTTTAATTGCAAGGAAAAATAAATAGTGAACCACTCAAAAGTGTCTGCAGTGTTAGGGCACTGATTTTCTGTTCTCATAATGTGTGTTGCTCAGATTTTGGGTTCTTTGACATATTTTTTTTTTTTATCATCCACTGGTTAATACTCTTCCTTTGCCATTATGAAAATGAATGTTGTTTGAGAATATTTGAATAAGGTCATACTGCATTGGGGAAGACATATGCAAAAAAGAGATCCAGTTGTTGACATGGAAACAAGAGATGACAAAAGACTGACACAGATGAGTTGGAAACTACACGGTGAATCACAATTAGCTTTTAGAGATATCAAAAGGGTACTGACCAACAGCTACAGATATTCAGACTTTGTCACTGTCTCCTGGTCTCTAAGAAGTGCAGGTGGATGGCAAACATCCATTCAGATTCTGTGGTAAGACCAAATGGTACGAAGCAAAGGTGCAACTTGGCCAGCTTCCTTGTTTTTTAATCCAAGAGTAGGAATGATTAATTGCAATTCCAATTAGTGTAGAGTACGGGGAAGTGGTATAATTTATCTTTTTTTCTCTCCAGCAAAAACTATAAGGTACAGAGACACTTCAGACATTTCCAAACTCCAGATATTCCTGTCAGTGGGAGTTGTGTGTAGAGGGAAATGATCTGTGTTGTTACTTATTTACACAAGTCTTTAGTTTTCCATATAGCTTCCGAGGATTTCCTGTTGACTTAAAAATGTTAGCCACCACATCTATTTTCAGTCTTGTTCACACTGATAGGACGATTTTGAAAATCCTTCTTTTACATACATCTCCCTCTTTATAATTGCGGTGCTACCTTTATATGATCTGTACATTAATCATCAAATGTATATTTATTCCTGCATTTACTGATTTTATAGTGATTCGGTTTATTTATTTCCTTTAGGGTAATAACTTGATACTATATATTAAAATGCAGGCAGTGTAGAGATTGATCCCAAATCTGGAATATGGACATAGAGAAGTTTGGAACCTGGATTCACAAAGCTGAGATTTGAATGAGAGCTCTTATAGTGCTACACTTGTGTTGTGACCTTAGCATGAATCCACATTTGGTTCTGAGATCCTGGAGTTTCATATATGTAGTTTTCATAGCAGCTTTATATTGAGAAATAATTCTGGTTTAGCAAGTTAATAATCTTTTTCCTGTACATTCCTTAAATGTAATTTTTTCATGTTCCTGCTAATATGTAGTTTATGAAACCAGCTTAAAGATCAACAATATAAAATACAATCTTTAAGTGAGGAAAAATAATCTTTCTATAACAAACTTCTATTTTGTAGTCCACTGATAAGAAAAGTAAAGTACTTTCCAGTGAAAGCAGAAAAGAACTAGCCAAGCAAGCCAGAGTAACCAAAGAGGAGAGAAGAGCTCACATAGATGGAAGACACAGGTATTTGATATCAAGATTAGCAGATGGGATAGACTTGAGTGAACAGCAAGTGGAGGAGGCTATTATTTCTGATGACAAGGTAAATACTGATTTAATTGTTATTACAAGAAATATTTCCAAAATCTTCAGTGATTTGAAGCTATCTCACAATTACCTACAATCGCTTTTTTTTTTTTTTTTTTTTAGTTTCAACTAATAGAACAATTCTTTGCCCCTAGTGGACTTAAAAAGTTGCTCTTCTTTTACCAAGATGTATTGCAGGTATGTTTTCGTTATTGCTTCTGCAAAAGCTAATTTGCATTTAAAAAAAAAAATCACATAACTGTTGCAGAATTAAAAAAAAATCTTAATGTATTTTTTGTTTTGCTATTTATGCCAGTGTGGAAAGAACTTGAACCTCATTGTTTAAATACTTCCATCTTGACTTACATGGAAATTGCAGCCTTGTGGTGTAGTTTGATACTGTTCTTGTTTTCATGAGAGGAAACTTAAAAATGGCCAAGTAAAAAATCAGATTTCAAAAGTGATAGAGATAATTGAGACAAAGTGTTCATAATGAGAGGAAACTTAAAAATGGCCAAGTAAAAAATCAGATTTCTCTATCAGATAGAGATAATTGAGACAAAGTGTTCATGGTAATCAGTGTTTAAAATACTAGATTAGCTAGCATAAGTATTATAGGAATGGGGGAGCTGTTTATATAAGAACCAGTTTATTTTCTTTTGGTTTGAACTGCACCAACTCCATTATGGACAAAGCACTCGTTCAAGGGGGTGAAAAATGATGCAATTTCTTTCTAAATTAAGGTGGCATCATATTCTGGTCTGTCCTATTCTGCAGAAAAAAAGTTTGAAAAATTGTGACTAGAAATAAGGTAGTTGTGGCCCCCAAGTTGTAGTTTTCTCCCTTTACGTTTTGAGAAGGAGAAGCCTCTGCATAAAGAGTGAAAGAATTTGTTTAGCTTCCACTGAGTATGTGATATCAGAAGGTGCCAAGTGACCTTGGCATTGCCTAACACAACTGTTGTGGGCTTCCAGAACTGCAGAAGTCCTTCATCAGTCCTTTCAAATTGTGCCAGTGAGGAGCCGTGGTAGGGAGAGCTAATTCACCCTGTGGTGGTATTTTGGGCTCGTTGAGGAGAAAAACTCCTCAACTGATAATTCTTGATCATCAGTTAAATGCAGAATGAATTACAGAATCATTATAACCTAGATAAATGAAAAGAACTTTTGAGTGTTACTGGAATTGCTTAGAGACTTTGCAAAGCACAGAATGAACTCTGCTGTCAAAACAGTTTAATCAGTTTTTCATTACACTGGGACTAGGCATGCACATTTCTGGGATGAATATCTTGTTCTCTGACTTAAATCAAGATGAAACTAAAAATCTTGACACTATTTTCCTTAACTGACAAATCAGGAATAAATGCCTAGCCTGGGTTAAATGAAACATTTCATTGCTGCATTTAATTTTGTTTTATTTTGACCCTTTTAACCATTAAAAAAAATTGTGAGAGTTCTGTTTCAGAAGCAGCATAGCATAAAAATGTTTCTGATGGACAGTATAAATGCCATCTCTAGCATATTCCACCTCATTCTGATGAATTAAGAGATCTCGTTAATTTGACTGTTCTGTCAACAATTTGATTTCAAGCACGTTGGAGAATTGAAGTTTACTCAAGGGCAGTATTACATGTGCTTGCCCTGTTGTTCTTGGAAACAAAATACTGAGCAGGGCAGACTATTGGCCTGACTAGTAGGCATGTGCTTGCCAAGGTTTATCAAAGATCCTTTCTTTGCTGCTTCTCATCTCTTCATCTCTCTTTTTCACTGTCTTAGATGCATGATGTTCCCTTGAAACCACGTGCACATGCTGATTTGTGGTGGAAGTGAGGAGCCACCCCTGTATATCACACATTACATGTTCAGTCTAACAGGAGCTGAACACTTGACTTCCTAGAAAGACTCTCCTCAGCTTTAAAGAGAAATATACCTGCAAGCTTGTCCCATATTTTTTCTCTGTCACATTCTTCCAAGTTTCAACAGATTATTTTCCAAAATACATGACACATAATTAGAGGGAAGCAGGTCTTTATTAGGTTTAGGCTTTATTACAAAGAGAAGAGGTTAAAGATACATGTCAGTGGAGAGGGACCAGTGCCAGCAAGGCTTCCCTGGCAGAAAGTTTTTCTGTGATGTCTGGTTAAAGAAATGGGCAGAAAGCTAAATTTATTTGCATTGTTGACAGGATCTAGCTGATGGCATTGCTTGTGAGTCCCATTCACTGTTACATTTTGACTTTGCAGACCAAGCATATGATTGTTTCTGTGAGACATTCAGTTTGTTTTCATAGAGGAAGTTTCAGTAGGAATCACTTCAGATTTAATTTTGTTTTCTTTTCTGAGACTTTTCTCCCTCCTTGTATTTGTTGTTGTTTTTTGGTTTTTCTTCCCTGAAAGAATGGGTCTGTAAAACTGTTTACTGGGATTCAGGCAAAACTTATTCTCTAGAGAATGCAAACCTCATGATTTGTACCTGGGAATTACAAACTGAATCAAAATGGACTTAGTTATAATTCATATATTCAAATGGAGGAAGTATTTGTATTATATAGTTTTTACTTTATTAACCTCTTATTTATATTTTAATTGCTAGCAAATGTCAAATGCATCATTAAGGCCAGATGGGTCAACGAACAATTTGCCTCAGAAGAATTTATTTATTGCCATGGGTTCCACTGAGGTATGGTTGAAAAAAATCCTTAGATGACATTTAAAAAGTAAAATATTGAAAAGGCTTAACTGTTCTGCAGTGTTATACAGTTTTTTGTAATCCTTGGATAGATATTTAAGTACTTAGTCCCTGTTCTTGTAATGGAGGGTCTCCCAGCATTTCTTGAGCTGAGGTTGGCCTTCATCAGTAAAGTAGTGATTTCACGATCTGAGAGGAGAGCAGGTCAAATAAATCCTTGTTAAAAATTGAAGATCCTAACAATTTTTTAATGACTGCATGTTAAGTGTTTTCCAGGGCTTGTGCACTTCTAGTTTAGAAGTGCAGTTCTTCAGTGGTTTTCTATGCCCTTTCATATAATAACACTGCACATTACTCAAAAAATACCTTTAATAAATCCTTTCTTCCATTCAAATTCTTATAATAATATCCTCCCTGTGATATCAAGCATTAGTCAACAGCACATTCAGAGTAATCATTAAGATTTTTGATTAATTTTTATTTTTTTCCATCTCTTTTGGGGGAAATTGCTCTTCATATACAATGGTCTTTGAATATGGCCTGGTGATGCTTTGGTTTTCATTTTTGTTCTTATTGTTGTTGTTTCTTCTCAGCCCCAAAGAGCTTATGGCAACACTGTAATGCCAGAAAAGACATAGCAGAAAAATTCTTTCTTGCTTTCAGGGGCAAAGTGAGTTTCATTCCTCTGCCAATTGGGCCAACTAGAACGGATTTTCAAATTTGTTGCAGTTGAGTTTTTATTAAGTTTAAAGGATCAATACACAAAATAAACATCTTTCAAGTACAATAACAAGAAATAGCCTAGCTCACAAACTCTCCCTGTACTGCATTTTCTTAGGAGAGGTGCAACATTGCACCAGTCTGTCCAAAAGGAAATTTTTGGCATTCTAGAGTCAGACAGGGAAAAAACAGTATTTGATTTGAGAAGGACAGATTTTCAAATATCCTGCAAAGAGTTTCACTATCTCTTTTAGTAATTGATTTTTTTACAGTTTTGTTTTCAGCACATTTTTAGGGTAGGTAAATTTTAAAGTAAAATACTTTTATTGTATATTTGTGTTCTTTTTAACTGTATGCATTTGGTCCTATTTCCAGGACTTTACAGGAACTTGTGCATTTTTCCTAAGAACATCAGATGAAGTTATAACTGCATCAAATGTCTCTCAGGTCAGAGCGAACTCATGCAGTATTCACATGTTCATATTTTCTCAGACCTTTTTTCATGCAACTGGAGTCAGAAAAAAATGGGGAATGCTGTCATTAAAATGTCTAGTTTTATGGTTAACAGAAGGTCTTTTTCATAAGAGTAAGAATTTGTGATAAAATAAAATTCCAATAATTTATAAATTAGCTACTGCAGTATTATTAAAACCCATGAATTTAATTAATACAAATAATTATTAATTAGTCAATAAAACATAAAATTTAATGGCATTAGGGAATAAGAACCTAAAACGGAAGATTTTATTTTAAGTATTGAGCCTGAATTATTGAAATGCTGCACTTAAACTGTATCTTTTAGACTTTTAAAATAAAGATAATTTTGAAACTAACATAAGATTTTCCAGCCTCTCATAGTTTGTTGTGTATAAAAAAATACAGTTAACAGCCTTTTCTGACTTTCAGAGATACTCATGTTGCACAGTTATGGACTGTGAATGTGTCTGCCACATATCTAAATTTCACTCAAATAGTGTAATGCTGCAGAAGTTGACATGCATTGCGCTAATTTTTGTTTCTTCCCAAAGGAGGTGAATTTTGGCATGTTTGACTGTACTAATGGAAATATTCTTCAGGGCCTGGAATTCTTCCTGTCCCAGATCATGATACCAGCACTGAAATCCCAACAGGTAATCAAACAATCAGTCTTTTTCCTCAAGAATACATGGAAGTAAGGCTTGTGGCTGCTGCAATTCTGTGCATCTGTTGGACCTAGAACACAGGATATAAGAAGATAAAAGTCTAATATAGGCCTTTATGAGAGTAATGCAATTTGTACATATACAAATGTTTGAAATTCATGTAGCTACTCTTTATTTTCTAGCAATAGTGCCAGCTTTAATTATTGTGACAAAGGAGAACACAGCAACCATACCGAGGTAAAGCTGTGATGACTTTATGAAAACTAGATTAAACCTGGATTGTAAGAAGTGTCCAGTCTTGGCAGCACAAGGGATTAGTCCGTGACTTTATTCTTGGAGCATGGACAGCATGAACACTGTTGTATTCACTTCTTTGAGTTGTCCTCATTCTGTGGCACTTGTAAAGCATCAGTTTGTTCAGGGTCCTTGGAAGCACACGTTCAGAGGTGGCAAGTACAAAGAAGCTCACTGTGTGCTGAGAATGATGGTGTTGTATGCTGCTGCCATACGCTGTCATTTTCTCTCCCCAGGAGCAGAAAGGGACTTTAGAGTCTGTTGTCTCTGTTCAGAAGGAGAAAAATAAAGCTAAACAAAATACAGTTCAGTGTGAAATAAGTAACAGCTGACTTCAGAGTCAAGTCAGAGACTTTTACTTCTTAGAGTCTCATGCTTGTCTGTCTCTTCTTGTCTTACTGAGTAATTAAATCAATGCACACTAAAGTATTGATGAGTATATTTTAAAGGTCATGTTGATAAATCTTTCTATACTGCCATGAGTAATGAAGCTTTTCTAATGAAAAATACCTTTTGTGGTCAGGAAAAAAAGTAAGCACAACCCTCACTTTTTTATTTTTGCATAAATCATAAAATAATCAGAACTGGGGAGCTGTGAAAGAAGGCTTGAAGAGCAAACAGATACAAGACTTTCTGTATGCAGTGGATAAATTTGTGGGTACTTTGTCATCATCTAGACAGAATATAGAAGATAAAATTCAGCTCACAAAAGTGGATATTGATGTTTATGTCAGAAACTTACAGAACCCATCTGACTACATAACTGCAGGTGAGTAATTCCTACACCAAAGCAAACAAAATGAAGCTGTTTATAAAATAAATGTTATAAGTAAAAATTTACTTTGAAGAATTAATTCATTTTCCCTGAGCTGTTTACATTTTTCTGCTTACTCTTGCCAGGTTTGTGATTGTTTAATTATAAGACCATCAATCATTTGCCCATATTTTAGTTCATAGATCTTAAAGAATTAGGTAGTTGCTTGATATATCATGCAAGCTGGTGTCTGAATCTCTCTTAGTTTACTAGCCAAGTACTAGCTGAGTGAATCCATATACTAGTGTGTGTACTATTCTCTTTGTTTGATACTGGGAAATTCCTATCCAATGTTGTCTGACTCTGTGAATAAAACCACCAGTATTTATAAAAAAAATTACTTATTTACATATATGTTTTTGTAAGAAAAAGAGTAGTTATGTCTCTTTCAACAATAGCTTTTTACCATTTCTCATGAACTCACCATATTTCTGTTTCCATTGTAAAGGATATGCAATAGTAACAGAGTAGGTAGACACAATCATTATATATGTGCACCTTGTTGTTACAGTCGTAATCTTTTCCTGCTGGTTGGTGATTCAAATATACAGAATTTACAGAGGCTCAGGTTATGTTTGGCAAGAACATAGGCTTCTCTAGTTTAAATTTCTGTATTTATTTTTTGGTGCTTATAAAACTGTCCAATTCTATGTTTTTGAAGGCACTAACAGAGAGGTCACCGAGAAACTTGAAGAAGTGGTCATGATTTGGACCAAACAGATTAGACAAGTTTTAGTGGAGAGTGAACAGATTAGAAGAGAAGCTGATGATGTTGGTCCATCTGCAGAGCTGGAACACTGGAAGTCAAGAATGTCATCATTTAACAGGTGAAATCCCTGCATTATTTCTCACAGAGGCCTAAAAAAAAAAAAGGATTAAAAAAAAGTGTAAACTTATATTCCAGACAGAGAGAAAAAAAAAAAAAAAGGATTTTAAAAAAATAAGTGTAAACTTTTTTTATTCCAGATAGAGAGTATTAAGTATGTTTCTTTCTTCAAAGCCTTTTAGATGAGATCAAGAGTTCAAAAGTAAAGAAAATTATAAGTATTCTTCAGGCAGCAAGATCAAAGACATTACAGCAGTGGAAGGAACTGGTAATTACTACTTTCTAATTAGAATTTTAAATTATTACAGTACTGTATTGTGATATATAGAGAACTGAACACAATGCTAAAAATAAAAATAACTTTGATTGTTTATGCTGGTTTTACACTGTGGTTTATTATCCATTTGTTGGAACATATAGCATCAATGATCTTGAAATTAAATAGATAACTTGAAAAGAATTCAGTGCTTTTGTAATGTTGCTTTTATTAACATTATAAGTGGAAAGGTTGTGCAAAAGTAAAGGAGTGCAGCAACACAGCATTTTTCTGTCTCTGACAAGCTGAACCCTGTGCAGGCCAGCTGTAGAAGTCTGAAAGTCCTTTGTAATGCTTTTAGAGTTGTTGAGAGTAGACTTCTAGTGGCATAACTGCTACTTCATAGGAATGGATATCTGTAATGTCAACTTATCAGGCACAATTGTGGGCAAGCCAGAAAATAAGCTGTAGATCATATACAGTCAATGAGACCCCCACCCACTCCCACCCCCAGAATGTAGGTCTTCTACTGCTTAAGAAAGTATTCTACTCTTTTAAGAAGAGACTAGGAAAAGTTTTTGATTTTGTGATTACCATATTTGCAGACTTTTATGGTAAATGGAATTTGGATAATTGAAAATATCCGTACAGAGCCAGTAAGAGTCAAGGATGATGAACTACATTTCTTTCTTCCTATGAACTAGCCCTCTAAGTAGTGAATAGTTCCACCTGACACGAGCATAAGGATGTACAGGCATTAGTTGTGAAATCATTGTCCCTCACAAGTGTTTGTTAAACAATGTTGGGAAACACCCTGGTAACATTTCAGGGGTCTTGTCTAAGTTCTGTAGAATGGTTCCTCTGCAGAAACCATTCTGAAGTCTAAGTTGGATCCATAAGGAGGAAAAAGCTTTGCAGGTCTAAGTAAGGACTTCCTTTAAACCATATCCAAAATGTTGCTGACCTTGGAAGTTCATAGCAATTTTTGCATGTAGAAGCAGTTGTTTCTCTTGTGAAAAATAAATAGCATATTTGAAAACACTTCTGTGGGAAAGTGTTTGTAAGATTTAATCATAGCCTTGTGTGCTGTAAAAGAGAAAGAACCTGCTCAGAAAATTTTCACAGTAATAATTCTATTCCTTTCTTTTTTTTTTTCCTCATCCCTTCAGGACAGTAGTATAACAATTGCTGCCAATGAAGCTAAGGACAATGTGAGATATTTATATACATTGGATAAATTTTTTGGTCCACTTGCCCACGCTTCACCTGTAAGTACTGTAAAGGCACTTAATGTGAAATTCAAAGAAGAAAAGAAGGGCTTTTGTTGATGTGAAAAAGCTATTTTTCCTTTTAATGTTTAACTCTTTCACTTACTTATTAGTGGACAGCTTAATTCCTTAGGCATTAGTTAATTGTGCTTATTAATTTTGAATTAATCAGATAATAATAAAAATACCTTTTTTTTAAAGTAGTCATCATTCCAGAAGATAGTTGAAGGATATGAAAATAATAAGCATCAGATTGTGTTTTTCTTAACCCGGTAATGATCTGAATTGCCTTTGTGAGCTTGGGTCTCACATACGGCAGCTCTTCTGTCTGTATGCTTTAGTTAGGAATTACTTGGGATTGTTTTATTGCAAAAGTCATAAAATTATCTTAAACCTTGGGTTGAGCTGAAATTGGCCAGCTTCCACTTATTTTGCAGGTTAAAGCTCTTTCTCTTGTAGGATGCACTGTCAATAAAATTAATTTTCATAACCATATGGGTCTCAGAGTTCATTTTTTAAAGTGAGAATATGATTTTTAACTATACAGGCATTAGATAAAATTGTGTAAGCTTGCATAGTTCAGAACATTTACACATAATCCAGCTGGTAACAATTTTTCTAAATTATATTTTCAAAGCTTAATCTCTTTTGAATCCATTCTGCTATTTTACACTGCACTTCTTTTGCAAATATTCACTGTTCTGACATATTGGACTTGACTTTTAGACACCTTTGCCATACTTTTTTTATTCTTTTCTAGACCAGTCTCTTGTTCTGGGTTTCAGTGTATCTGGCTTGCATTAATTTCTCTGAAATATTTCTGTGAGACAGAAAATTCACTTTTACTGGACACTAGTTCAGTGTCCAGTAAAGGTGAGATTCTTTTTGCCTTGCTTCCCCCTTCTGGATTTCTCTTCTGTATAGACCTAGACAAAATGAGCAAAGGCCAACTTTCTTGTTGTCTTTCCTACAGAAATCCAGCTCTTTTCCAGCAGTGTATGAGCTCTTTTCTTCAGGCAGTATATTCCTCTGCAAAGCAGATTGCAGCACCTTCTTATACTAGAGGCCATGGCCAAGCAGAGTAGAGCCTCTGGTTTTCCTGTGGAAAATCACAATCTGTAAAAGACCTATTCACTTATTCATTGTCCTTTTCCCATGCGTTTTGACTTGGTCAAGGTGTGATAGTGAATTAGATGGTCCATTTCATAATGACAAAAACCACAAAAATATCTATGTCCACTGATAAACATATTCCCACAGCTGTCACACTTTTAATTGTGTTAAATTTCAGGAAACTCTGTCTTTCTGTCTGACTTCTTTCTGATTTCTGTCTTTCCCCTTTTTCTTTTTTTCTTTTTTTTTTCTGTTATAGGTAACAGTGATGGAACACATTCCCAGCTTAATGAACATTGTCTTTATGATCTACTGTACATCACCGTACTACAACACATCAGAGCACATGACATCCCTGTTTCTTAAAATCACCAATCAAATGATTAACACATGCAAGACCTATCTATGTGAAGGGGTTTCAAAAATCTGGGACCTGGACAGGTGATGGAATTTTAATAATTTCATTTTCTGTTGTTGACATTAGAAGTAAAATTACAGATTAATCATCAAGATGATTAATAGGTAAATTTAAGTAGCCCTTTGTCCTCCTACTAGTCACTGATTCCTGTGATAATTTTAAGTTGGCGGCTACTAATTCTGTGTAGAAGTAAGTACTCTGCAAAAACTAATTTACAATGTGTTTTGAAAAAAACTGTTCTTGGAAACTGCAATATATGCTAGTATGCGACATTGGATATATTGTCCACACAGACTTTTTTAGACCAAAACACACTTAAGAAATTTGAACTGGGAGCTGAAATACTTGATAAAACAGGTCCAAGGACAGACTGACAAAGTTCCATCCAAGATTTTTATTTTGCTGTTACTGGACATGAAAGTCAGTTTTAGGAAGGGAACAATATATAGTAGGGCCAAAACTACAACTCAGTTGTATTGTGGTACGTTTCAGGGAAAGGATGAGTTAGCTGCTCTACAGCTACTTGCCCAAGTGCTACACTCAGCATAAGTGGAAGCACAGAGGTGTTTGTATGAAACTTATTCATTGGGTGGTAAATACTGATGTCATTGGCAGAACAAGTGTGTCTGAAGGATGACAAGTGCAGGTAATATAGGAAGAACATATAGAGCAGGTCAATTATTTTCATGCAAAAAAAGAAGGGGGAAACCACAGAGAGAAGTTAAGATGAACATGACATCTGAAGTTGCCAACTAGGAAATTAATAATTTGAATAGTCTTTTGGAATAGTCTAACTAGAATAACATTGAGGGTATTGACATGAAAAGGAAAAGGTGTTACAAGCTTCATCAAAGCAGATAGTCAGCATGTCTGTGGTTAACTTTCAGCCAAGTCAAAGTGACACTGAGGTGACAGGTTAGGATACATAAAAGTAAATCTAACAATTTTGATTCCTCCTGTATTTTGGTGTTGATAAATGGAATTTTTCAGAAATTACTTGTAGTCAATTAAGTACTGGTTATGTTTATTCTAAAGAGTTAATGTAAGTAAAAGTAGAATAGTTCTTTTTTGTTTATTCTAGCTGAATTTATTTTAAAGACATTCTTCTCATTTATTTAATCGCTATCCCTGCAAAAGTTTGTCCCAGTTAATGGTTTCAGCCTGTAAATTTGACTATAATTTTAATCCCCAATAATCTTTTGGAAGATGAAAGACAAAGCCAAAGTGGAGGAACAGCTCTGGGCAAATGGCTTATGGCTGGTTTCCATGCCTCATCTATGCATCTCATGTGGCACTTTCAGGGTTAATGAACAATTGTGTGTAAGATGTAACTATGTGTGCCCTTAGGAACTAAATTCTTCCTGGTATACCTTTTTAAAGAAACAGGACTCTCCTCATCTTCATTTCAGTGTGGAAAAATACTTCTCCAGTTTTGTCTGCTTAGGAAAAAAACCCCAAACAAACAAAGGAAAACCAATCAGCAATACTCAGATGAGGAATGTGCAACTGCACAAGATGAGGAACTTGCAAACTGCAAGCATTTGGTAGCCAGCATTAACCTGTTATACATCCTTTGTGGACTAGGACGTGCAAGTTTTGGATTGATGACAACAAAACCCAAGATAAAAATATCCAATCTAGATAACAGGTTCAGTTCAAAACCTTTTGACTTAAAACGATCATATTTTGAGTGTTTGAAATGTAGTGTATAATTTTGTGTTCTTATTTTGCAAAGTTGTGCATTTGACTAAAATATTTTATTTTTATTTATACTCTTTTGAAGACCTTAGGATGATTCTCTGTCTTCTGTATTTTCTTCCTCAGGCAAGAATTGCTAAAGAGGATACAACAATGCATTTGCCTCAAAGAAAAGTACCAAGCATCCTTCCAGAAAAGTAGGGAAGAGCTAAAGGAAAATCCAAGTTACAAACAGCTTGATATCAGGTAAATAACTCACTCCAATATTGAATCATATTGATGAGTACAATTTATAAATGAGATGTAATTATAACTGCTGGGTAAAAGAAAAGCTAAATATTCAATTAAGATGAAGTACTTTTCATAATCAGAAGATGACCTTTTAATTTTTATTCAGGAATAAATCAGGCTTTTGGCAGTCATTTGTCGATTCAGCACCTATCCAATGGGACTTCAGGGGAAATTAGTAATTTGTTAACTGAGTACAAATAAATATGCATGGTATAAAATTGTAAAAAATTTGAATCATGAATATAAGTGAAAACACTTTCGGGGAATTCAGTCAGCTTTGAGCTGGCTTCTCTATCACAATGCCAAGGAGTGTTTTACCTGTATTGACACTTAAATCATGGGGCATTTCTTGGCATTGTTCATATTTTCTTCTCCTGCAAATATCTTATTTGAAAGGGTTACTCCTGTGAAATGTGGTTTAGGCTTTTAATTGACATGTAAGGATTTAGCATTTTCTAGTTTATATATGTGAGTTTGATTAAATCATGGGGCATTTCTTGGCATTGTTCATATTTTCTTCTCCTGCAGCTATCTTATTTGAAAGGGTTTCTCCTGTGAAATGTGGTTAAGGCTTTTAATAGACATGTAAGGATTTAGCATTTTCTAGTTTATATATATAATTTTTTTGTTGATATCTAATCATTGCAGTATTGTGTGTGTGTGTGTGTGTGTGTAAAACTTGATAGCAGCTCTGGTAGAATATATGTGGGTTAAATAAAAATCTGTTGCAGAGAGATATTCATAGAAATCCCTCTTTTTATTGCTAGTGAAAACTACATATTTGGAAAATTTGAGACCTTCTGTAAACGTTTGGAGAAAATTTCAGATATGAGCAATACTATGGAAAGTCTTTTAGAGCTCCAGCGTATAAAAATAGAAGGCATTGACAAGATCACTACTCAATACCAGAGCATTGCTACAAATACAAAATCCAAAGAGTATGATGTTCTGGACCATAGGAAAAAAGAGGTACCCAAATTCAGCAGTTCTGTGGCAATCATTCTGTTAATTCTGTGCTTTTCACTGGAGTTATGCAAAGAATGTTGAATATTATAAAAATGCATATCTTTTTTTGAAGTAACAATAATACAAATACTCTCATATCTTTTAATACAATTTGAATTTGAATGTGTTAGGGTAAACTTGTTTTTTACTTCAAATGCTTTTGTTAACTTTTTGTAACTAGGTTTTGTGATACATAATCTACAAGCTAATTTTCTTAAGCCTGATTGTTTTGAGATGCATGTATTTTGAACTGCGGAGTGAAAACTAATTTAGGTATGTTAACACTCCAAATACAGTTTGTATAATCTTAAATGTTACTTAGTATTATTAAAGATAATTGTAATGGCACTACTATAGCAAAGTTAGTGCAGGCACATAATTGTACATTTTAGAGGGAGAAGGGAATGGTATCACTCCCAGTGTCAAACAGAATGATAAAAACTAAAATGGCTTTTCAAATGCTCCAGTCTCATGTTTTAATCCTGGACATGCTGAAAATGAGCTGCTTTTATTGATCTATGGCCTGCTTGTTTTGCAGAGTTAGTGGCCTCACAAAAGAAGTTCTAGAAATATCGACTTACTCTCCTGATTTCCTGAACTAAAGTTTGCCACTGTCATTAGCTTTCCTTTAAACATTAACCTCAGGAGTGCTTTTGGCTTTCTTCTGACTTTGATGGCTTGTCTTTCTCTAATACTTGGTATGTGTTTCTCTAATACTTGCTGCATGGCTCCTTTCTGAAAAAGAGTATTTGCTGTTCAGTGAAATTTGGAGGGGTTAAAAAATGGCATGACTTCTTTACACCTGGGGAGTGCTTTTGGCTTTCTTCTGACTTTGATGGCTTGTCTTTCTCTAATACTTGCTGTGTGTTTCTCTAATGCTTGCTGTGTGGCTCCTTTCTGAAAGAGGCTATTTGCTGTTCAGTGGAATTTGGAGGGGTTAAAAATGGCATGACTTCTTTACACCTAAATGTTTGGAGCAATATCTATTATGTACTAGCTTCCCAAGCTTGTGCAATGGTCTCTTTGAGAGAAGTTTACATTGAACTGTTTTTGTTAGGCCTTCAGTATTTTGGACTCTTAAGAAAAAGTTGTTATAGATAAACACCCAAATTACTTGTAGGAGCTGCCAAATTTGGTAACAACCTCCATTAGCCTGCAAGGTGTTCTAGAGAGCCCACCACTTTACACTTGTCTTCAGTGGGTTTTATACCTGGACAGTGAGATAGACACTCTCCTGTGGCAGGGCTGCAAGTAGCTTTGCTCTCTCTGATGAAATTATGAGGTTTCCTCGGCCTGTCTGTGTTCCTCTGTGCTCCTTTGTGCCTTTGTATTCATGAAGATGAGGCTTTAATCATTTAACCTAGCACTGCTTATGTTTTGTTTGCTTTGCTTGGTGAGTAAATTACTTTGCTGCTGGTGTTGCTCCTGTTCTTTTTAATGCAGTGCTGAACACGCACTGGGTAGATAAAACAGATACCTGAAAGCTTCACAGAAATTATTTTTTGCTTATAAAATGAAAGCAGCCTTATAGATGATTTTTTTTTTTCTTTTGCTTTTATTCTAGTTTGAAAAAGATTACCTTGAATTTAAGAACCAGATTGCAACATTGTATGAATCTATACAGGAATTTGTGGATTCCTGGTTTGAGAAGACCTTAACTGTAAGTAAGGTACCAAATACAAACCCCTGCTTCTGGTGTTTGGAAGGGTCAAGTACCCATAGCTCCTACTTCATTACTGCCGGTGTTCTGTGCTGTGCTGGTGGCTGCCTGAGATGATGTTGGAGGACATCAAACCCATTACAAATGTTCTAGAAGTTGCTTACAGAAGTACTGTGAAGGAATGTTCATTCTTACTTGGTGCCAAGTGTATGTTCCATGTTTCCATACCAATTTCATAGCTCCATATTTTGAAGTTTATTTTCTTTCTTCATCCTTCAACATTCCTGTTGCATTTCTAAGTTATTCCTGTTTCACTGGCATGAATAATGAAATAATATCTGCCATCTGTTTCCTTAATGTCAGTATTGTTCAATGGCTCAGGCCCTGATCAGATATGAGATGTTAATGAAGTGTGAGTAAAGGTGTAGGTGTTCTACCACAACTGTTTACTGAAAAGAAGGAGAGAGGATTTGAGAGTCAGAAAACCCCCAAACTGTAGTGATGGCAGTTTCTTGGTTTATACAGTGGTAAATATGTCCTGTGTGGGACAAAATATGGAAATGGAAATTAAATTCACAAACTTGTCTGGATGAATTTTTCTGTATACTGTAGAAAATTACTTACAAATTTACGTAGCATATTCTAAATTAATTATAAATAAATAAAATTAATTCATAAAATTAATAAAATACTTTATGGACAATGACTTTCTGAACTGTTGTCTTCTGAAACAAATGCTCCATCTTCCTTTTTAGACTGAACAGATGCTGGGATTTCTGATGAAACTTGAAGTAATAGGAGAAAATAATATTGATCTAAATGAGAAGTATACCATTGTTCTTCAACAGTACAGCCAAGACTTAGACTTTATTCAAAAACTCTATCAGAAGGAAAAGGAAAATCCACCTATACCACGTAATATACCACCAGTAAGAATGAAGTAAACGAGAGAGAAAAATTAGTTTATTTCTTGACTGTTTTGAAGTTAATGAAAATTTAACCTCATATCTTCTGTGTTTTAGGTAACAGGGAAGATTATGTGGGCCCAGCAGTTATTCAGAAAAATTGATCATCCAATGATGTTCCTTAAAAAGAAAACCACACTTTTGAAGGTTGGAAATTAGCAGAGGAGGTTTTATCCTAATCTTTCAAGGATGTTATTAACAGAAAGACAATTTGCTTATATACTTCTACAATCACTATTCTAGCAGCTTGTATCCAAGCTCATCCAACAGTGGAATAATTTGTATACCTTTCTCAGTGAGCCATTAGTGCCTTGTATATGTCATTATATAGACTTTTTTCTATGAACAAGATCGGGAGGAAAAATCAGGAAAAGAGTTGAATACTACATAATAATTGAATTCCTAAATATATTGCTATGTTTCTGTGTCTTATCTTGTCTCTAAAACAACATAATTTAGAGATTTCTATTTCTTTTGTTTTCCTGTGATGGAGAGGAAAAGCCTTGTGAAGGGCCTTTCTGCTGTGTTAGACTCATTGAATTGTTTAAGAGGTGCTTTTTTTTTTTCTCTGAAATTGCAGACAATGGAAATGAAAAAAGTTATCAGGAACTACAATAAAATGGCTGCAGTTCTTTTGGAATTTGAGCTTATTTATCATAGGGCCTGGTGGAGGTTTGCTGATCAGGCTAGGAATGCTCTGTGTGCTTCCTTACTTGTCAGGCACCCAGAAACCAAGGTAAATATGACCTATTCTTTCTATTACTGTCACATGATTTAGTATTGCATATGCTACTTAATCATATAATGGATAGACAAGAAAGCATTGGAGTAACCTTAACCTAAATAGGGTTAAAAAATTAGCTACTTGGCTTGAAATATTTTTTCCTTTTTGTGTATATTTATAATACGTCTCATAATGTTTCTTCTTCATAAGGCTTCTGTCTTATTCAGGGTATAAAAGGGGCAGTGTCCAGAAAATACATATCTACTACTGAATTATCTACATTCTTTAGCTATTGTTTCCTAGCTCATTTTCTATATTAACCAAAATTTTAGTCAAGGAAGGAATTTTTTGTTGGGTCATGGTCTTTTCTGCAGTGATCAATATCACTGTGTTGAATATATTGCAATAATTCATTAATTTGCTTTCAAAATTGATTGCTGGGGCAGAAAATTTTACCATTCTTGCTTCATCAATTTTTTTTCCTGCTGTAGTGCAGAGAAATTATGGTTAAAATGTGGCAATTTTTGTACTAATGATTCCATAATGGACAGAAAGAACATAGTTTTCAAATTTATGCAGCATCTTAAAAACATCTTAAAAGCTTCTTTAGTGCCCTCAAAAGTGCAGAGATTAACCTTCACAATATTTCTCCCTAGTTACTGACAGAGAAGCTGAGTTGAAAAGGCAAATTAACTTCCAGAGAATGTAGCTGCAGAACTAGAATTAATCTTGGGAAGTCATGGGAGCCAAGAGGTTAGGGCACAGTGAAGGAATCACAAGAAATTGAAATCAGTGTGAGATATTGGTTGATTAATACTTTGGAAAACCCATATATTTCTAGAAGAAGAAATTAATATTTAAAAAATCCTCTCCAGTCAAGTAATTTTCTTGTCTTTATATGATCCAATTACATCACACTACATGCAAGTACCCAACTAATGTCTTATTTTCTATTCCTTTTTTTCACTGCTACATGAAGGAATTATTTGTAAACTTAGACCCAATGGTTCTGGAAGTACTTTATGAGACAAAATACTTGAGAAAAATGCATTTTGAAGTTCCAGATGTTGTCCTTGGCTTGTGTGCAGATGAAGAACAGATTAAAAGACATCAAAGGGAGTGAGTGAACACTTTTTGGATTTGTTTCTCATCTGCAAAGGGGAATCCCTGCTTTTGAATCTGTTGCATATATTGCTTTTGGTTTATTATAATTTTTATCTTTGATGGAGTTTAATTGAATTTTAATTGCTTTCCTCTGTATTTCCATATGCACATGCTGTTGTTCCTATTTAGAGACATGTCTCATTACTTGGAAGCATCTACATGTTTCTGTTTTGTCACTTCAACAGCTGCTCTCTAAGTGAAGCTCCTAGGTAGTGCTATTGTTATTGTTACAGTGCATCTGTGCACTCTAATATTGCAATTACACTCCAAAATATTACACTTCGCATCAGAAGGTTTTTTTTTTCCTGTTAGAAAAGTAAGTTGGAATTTACCACTTGATTACTGCACAACCCAAACATGTCTAAAAGGAATATGTTGCCTAAGTTATAGCTTTGTCTCTCACGTTGAATATCTAAATTCACTTTTCCTGATTTAAAATTATTTCTTTCTGTTTCTTGTAGCAGTCCAAATCTCTGCTGCAAGAGTTCTTTCATTCTCAGGGATGCTGGTTGTTAATTCTAGAACTCTCTAAATAGGGATGTTCAGTGTTAAAAAAGCAATGCTTTGTGAGGGGTGTTCTTAAATTTTTAATTAGAATTGGACAAAAAGGAATGAAATTTAAAGAGTTTCATAAATAGTTCAACTTTTCCTCTCTTTTTCTGTTGTTGAAATTTTGAGTGTTTCAGTCTTACGATGCAACATTTTTCACTGATTTTCTGTGGAGTGTTTAAGGACAGCTAATCATAAATTTTTAGTGTGCAAGGCAAACTCTGTGTGCCACAGATCTTCAAAAAGCAAGAGGCCCAAATTTTGCTATCCAGCAGGAAAAAAAGTACAGAAAATATTTGTAGTAATAAAAAAAGGCCAAACTTAGCTTCTACTCTAAAAAAACCTTCATACTGACTACCCAAGCAGAGAAGAAATATTTAGGGGTGTAGATTTTTGACTAACAACATTTAAAAAACAGTTCTGGGTATAATGTGAATGGGTTATCTCAGTATATGGTTTGTAACAACAGTGTCCAAAAGAATGCTTTTAATCTAGTCCAGAACACAGCTATTTGTGGTTTTACAGCAATTTTTGTAAGGAACCCATTATGTATCTGACCTATGAATTGTATTTCCATCTAATTCTTGTTTATGCAGTTCTTTTGTGCAGCTCCATTTTCATGAACTGTATTATTAAGCCTTGTTTCAGAATTTGGACTCTTTTTCTTTGGAATCCAGGGTTCCAAGTGGTTTGTATGTAGCTTTTCTTATAAGCAGTATAATATCATGGTATATCTTCTGAGATGGGAAGATGGAAACAAAAATGCCATGTTTTCAATTTCCTGTTTCTATTTTTCTTTTTTAAATTGTAAATAATTTTCCTTGGGAGACAAATTCTGTCAGTTGATCACAGTCACTTTGCTGGAGGTATTTCTTCAGTCTGGTTCTGCTGTTAATAAGGACTAAGAAGCCTGACTGGAGTCAGGAAGAGCTGGGAAGAGTTCTTATTTTTATGATGGGATCAGAACTTGCAAACCTTATTAACAGAAAATGTGTCCAAAAGTCTGTGTGTTTCAAATATCTGAATTAAGCACATTGTAAGCATGATCATGTCTTTCAGACTCCAGAACCTGTTGATCAGTTACAAAGAACATCTGAATGGGATTCCTGTTGTGCTGCAACCGCTGATGAAGCCATGGATAGGACAAATTGAGGATGCTTTTACCCCGGGCCTGATGCAGCTGTCATGGACTTCTTTAAACATCCATAAATGTAGGTAATAGGAGAAGAAGTGGTGAGCAGTTCACACTGTGAGATGCCTGCATTTATTTTTGTTTCTTTGTGAAAAATGTGTTTGTGTACTGATCTCTTCACTTTAGGTGGATAATTTTAGCCCAACTGCTACAAGAATATGAGACAAGGGAATGGCTATGGGTGTTTTAATGTCTTTTCTATAAAAACAAATCTTCAGAACTTATGCTGAACATCCTAAAAGTGACATGTCTGAAATCAAAGTTGGAGATTTCTGCCCAAATACTATTTTTTTTCCCAAAAAAACCATTTATTAAGCATTGAGATTTTCCACACAACCAGTAAGACACAACCTTAACCCTATCAAATACAGCATAAAATTGATTAACTGTTGGAAAATGTCATTGAAATGGGTATATAAAACCATCACCAAGACTTTCATGTTGCAATTTCATGAGAAAACAATAACTCTTGCTTGCAAATTAGCTTTTCTGTTGAGGTTGATTGATGTTAGCTTTCCCTTTTCTTCTTCAAAAGGAAAAGCAGCAATATAAACAGGAACAGGTACAGTCTAAGTCTGAAAGTGAAATGTGGCGCAGGTTCATGCAGCTGTTTACTTATGACTCTGCCATGTGGCACTGGTGCACAGGGCTCTGACCAGTGCTTAAGGGCAGGGCTGGTGGCCTTTCAGCTTTACTTGGCCTTTACCTGACCAGAGCACAAATGGCAAGGGTTTTTTATATTTGTTTTATAGCTTTAAAATGAAGTTTTGTGTTTAATGTTTTGCATTTTTTAGTAACACATGATAAGGAAGGTCTTTACAATAGAGTTTATTTATTTATTCATTTAGGTACTCTCTGCACTGAATAGGTATAATTCAGGTTGTAAATGGTTCTTTGTATCACCATTGGCTCTGAAGGAAACTTCCCTTTTCAACAATTTAGGTGTAATACAGGTCTCTGGGCTGTTTCCTGCTGTGTATGCACTGTGTCTTTTTGAAGATGGGCAATGTCTGACATGCCCAGAATGTTTGTTGGACACCTACAAGTTAGCCCCTGGTTTGGTGTACACAAATTAGTTCTTACCTGCCAGCAATATGTTGAACTTAAGCCTAATGTCTTATGTGTCTTTTTTCCATCTTAGAGAACTCCATCTAGAAATATAGGAGTCCGTAGCTGCCTTCTAGACTAAAACTCAGGAGACACGGAAGAAAAATAGATTTAGGACTACTGAATTTATATATTAAAAAAAAAAAGTAAGAAATTTGTTGGACTGCTTTTCTGTTTCAGACAATAAAAAAGTCAAGTTCCATCATTAAGCTCCTAGTAGCAAGAAATGACATTTCCCACTTAAAACATCAGCACTTGGACAGCCCTGTCACACTGCTGTGCCTTAGATTTTATAGTGATTTCTTTCTACAGCAGAACTTTGCATATATATATATTTATATATATAATCATTATAATCGTTATGGTAATAATAGTGACAAAGGACATCAGGTGGTGTATTTCTTTCTATTTTGCAATGGAAGGTATGAAAGGGGAAGGATTTTTCCAGTCTGTTCAGAAACAGCAGAAGCAGTCGATTTTAACTTTAGTTTAATAAACACATTTGTTAAAGCAGTAAGTTTATCTGTTTCCAAAGTAAATTAGGTCATACATATGAAAGAAGAAATCTAATGGTTTAACAAGTCTTGGCTGGTGGAATTTTAGTAACTTAATTTATAAGTTAATTACAATGGTGAAGTACTGCTCTTTGCTATGCGTGTATGTAGGAGGACCAAAATAATTTTTGGGCACTGGCATCCTTTATGTTTTCAGTTCTGTTTTATTGATCCTTTTCATTACAATGTTATTACCAAAAATAAGAGATATTTTGAAGAATATTGTTCTGTTTATTTATGAGATGGTTTAATATAAAGATTAAAAATACAGCAAGTCCATCATGTTTCAGGCCTTCATTTCATATTTCATTGCCATTAAATCTTCATTTTATTGTAAAACTTGGAGGAGGCAGGAGTGGATGGGAGGAAGGGGAAATGAGACTTAAGAGGTCTGTGTTTTCTATTGATTTGTTTTAATTTTGTTATCCTTGTTTAGTTATTCAGAATGTTTACAGTACCCTGAGGGAGTTGGACTATGTAGTCAAAGCAGCATCTGACACCCTGGAATGCAGAATTGAAAGAATTCTGAAAGACATGTCGAACACTGCTCTGATAGTTTTGCCAGAAGATGATCCTATAGATGTGACTTCTTTCTTGGAACAGATAGAAAAGCTTGCTACTTCTGCTGCTTCCAAACTGTCTCAGTAAGTTTCTTAATTGCACTGACTTGAAGGCCATTTTTGGGAGGGTTTATTTGCTTTCTACTTTTGTATGCATAGAGTTTTTGCTTCTGAAATGTTTTGCTTCTGAAATGTTATGTAACAGAGTACTAGTCGGGAGCAAAGTGATAGGCTTAGGATGCAGGGGAGAAACTCCAAAGTATCTTGAACACAGCAGTTGTGAAATAGCATAGTATTTGGCATTTAGCATTTATTTAGCATTTCTTACATTTGTTCCTATAGCATTGTAATAAGTAGCATGAAAAACTAAGATGGATAGGACTTGAAATTTCATCCACATGTTAATTGCTTGTTTCTTAATACTTCTTTTGTTTTTATTTGAATAGTTCTAATTTCACAGATTATTTATGATGAACCTGTTTTATTAGCTATAGCTGGAAAAAACTTTTTTGAAACAAAATTATTATGAAGTCCAGTTGAATCAGATATAATAGGATCTGACCAATTGTGTTTGTTTTTAGTCAGCAAGTTTTAAAATCTCTGCATGCTCAAGGAATAGAAACAAACAAAAAAATATTGAAAGGGCATTTCCCTGCACACAAGTGCAGTGGGACAAGGGTTCTGTGCCTGGGAAATAAGCAAGGGTATTCCTTATGTTTGATTCCCCATGGGTGACTGTAAGGTTGTTTTTGTAGGCAGAGCCAACAAGTGGAAAGCTCTGTGTATGAACTTATAGATATTCTTAAGCACAGTCTGGAAGCAGATGCTGGAAGAACTCTGGAGGTAAGACCTCTACAATGTAAAAAAAAAAATAAAAATAGCCTAGTCAGATATTTGATATTCCGTTTATATACTGGATAATCTGATTATTTACCCAAATTTTTTCCTTTCACTGTTCAGGATTCCTTTGCCTGTACACATCTTGACGTGAAACAGAAAACACGCTGCCAAGAATGCCTGTCCTGTAGCTACTATAACCTGGTGGGACAGCTTTGTCAGAAGAATACTGACTCTTTGATCAGATGTGAGTCTGTTTTTTTCAGATATGTTTAATTTTTAAATAAAACCTTAATATTTTTTTCCCCCAGTCTTATTGTGGTAAAAAATAATTCTCACTTAAGTATTGCATTTATTTAGGCACAAAGATTTCTTTAGAGTCCTTAAGACATCGACTGCGTGTTATTGACTCCAGGTATCAGACAACTAAGTTTGTAGAAGTACACAGGGTTCCTTTGTTCAGAGCTGAAATTCAACTGGCTATTCCAAATATTGTCCTGAGACCAAGTCTTGAAGATATTCAGGTAACAAAATAATTGCACAATTCAGTCATTTATGATAAACCATTTATAAATGCATTGTTTTAAAGCAATATGTGCAAGTTTAATATGGTGTAAGAACTAAAAGGAAGGGGAAGAAAAGGTAAATTTTCACTTGAGTTCATGATGACAGTGGGTACTGAGGGCATGGAACTATGGATCAGGTTTTTTTATACAGGCTATTAGAAGGAACTGTTTTTCTCAAAGCTCAGTAACTCAGTAATTCACAAACCTCTACTTAGAGGCAAATATTTCAAAATTAATGAAAAAGTAAAAGTGAATCAACACAGCCCGACTGACTTCCTAGTGTCTTTAAACTCTTTCAGAATTTAAAATCAGTTTAAAGTATCATTCATAAATTCAGCAGTAGTGAAATGTAAAGAAAAATATTACCAGCCTAAATTCCTAAATTGAAAAAATTGAAACACTCTTTTAAACTTACACTAGTTTAGCAAAATTATTTCACGCATATTTACAATATCCTATGATGTCTGAAATTCTTCAGAGTATTAGTTGTTTATGGTGTTGATTTCTGGACTTTTTATTTAGCATGGTGACTGTCAAAATCAGTAGCCGAGTTATTTCTCAAGTTTCATGTGCAGCCTTCATGGTGTTGTCAGTAAGAAATCAGGCCATAAAGTGTGACTTCAAAATACCATACATAGAGGAAGTCACCTGATAATTTCTGTAGCTGCCAATGTAGATTACAGACTATGCCATCACAAATACAGACACATGTATTCAAGCATTCTGGTGTGAACATGAAAACCATTATTAATACACATAACAATGTTTATAACCAGTTTAAAGGGAAATAGTTCTTTAACTAAATTATGATCCCCAGTGATTACTAAATTATGATCCCTCTATGATTACTGTTCATAGAGGTCTCTTATGTTCTTGCTTGAAAACCACATAAACTTGGAAGGACGTAATAAAACTTTATGGTGTACTCCTTCCCCTTACAAAATGTGTTTTTGGGTGATCCTATGTCATGCTTATTAGCGTATTTTGTATTTCATTTAAAGACAGAGGTACAATTTTTCAGCCTTGGTATTGTTTGGATGATCATCTCCACCCACATAATATCTCTGTGAGCTCAAGGTGCATGTTTCCATTTTTTCAGAGTGCTGTAAACAAAGCAGTAAATATCATTCTATCAGTAGCCAAAGATATTCCCCTGTGGAAATTTGCTTACTTACATCATAAACAGCAGCTGGTGAGTATTTTTCTTTGATTATTTTAAAAATTTGGTATTTTGCTTAGCATTATATTCTGTACCAATACTTTGACTTGTTACCTGGTGGATCTTCCTGTTAAGTGAAAGCCTAGTTTTTAATCTCTATGCCAGTTGATAAAACATAAGAGTAACAGTTCATAAATCTTATGTTTGGTAGTTTCTAATATTAAAATCAAAAGTTGCTTTAAAAATATTTGAAATATACTGTTCAAATATAATGATGATAGTGTAGAACAAACATGATGTGTAAGTACTACCAGCTGAATATAAATTATTATCACTCTTCCCAGATGAAAACTCTAAACTTAAACTGCAACCCTTCATATGGCACCTATAATACTACAGTTCATACAGTACAAATATTTTAACTGGCATCAAAATTAGCACTAAAACCTTGGGAAGGTCTGAGGTTTAGATAGTAACTGAAATTTGTTGGAGGACAAGAATGCACAGTATTGGTAATCATGTGACCTTAATTGTCTCATCTGAGAACAAAATATACATGTATATAGATCTCTGCTGAAAAGCGTCTTTGTAAAAATATTTTCTTTTGTTGATATTACATGAAAAACAGACCAGCTCATTTCAGTGAAAAAACCCACATTCAAGTCCTGCAAATAAATAAAAATCAAGATAAAAAAAAAAAGAACTAGGAGAGAGTTGACTAAACTCTGTTCTGTTAAGCAGAATATTAGCTTGTTTCCAAGCTGCCAACCCTCCACTGCCTCCAGGACTTTCTATGGCCAAGAATGGGTATAGATTATGATTCTACACTAAAGAAGGTGGAAAGACTTTAACAGATGTGTAGGAGGAGAAAACAGCACAATTGTACTTGTATGGTGCATATTTGACTGATGTAATTCAGAGAAGATTAGTACAGAGCTCTGCATGGCAATTTTTTATGAAATCAGCTTTAACACTAGAACTGTAGCTCTGTAGAAATCCAAGCTGAGAACAGGGTCTCCCTGTGGGCATTTCTCTGCATTTTCTGTCTGTTCTTAGAAGTATTTATTATCTGAGCCTCATTGCATATTCTGTAATTTAAAAATAAAAATAAAATCCCAAACAAACCAGTGGATGTTTTTTTTCTTGTTTAATTTATACCAGGTTGAACAAGCTGTTGCTTTACAGTTAGGTGATGAGAGTAAACTCACCAAGATGGTGGCACTGAAACCTTTAGACAAGCAGATCATCGAACATAAAGATGTAAACAAAGTGGTGATGCAACTAAATACAATTATTTTGTCTCTTAAAAGTGAAGCACTGGTTCTTCTGAAGACCTTTTCTGAATTTTCGGACATCTGGAACAAGGTTAACTACAAGATTAATATAATATCTTGCCGTGTTGTAATATCTAAATATATTTTTAAAAATAAGGTTGTTGGTTGCATACTGAGTCTGTACTCAGTAGGAAGCATTGGTTTCATGGTAGAACCCATACATGCATAATTCCTGTCTGCTCTTGTGTTGACCAGAACTTGCAGATCTTTACCAATTAAAGCAGAAGGACACAAAAGAATTTTGGAGCATAAACAAGCTTATGCTTTCATATGCTTATCCATCTTTCTCACAGCATCTTGTCTGCAGGTGTTATGAAAAATAAGAGTTGAGCAGAATGTCTTAGAAACTGGAGACTACAAAAGCTATTCCTGAATATTAAATTGACTGTTCTTCTTAAGCAACCACTACTGAAAGATATTTTTCTATTTCTTCACACACAAACACACCCACACATACACAAAAGAAAGAAAAAAAAAAGATAACTTCTATCTAGGAAATCTTTCAGCAACAAAGATTCGAAAGCTGAAGTGAATCTGGCCTCATGGAGTTATTTTCATTAGGAAGAGGGTCCAGTCACATAAATGGTAAAGTGCTGAGGAGTGTTTTGTCAGGAGATTCATAATGAAATAAAACCTCATGGTTTTATTTTATTCAGTCCATTCTGACTAGTGAAATTCAGCTCTGTGAATGGACAGCTACTGGTCTTACCTATCAAAGGTGCTTTAGGAAGGCAGTCGATTTGATAAGCAATCAAAACAGGAGTAATCTTATCTTTGTAACTACTCACTATTTTTAACTTTCCCTTCCTAAATCAACCCTTAAGTGACTCCACTCTCACAGCTGACTCTTCTGTCTGGTTTGAGAGAGGGCATTTTCACATCTTTGTGACTTCTGAAGTTCCAAAGCTTAATGCTCAGTTTGGTTGAGATACTGTTTGAGCTAAGAACATGTTGGTAGCATGTCATTTCACCCAGAAAGACACAATCAGATTAGGTGATGCAGTAGAATGATGTTCCTTTTTTACTAAAATCTTCTAAAATAATCAATTAACGTGGTTCTGTAACTTAAAATTCCTCAGGAATTGTCACTGTGCCCCCCACTTTTACAATCTCTGTTGAACAGAGAGGTGCAAACAGAATCTCAGGGATCTCACAGGGCAGACTGCAGGGGAACATCACTGGGAGGGGTGAAGATCATCTGTTTGTAATTGAACTGTGAGTCTTGCACATTTGTTGAGCTGGTGACACTGATTTCTCACCTCTGCAGAGATTGGTCTACCTAATGAAAAGGAAGGATGCTCAATGCTCTATTGCCTATAAACAATCTTTAGCAAGCTAAATGCCCTCTCTCCCCTTAGATCCATCCTTTCCTGCCAAACTGTTTTCTTCAAATGGCCAGGAGGCCATCTGCACCTAGAAATTGCAGTTTAAAGATGCTGTTTCAGGAAGGGTGAAGATAACTGAGTGCAATTCCTCCCATTTAAATACCTGTTAGAGGATGTGTACTGCTTTTGTGGGGTTGCAGACAGAAGGAAGACTAGGAAGGAAATATTTGCCACAAAAGTTTAGCAGCTGCATTGTAAATTCTGTAGTAACATTTGGATGGATAAGGGATATCCTGACCGGGTGTTTGAGTTATAGATTTCAAGTTCTTTAAACAGTATTATACAAAAAATAAGAGTCAGGAAAGGCAGTTCAAATAAATTAATTTGTGCTTATACTAATTTATTCTTATATCTCAAGTCCTTTTAGAGAGAGAACATTTTGTGTTTGTACAATACATCAGGCATCTGGGTGCCCTGTGGGTTATTATAATACTAATGTTAAATAGAAATTAATATAAACTTCTTTAAAGTAGGATCCAGAAGAAAAAGTGAAGGAATTTTTAGATACTAAACCAACGATGGCTGAATTCCAATCTCAAATCAGATACTTTTCTGTAAGTATTTTATCTTTTATAAAAATGAACTGTTCAGATGAATTTCAGTGAAATTAAATGCTGGACACTTGTGTTTTTCATAGCAATTAGAGATGCAAATCAGAGAACTGCCCAATCATTGTGCACTGCAATCAGTGGAAGTTGCAACTGAGTCATTGAAAATAGCTTTAATTCGGGAATGCCGCTCAGGACAAAGAACATTTGGATTAGCTTTAAACAAAAAGTCTGCCACAGATGTGGGTGAAATTTATTCATTCATTGAAAATGTTAGCAAGAGGTTAAGCAGACCTATCCATGACCTTGATGATGTGCGGGAAGCAATGGAAGCGCTGAGTGAGATCCGAGAGAATGAGACTAAAATTGACACAACAGTTGGACATATAGAAGAATCTTATTCTGTGCTTCATAAATACAATCTGCTCTTTCAAGATGAAAATACAGAAAGAGGTGATGGATTGGCCTATGCCTGGAAGAACCTAAACACACAGGTATTGTAGTTATGTTATTTCTCAAATCATTATTATCAGGTCTCTTAATATTGAAATGATAGAATAAACCTATTTTTTTTTTTGTTTCTTGCATTCATTCTTTTGTGTCTGTTTTTTTCTCTTTGTTTGCATGTAGGCACGACAGGTTGAGGACTTGCTGCTGAAGGTACAGCCAGTCATGAAAACAGATTTTCTGAGAGATGTTCAAAAATTCCAAATTGCTACTGCAGGATTTTATAAAGAATATGATGAAAAGTAGGTGACCTGTGTTGCAATACAATTATGCATTGTTAGTGATTGTTTGAAAATAGTGTATCTAAAGGGCTTAAAAAAATAAGCACAGCACAGCATCACTGTATATATTACACCTGAAAAAAGATCTAATTTCAGGTTTATATAAGGCGAGCATACAGTCTTACTGTCAAAGATTTGTTCCTGTAATTTCAGTACTGGAGTCAGTGATATTCCATGAGGGTTAATAGATTGTGGGGGGGGAAAAAAATCAAATTCTCGATCCATGATTAAAATGTAATGGTTTTTTGGGGGGTCTTAACTCAATAAAGCTCTTTGGGAGATATTTAGCAGTAAGTATTAAAACAGTGTCTTGGATATGACTGAAGATACCAGTTCTAAGTATTTCTGAATTCACTGTCTTACTCAGCCTTACTTTTAAACTTACTTTATCACTTTTGAAGATGTAAATTGTGGTTCATTGAATGCTCCTACAGTAGCAACAAGGAAAGAAAGAAAGACAGGATTTGGCTTGACCCGTTATGGCTCTAGGACAATGCCGTAGGACTTTTGAGGGCTCCCCTCCTCCTTTGGTGACCTCAGAGCAGCCTGGTTCCCATTGGACTGTGTCACATCCTGGTTACCTTCACTGCACCTGCCCCAGACCCTGCTTTACTGACTCACCTTCCCTGCTTGACCTTGGTCCTGTGAAATTATTGTGCACTTGTCGAAAGACTTGGACTATCATTGGAACCTGCTTACCAGCCCCAGGGCCCTGCTCTTCCTTCTCAGCTTCTGTGGGATCATGCCTTGGCTGCCTTTGCTGACTGTGCTTCTGCTTTCATCTTCTTGTCCCATTTCCCTTGCCAAGCAGCCAGCTTGCTCTGCTTTCTGCCCATCTGCCTGAATTTCTTTCTAGAAATAACTATGGCACAGCAGAGGATGACAGAATTCTCATCCCAAAATATTATTATATGGCCAAGTGGTCCCAGGTGTGAGAACTGGGAATTTCACCCAGTTCTACAGCTGAGATGTGCTCATTAGGCAAAATGGTATTTTTTTCTCATATTTTTATCATTACTTAATTATGGTTCTCATGCCAACTACACAGTTTTCACTCCTGATTTATATATCTGCTGTCTTTCCCTTTTTAAAATAGAAATGAAAATAATTATTAAAATTTGTTTTACAGAAGAAACAGGAAATAATAAAGATAAAACATTTGCAGATCTTTAGCTCTTTGTAAGATATATGGTAACACAGATGAATTTTTTTATTAGAAAAAAAATTGGGCTTTCTTTCAGGGACTACTGAATGTAGTGTAATCTTGGTACACTGAATATGTACTGCATTTTTTCTTTTAGTGTCTTGTGAAAATTTACAGGAAAAATGTTAAAAAATATTGCATAATGTTCAGTAAGTATGGTTTGGGTTCTGTTGTGCTTCTTTGTGAAACCTGTATGGTTGACAATTTCACTTAATTTGTTTTGGTTTTTACAGGGGCCCCAGCGAGGACAATATTCCTCCCCATGAAGCAAGTGACAGATTACAGATATTTCAAGCTAAATTTGATGAACTGTGGAGGAAGTATCTCTCTCTTTCTAGTGGGGAAGAATTATTTGGTCTTCCCATCACAGGTAGTTTCTCAGGGGATAGGAGTACCTCTTTCTAGGCTATTACATTTTTCTCATGATTCCTACTACATGCAAATTTAAGGAAGTATCTCTCTCTTTCTAGTGGGGAAGAATTATTTGGTCTTCCCATCACAGGTAGTTTCTCAGGGGATAAGAGTACCTCTTTCTAGGCTACATTACATTTTTCTCATGATTCCTATTACATGCATGGAAATTTGGAAAAATTCCTTGCAGACAAATCTCCTTGCAATAAATTCTTCTAGTCTTTCTTATGAAAAGCAGCTGGGTGAAACTGGCTCTAGGTGTGCACATACATAAACATCAGGAGGAAAAATACTGCACTGCTCTGTGTGTCTCAGGGTCCAGATGCTCAGCTCTCTTGCTTTTTCTGTTTGGAGCTAAGCACATCTCCTGCCAGTATTCTGCCCTGTACAAATTTGGGAAACATGTTGCCAAAGTACTCAAATTGTCCCTGCTCCAGTTGCATAATGAATTCCCTTGGGCTATGCAACTGATCTGTAAGGTCCTTATGCCTCCTAGTCAGACACAGTTCCTTTGGAAGACTGTGGTGTGAACTACAGCAGAATGTATGATAAGCACTTTATTTTGTGCATATTAAATTGAGCACATTTTCCTGTCTGAGGACATATGCAGTAATCAAAATAGATTTTGCTAGGAATTCCAAAAGATATGAGAGAGAATAAATAAAACATTTATGTTAAGGATGTCCATTTTAAACACTTTTATTGTCTAATATATTCTATATGTTTCATTCAAAAGCCCACCCCTCATCCCCAAACTCTGCCTCTTAAATAAATAGTGTAAATTGACATAGGGGATATTATAGTTCTTGTCTAAAATTATATTGTATTTCATTGCCATTTCATCTACTTTTCAACATTGTCTCCCTCAATTATGACGTTACATCTACTGCTACAGAAGAATATTGATTTAAAAAAAAATCAGTGATCTAAACAATTACTGTGCATCAAAATCTGTTGTTCTTACATAATGTAAGTGGAAAAGTTTGTTTTCCTAGACACTGTCTAGAAAACTACAAGTCTGATTTCACTCATTTATTAAATTACATTATTAGAAATGCATTGATTCTTCTGTTCATGAATACATTTAATATGAACACCTAATTAACATGCACGAATTTCCAATTTTAAAATTTTAAACAGAGTATCCTGAACTTCACAGAATTAAACGTGAACTTACCTTGCTTCAGAAACTTTACAGTCTTTATGATACAGTCACTTCTAGTATCGACAGATACAATGAAATGCTTTGGAATGATTTAAATATTGAAAAACTTAACAGTGAGCTCCTGGATTTTCAAAGCAAGTAAGTTGTTTTTTGGTTGAAGCACATGCAATTTGTATTTCTAGCTGTGTTTTTAATTAGTTTGTGAAAATTTCTGCGAGGGGCTGAAGAATGTTGGTCCATCTCGTGCTCAGTGTTGGGCATATTGCACTGTGGTGCAATATCCAGCTGGTTTGGAAGTCACTGGAGGCTTGTTGGGGTGTATTGACTTGGTAGGCTGTAGCTTATTCAATAAACAAGGTGCACAAACCTGTGTCAAGGTGGTTGTAAGTAAAAATAACTTTCAAAGCTGATCTTATACAGTACCTACTCAGTGATTTAGTTTACAGGTAATTAATTGTTAGTCCATGACATTAGATGGAATTTTGAACCTACTGTTTATTTCTGCACATTTGCCTAAATTGTAATTTTTATTTCAAGAAGGGTAGATAGCCACACTAAATTCTGAATTTGAAGCAATAATATTTTCCATGAAAAACTGACTGGACTCTCTTTTAGTCATTCATTTGAAAGAAAACCAAACCAACAACTCAACCTCTTTTTAAAAAATAAGAATAGCAAAAATGAATGTATGTCAAATGTATATACTTCTGCATTTGGACAATATAAGGCTTCATCTCATTTCAGTAGAATTTTGGAATCTGCATCATAATTTTTTCTGTAGTTAATTATATTTTACAGGCTGCAGGACTGTTCATGATTCTTTATCCAGAACCCTGAAGGAAGCCATTGCACAGCAATAGTTTTCATTTATGTATTTCTCTTTGAACTTCATGTGTGACATTTTTGTTTTTCCTCTCAAGTGGTGAACTCAAGTGGAGCAGTGTGACTACCAATAGGCAATAAATGCTTTTTTTTGTAATAAAAGTCCAGCCCAGTACTATCCTTCTTTTGGCAGTTTGCTAACATTATTGCATCAAGCTATTCTCTTTAAAGGCAGAGAAACTGAAACAACTCACAGAAACTGAAACAACTCACAGAAATAACTAAGGTGGTATGCTGTGTTATAAAAGAATCAGGAATTCTGGAAGTGCAATTACTGCTTTAGACTAATTATAAACATATGCATTGTTCTTTAATGTAATTTTATTTTGCTATCTTTTAAAAATAATAATATAATAGACAACTTATAATAATGAAAAGAAAAGTAAAAAAATAACTGTAGGTAAAAATACATCCAAATAGAAAGAGATAAGAAGGAGAAATATTTAGAGAGCATTATAGAAGTATATAATAACAGCTGGAGACAAGTTTCCCTTTATATTTTACTGTGATACAGTGTATAGAGAATGTACAGTAAATTTAGGACAGAAATGTAAACCTGATCAATGGAGTAGTTTTTTAACATAATGTGCAGCTCATAGAACTTGCTTTTAGAAGATGTTATTGAGACTAAGACAAAGGAAAAATTTATTTGAATTTTTTAAAAGATTGCCATTTTCATTACCAAGCTGAGAGATCCCATTTCCAGTAGCCATCCCTAGACAAGTTTATTAGATGTTACTTGGTAAGCCTAAGGATAGAAGTAGCCAGGGACTGCACCTTAATGCCTTCTTGATACAGGACAGAGTGTAAATATTCCATTCTACAATGCTTTTCTCCAACATATTTAATGCTATCTACTGTTAGATTCAAGATGAAAGACTATAGCAGTTATTGTAGTGCCATGACAGTATGCATATGTTCATCTGCCTCTTACCACTAAGCAGTGAAGAATTTGCACATGTTCCAGCATTGTGAGACAGATCTGTCTGATTCTGAGCTGTGAAAAATGGAGAATTGTTTTGAGGGAATTTGTCATTATGGGCAGGTTTTAGGCAGCTTTTAGTTTCTGGAATTGAGCTGTAAGAGAACTGCTGTCAGTCTTTGGTCCATAGCTTTGGCAGATGAAAATTGGCATGACTGGTTTAGAAGTGAGAGGAGCTGTGACTATGCACAGTACAAGAGGTTCTTCATTTAAATTTGTTTTCATCTTAAATTGTGCATAAAGGAAATTTTTGCTTTGAATATCTTTCATACAAACCAGGTATGAATTAAGACTTGTTTGATTGAAACAGAAGCTTTTTCCTCTTTGTATGCAGAATAGTTTTAATTTAGGATGTACTTTATTTTGCTGGGAAAAGATATGTTGTTTAATAATTTTGCCTCTTTACAAGATGAGGTGCATTTTAAACTTTTACTAAAACAATGACACTGCAGGAACTTAATTTCAGGTATGAGTTTGCACATGAAATTAAGTTCCTTTAATTCAAACTGAAATAGAAACCAAACCATTCTAGTGTAATTTGTGCTGTCTTTAGCAGTGTTTCATGCTTGCAGTCACAAATTACCAGCTTGCAGCTGGATTTTTATTTGCAATCTACTGGCCAATTCATTGAGAAATGACAATATATTGTACTATTAAGTGGGGGATGTTGATTACAGAGAATAATACGTAAAATTATTAAGAATAATTAAGAATAGTTATTAATAATATTTCTTCTTTCTTTTTGTGCTTTTAAAAGAATTCGAAAGTTACCGAAAGCATTGAAGGAATGGCAAGCTTTTCAAGACCTAAAAAAAAAAATTGATGACTTCACTGAGAGCTGTCCTTTGCTTGAAATGATGAAAAACAAAGTATGTTCAGCATAATAATTTGGAGATAAGAGTCACTTGAGAAACTGTATTGAAGGCCATGTTCTATGACTACAAGATGCTTTCCATAGTTCTTTTTTGTAGATAAAAGCAGCTGTATTTATAGCAAAAAATCTAGTTAGGCTTAGTTATAGAAAAATAAACCAAAAGACTTTGTAATATGATTAGAGTAACTACTAATGCTTTCAGTGGAATGGAAGTCAAGACTCTCCTATTTGTTTAACAGCTGCAGTGGAAAATATGTGATCATTCTAGACCTAAAATTAATAAAATTTTTAAAAATCTCATCCCTCTGGACTTTTCTAGGCAATGTTGTCAAGACACTGGGAAAAAATTGCACAAGTAACTGGGCATCACTTTGATGTTGACTCTGAAATCTTCACTTTAAAAAACGTAATGGATGCCCCTTTATTAAAACATAAAGAAGATATTGAGGTATATGTACTTTTCTGTTTTGTTTTGTTTGGTTGGGGTTTTTTTGTTTGGTAATTATTAACTTGTGATCTCATACTTTTGAAATCCTGTTTCTAGTTAGCTTTGTAACATTAAAAAAAAATTGGTTTTGTTGAATCATTTCTTTGAAAAAGTGGAGTTTGGTAGTTGGTGTTGGCACTGATGATTAGTTTATTTCCCTTTTATTCTGGAGAAGATTAAAATATGTAGATGGTATTACACTAATCCTTCCATAGGAGGACTTCTGTTGTTTTAAGGGTAGTGTGATTCTGTTATGCTTCTGATTTAGGGTCTGCCTACTTATATATTTTTTATTTCCCTTTAAATGTCTAACCAGAGAGAAAAAAAACAGTTGATGTAAGATTGATCCTGTTAAGTGCTAAAAATCCTTGGAACACAGTAGAAGTGGAGGCTATGGGATTAAAGAAGAATGAGGTTGTTTTGTATTTCAAGAGTGACCCTTCACAAGAGCATGAATAGATGAGAAGGCATATTAAGTGTGCACAAGCTGTAAAGCCATTGTCTCCTCCATTTTGGGGACAGAAGTTTTCTAGCAAGTGCCTTAGCTTCATGCTTGTTAGCTTTTACAAGAACAAAGCATAGCTAAGACTAAAGAAGTAAAACCCAAACAGTTTATAACTTCAGTTCTATGGTCATTTAGCTACATCTGTATTATTTCCAGAGTAGAGACCTCTTTAGTCTTGTTCCACAAATGAGCATTTTTAAGGCAAAACCGTGAAATCAAACCTCTGCTGTGCCCAATTCCTGGACAAGAATTTCAGCCTTGTGAAAGATTTGGAGTTCCCCCTTACACTTCAGGAAACACTTTAAACCTGCAATAGAATTTTGGGATCCAGTTTGAGTGTTTAATCCTTTTCTCTCTGATGCAATAACCAGCTTTATGACAATCCTGTTCTCACTGTCTTCAAGAAGTAGCAGACAGGCACGTTGTCAGTCTACACTCTGTTCTCTGAATATTTATCGGTTTTGATTGGCAGTGTTTATTTTCTTTAAACCCTTCTGTCAGTTTATTTGATTTCAAGTATTAATACATATGAAGAGACAAATTCTTCCCGCAGATTCACTGATTCAGTGAATTTTGTGTGTGTAAGATGCTAGTAGTGGTGAAGATGGAGTATAGCCCATTAAATGTACCTGTTACAAGTAGTACTAGAATATAATCTTGTTTGAAATATAATAACTTGGAGGTGGTTCAATATATATTTTCATTAGCCTGAATTTACACTGAGATCTGGATCAAACCAATACATTTTAATAGCCTTTATAAGTGTGCTTTATAATAGCCTTAGATGACTGTAATTTACTATTTTAATTTTACACAGGATATCTGCATCAGTGCTGTCAAAGAAAAGGATATTGAAGCAAAACTGAAGCACGTCATCAGTGAATGGAGTACTCACACTTTCAGTTTCGGCCAGTTCAAAGCTCGAGGAGAACTTCTTCTGAAAGGATCAGATATATCAGAGAAAATAGCTTTGGTGGAAGATAGCCTCATGATACTGGGGTCGCTGATGAGCAACAGGTACAAAACTTAATAAATGTACATATTGTATATGTATATAATCAACCCCCAGGCTAAACAATTATCATCTTAGGTTCTTCTTCCCTTTAACTCATGTTCATGCAGGTATAACGCACCGTTTAAGCCCACAATACAGCAATGGGTTCAGAAGCTGACCAATACTGCAGAGATAATTGAAAACTGGATTACTGTACAGAACCTCTGGATTTACCTTGAAGCTGTGTTTGTTGGTGGAGACATTGCAAAACAACTACCTCAGGTATATTGATATATGATAATAATATGTAATACCAGGAGATTAGCCGCCTCACGAAGTTTATTTGCCAGTGCATGCAACTCATATAAGATTTGTGGGCTGTGCATGGGCAGTTCAGGAGAAGCTTTGCCAAACTAGGATCTGTCTGGTTAAATTGCTTAGAACTTGGTGAAACCTACAGGAATATGATTGTTTGTAATTGAAGCCCAAATGTTCCTGTCAGTGTGCAATATTAGTGAATTAGTACACGGCTCAGAACTACTTAATGGCATGAAACTGATTTATTGCTTTTGCCATATGTACAAATATCCCTTTCTTCCTGTGTGCACATGTTTATAGGCTATAAGCTGTAATAATAGAATGACAGATTTTGAATTTGAATTCTGTACTTGCTAGGACTCAGTTTAATGAAGTCCCACAGAGAGATGCTGCCGGGCTTGGGAGCTGTGCATGTGCTAATCTGTGTGAACCATTGCAACCTCTTCAAAAGGCAGTGGTGACCTTCCAAGGTAGCAGCTGCACAAGAGCTAAGGAGTGATCTGAACAGGAGAGAAATAGCAGAAAAAAAATCCTCCTTTTTGTTGTGTCTCCTAATGAGGGGTTTTCATAGAGTTCTAACAGACAGTTCAGTCTTGCTGGATCAAATGGTGTAACTAAATAAAGCCATTATTACTGGGAAATTATTAGATATTAATTTATTTCAGGGTATATATTTTATAATTAAAGCTTACAATATCACAAATTAAGATTAATTTTGTAATCTAAATAAAGTTTTCTCAATTGTTGTTTAAACAACTTTTTTTTTTTGTTCATGAGTTATATTTATGTTGTTAGGGCTCATCAGAGAATCAATAAGCAGGTTGTGCAGATGAACAAATGCTACTAAAGCTACTTCTTCCAAGGATGATAGATACATGAACCAATATTCTGGGAAAAAAAACAAATGTAGTGACTGTCTTTGATGACGGACGAGAAGGAACAGCTTGGTGGAGGAGTAATGAGGAGTGGGTTTAATTGCAATTTCTGGATGAATACTGCAACAAGTAACTGTTAGCATCTGGAAATTAACAAGAAGATGAATAATGTTCAGTCAGTGTGAATTTGTTAGGAGCAAAACATGTTGCACAAATTAAATTTACTTTTAGGGTGGGCAAGGAGCTTTGTGGATAGAGGAAAAACAGTAGTTGCCGTGTATTTTGATAGGTTCTTGCCGTTGTCTCTGATAGCATTACCAAGTGTTAGCATTGCTACATGCTTTTTAGCTTGTTTTAGCTTGCTGGTGTGCAAAATGAAGAAGGGTGGAATGCATAAACATCAATAACCAATAACTAAAATATTGTATCTGGTTTTGGTGAAAGAAACACACTGACAAATTTGAGAGAGCATAGAAGAAGGTGGTAAAAATGAGGAACTATCGAGGAAGGAAGAGGCACAAGAAAAAATTCAACAAACTAGACTTGTTTGACTTGAAGAAAATGAAAAACTGAAGCAAAGAAGTTATAAGTTTTTTAAAAATATTAGGGCTGTTCTCAACAAGAAGGAAAACCCCTTGTTCTCAGTATCTGATTTAGCTTAGATATTAGAAGAGAGTCACCAGTATCAAAAATTGCCTGGAGAGGCTTCTAAATCTCCATCATTGAGTATTACTAAACACAAGACAGAGATATTTTGGGTATGCTCCTGCCTTGTGACAGACAAATTGCTTTGGATCTTCTTTTGAGATTTCTTCTAGCTCTTAGATAATTTATGATTCCATTAACATTTCTTTTCTTGTAGGTGAAGAAAGAGTTTTTAATGTCAATATAGCCAGTGCATAAAAATATTTATTTTTCAGCTTCCAGTTTGAGAATTTGTCTCCACCCACAACACTTGTAATGTACAAGTGGGGCAGCTTCAGACTGTGTATACTGGTTTTGTTCATCAAGTGATGCTACTAGCAGCTTACATGACATTGTGTTCTTGTTAGCATTCCTGTTAGGAAGGCTATAATTTCTGAGAAAGCTGCTTTTTGAGTTTTCTCATGTGTGTTGGAATCCTTTTATATGGAAAATTTTGGCGCCCAACATAAAGTAAGACATTTTCAGAGCTGTTCCTATTGTATTCTTTCTCTTGCAATTTGAACTCTGGTCAATAATAAGCATGCCTGTAAATATTCATACATAAGTCCTCCAAAGAAGACTTGAATAGGAAGGGAGATATTAAACTCTTACTTTGTCTGATAGAATTATTTCATTTTTAGAATATGAAAAACATGAGGAAAAGCTAATGCTAATGCATTTATCATGTACTTCAGGAAGCCAGAAGATTTCAGAACATTGATAAATCATGGCAGAGAATTATGCAGAGAGCCCATGAAACATCAAACATTGTGCAGTGCTGTGTTGGAGATGAGACTTTGGCACAGCTGCTACCACATTTGCTGGAACAGTTGGAAATCTGTCAGAAATCACTGACTGGCTATTTGGAAAAAAAGCGGTTAATATTTCCAAGATTTTTTTTTGTATCTGACCCTGCTCTCCTGGAAATCCTTGGTCAAGCATCTGATTCCCACACCATTCAGGTACAAGTAATAAAGCAATAGTGGTCTTATGGTCGATATTACTAAGTGAAGACCATGGCAGGTTTTGTTGTTTATTTGAGAGAATTTCTTTCACTTATGGTGAGATTTACAGAGTATTCTAATACAGCATTTAAAGACAAAGTAAGAATGCCATATCAGCTCAGTTTATGGAGGCTTTTTTTCTGATTCTTTTGTAGGCACATTTATTAAGTCTGTTTGACAATGTTAACCGAGTGGGATTTCATGAAAAAAACTATGACCAGATTTTATTGTTTGAATCTCAAGAAGGAGAACAGGTCAATATTATTGAACCAGTTTTAGCTCAGGTAATGAAAGTATATATTACAGTTTTTCATGACTTGATTTAAAGCAGATTTATGTTTTAGAGGCCAGCAGTATAGCATCATGTTATTATTTTACTAGCTGAATGAAAACCTCCCAATGTGAGCAGCAAGAGCAAAGAGTAGCAGGGACAGAACATTTGTGTCAGTTTGTAACGATTGCTTTACCTGTTTTCTCAGCAGTACTGCTGTGAAGTGCCAAATCCATCACATATCTCTAGAAGGGCAGTGGAGCAGAAAGAGGAAAGGAATCTTTTAAATGTTAGAGAATAACAAATATGGAAATGGGAGTACGAAGGACTGGGAAAAAAGTCACGTAGAGCTCTTGCTTCTTGTGAATTATTCATAAAATAATTCTCTGAAAGTACTTTCTTGTTTATTTCAGGGCAACGTGGAATTCTGGTTAGGTCAGCTGCTGAATGGGATTAGGAAAACAATCCACACCATCATTAGACAGGCGTCAATGGCCATTAACGATTCAGAATTTAAGATGTATGACTTTCAGGCAATGTTTCCTGCACAAATAGGGCTTCTGGGAATTCAAATTATTTGGACCAGAGATGCAGAGAAGGCACTGAACAGTACCAAAACGGACAAAAAGGTAGTATTTAATGAGCCTTTGGGGATTTATTAAAAACATTGTTTGTAACAGTACATACTGTGAAAACTTAAAAGTAACATGTATGAAAAAGCACAAAGTACTAGTTAATTACCCAGAATAACAAATAAACTATCAGGAAAACAGAATAATAAAAAATGTGTTAAGGAGTCACACCTCCTCTTTATACCCCCAGCATGTGCTTTAGAATTGTTCCTAATCCTGTGATTTTCTCTGTTGTTTTGTTAGGGCAATCATCTTAAGAGACAGTTTCTTAGTTCAGGAATTCAGGGAGTTTTATCATGTTACATTCACAAAATAATATTTGGAGAGAAATAAGAGCTCCTGAACTTTGGGGAAGTAACTGTGTTTTGTGGACATTGGTCTACTCTATCCAAATGTATTACATCCTTCAGCTTATGAGCTCTTTTTTTAGGGAAGGGGAAGAATAGAATCTGTTTCAGGAGGCGTTGGTTTAATCTCAAACACATGGATAAGATGCTGTTAACAACCAAGGTGTCATTCCTAATAATGAATCTATGAATGAACAAGGAGAGGATGTGAAATAAAGGGTTGCAAACCACCATTAATCAGGAATATACAGTGAGATTGAACAAAGAACGAGGAACAGCATCCCACCATAAAAGTAAATGCAGGACAAATTCTGTGCTGTACTTTGATACTGCATGAAAGTAAGGGCTTAGACTATGGAGAAAACCATGTACTGCTACATTTTCTGCATTGTTCAAAGTTTTAAAAGACCATAAACTTGCTTTTAGTCCACTCTAGTATGTAGAATAACTAGGTATAAAGATTCTTTTGCATTAACAAGAAAACAACTTTTGTAGTTTTTTGGGCTGAACTGCATATGTGGTTTTTGGGGGTGGGGAGGTTATTTAATTCTCTGTTAGTTTTAACAGTGTTTTTAGCAAATTTTTTTTAGAAAACTATGTGAGTTTTAGGCTCTGCATGAATTTACAGAAAGCTGGTGTGATTGTTCTGTCACACATTTAGAATGGGGTATAAATGAGCTGCTCTTTCTTAAATTTCAGTGCTTTTTGTTGTGTACATCACTGGCAGAGGCTTATGCTATTTGTGTAAGTCAGTATTGTGCAGTCAATATTTGTGGAACTTTGTAACAGATCTGGTACTACAAATGAAATTACTATTTTAGTGTCAGCATCTAAAATTATAGTATGTTTCCCCCTTCCTCTGGTAAAAGGACATGACAGATCTTCAGGTTCCTCTTCCCCCTAAAGCTTGAACTGATACATAGTACCCAAAATCATTGACTGATGGTTTTGAATATATGCAGGGATGCAGTCAGCTGAAAATGTAATGTATAGTAAAAGGAGCAAGAGTCTTGGAATTAAATTCCTAGAGTGTGACCTGTTCATCAAGGTATAACCTTATTGTACTCTGTTGGGAAAGAATGCATGAATGGAAGGCAGCCTTCAAATCCAAATTTAGGATTCCAAGCCTAATAAATACAAAGCAGAATATGGACATTATAACCCTGAATATTTTCAAGTTTTTAACAAAATAGAATTCTAGGTATTGGAAGAACAAATGGTGTTTGTGTTAATATGATCATTCTTGCTTGTGGAAAAGGTAATGCACACAACAAATCAGAAGTTCTTGGAACTTTTAAATTATTTGATTGATATGGCAACACACAATCTGACAAGAATGGAGCGGACAAAATATGAAACTTTAATCACCATTCATGTGCACCAGAAGGATATCTTTGATGATTTGGTAAGTTTTGGAAAACCATCAAGGGATTTCTCTATGAAAGGTCTTGCACATATAAAAAAATTATAAGCAAATCTTAGAATCTATTCTCTTTGAGTATCTCTGACATTACTGCTGTGATAGAGTATATCAGATTTAGTTTGATTTAATATAGATGTGATGCAGCAAGAAGGGTGAATTTTTATATAGGTGTGTTCATAGGTTTAGACTTCAGTTTTTTTAAATGGTTGTTTATACTCATCATGCACAAATTCACTGTGAGCAAAAGAGTTTAACCTTTAAAATTAATCTATCCTCTCAATTTGAAGATTTGATGCATTATTTTATTGAAATGTAAATGTAAAAAAGTCCCTTTAGTATTCCTGTCAATCTTGTGATTTCTGATCCAGCCTATGTGTTGATGTGAGGTAATAGTTATTCAAAGATAAAAGCAGTGAATCTTCATATATTTGAAGAGAATAGCAACAATAAATATAACAGATATTTTAGGTTTTTTGATTATTGAGTTGTGTCAGGCTTCTTTTAGATAAGTATGTTGAATAATGAAAGCATACTTATAAAAACGGAAGTAAAATGACTTCCAAAGGGCTTGAATAATGCAAAGGTCAATAATTCAATACTGATTGCTTAATTTGTGAATATATTTTAGGAAGATAAAAATTAAGTGCATGTGTAAAGAAAATAGGAAACAATAAAGAAAAGTACTGGAATCTAGAGAGAAAACTGCTGGCTTCTAAGATAAGCATGGGGTTTTATCCTCTGCCTGTGATTTTAAATTTATCTTCATAATTATTTTTTAATTAATTTAAAGTCATATTATAATAAAATTATGGAAAGTTGTTTAAATTTGTAGGTCCTGTATATGAAATAAAAAGTCGGGATCAAGTCCACAACTGGGGAAAGGGTTCTTAAATGGTATATGTAATAATAGCCTTCTCTCTTAAAACATTCTATTCTATTCTATTCTATTCTATTCTATTCTATTCTATTCTATTCTATTCTATTCTCTGCTAAACACATCCTTTAGTGACTGAGATAAAGGAGAGATTCCAGAACCTCCTCATCACCTTACACTGCGTTTGCAAAGCCAATAACCAGGGCAACATTTTCTGTAAGAGGCCAGTGGTTTTGCGATCTAGTGTAAATAATAATAATTTATTAATTACCACAAATCTAAATATGCGTGTAGCAAGTTCATGCTGAAAAATACAACCCAAATAAACAAGCACTCAGTCATCTACACAACGTATTCAAATGCTGTGCACAATTTAGTATTTCTGTGGGTAATGGTGCAGTTACCATGCAGGACAACCAGTATTGTTCATTTTTTATGTTTTCCATGACTGTTTTTCAATATCTCTGTAAGGCACAATTCATAACTCTGTGCCCAAATCAGAGGAAAATCAAAGTTGACAGAAGGTTCAGAGCATGTCATAGACAGGTTTGAAAAGATAATTCTGGATGTCTTGACTCCTGACAGATTCTGTGCTCATTCTTCAAGGTCATGAATTCATATTAAGTAGACTTCTTTTTTTTAATGTATGGAATTTAAGATTAATTTTTTACTGATTAATTTCTGTATTAATGATTTTTCTTTTCCATAATAGGTCCGTTTGAATGTAAAATCTCCATCTGATTTTGAATGGCAAAAGCAGTCTCGATTTTATTTTCTTGAAGACTTGGATAAATGCATTATCAAAATCACAGATGTAGAGTTCACCTACTGCAATGAATACTTAGGCTGTACAGACAGGCTTGTAATAACTCCCTTAACTGACAGGTATTTATAAAAGGAATGAAGTGCATAGTATAGGAGCTAAGATTTATTAATACTTCCTTTGACTTAGTTCTTTTAATTTTCATGAGTCAGAATTACTTAGGTTGCCCTACAATGCTGCAATATCGCTGGTGAACAGCAGAGGCCAGTGGTTATATATTCAGCTATTGAAAGCAGGTTGAATTTGAATGTTTGCTTGAGCTACATGTGATATGATGGGTGTTGAAAATCTTACTTATTCTCAAAATAAATATGCCTGAACACCATACACATCACTAGCCTAAACAGAGTCAATCTAAACACCAATATATTGCTGCTTTCCATAAGAAGGTAGTTGCATGACAATTTGGAATTACAGCAAGTGATTAATTTAAAATCAACCTGTAGGAAAAAGCGGTAACTCAGGACATAGCATTGCATAACTAGTGCCTGTATGGTTTTAAGCAAGGCCTATGGAGAATTGCAGGAATACAAATACAGAAAAACTCTGAGGGCAATCACAAGGAGAAGATTTTATGGCTGGAGTGTTAGTTGTACAGCACATTATAAACTTCATTAGATGCCTGTTTTCCTAAAGTGCTTGATTGGTGCTTCAGCTAGGCAAGAGGCAGATGTACTTGCTGTGCCAGAGCTTGTTCTTTTATATGTGGATACAAATGACAAAATTATTGTCAAAATTATTACTCAGTCATTTATAGACTTATAGAATGGTTTGGATTGGAAGGGGCTTTAAAGATCATCTAGTTCCAACCCCCTTGCCTTGGAATGGGACATTTTCCACTAGACCAGTTTGCTCAATGCCCCATCTTGAGTTAATGTTGGAATTGTCTTTGCATTATTTGTGCTAGATAGCATAAAATAGATTTTATTTATTAATGAAAACCTCATAATTTTGCCTATTTCTGAACAAAAATTATTCCCTGTGAGCTATTTAAGAGAGCCAAAACTCTGCATGTAGATACCTGGCTTTTAATAAGTAACACACATCTCCCAAATTCTATGTTATGCATGCTACTGTTCCTATGTTAGACAGAAATTTGTTTGCAGCAGTACACATGCAGTTGATTAGTGGCTATGGCAGCACTAACACACTGAAAATATTTTTACCCACCAGGAGAGCCCGTATCAAGAAATGTTGTCATTCAAAATTTTTTCACAGAATTAAAAGGTAGCCAGGGAAGTGGTTATGGCAGCAAGCCTGCCAGAGTTCAAAAGGTGTTTGGATGAGGCTTTCAGGCATGTGGAGTGGTTTTTGGGTTTGTCCCGTGCACAGCTAGGAACTGGACTGGAACTGGACATGGGATATATGATGATTGTACAAGGTGCTGTGTCACACAAGATTTAAAATTAGCACAGGGTGACATGATTGAAGAAAACAAGCCTTTTAAATGAGTTTAAACTATAATAATAACAACAACAACAGAAAGAACAGGCACATCTCTCTTTGGACAAACCTGGAAAAACCAAACAAAGCTGCAGGGATTGGAGGCTACCCACTGTCACATATTGAAAGAGTATTTGAAGCAGAGATGTTTCCTAATGTTAGCATGGGAAACATGTGCCTAAGCAATGTTGCACAACAACAGATTTTATTCCCCTTGTGGGCTTTTTCCATTTTAATATTTATAATACTGCTGCATGGAATTGTCTGATCTTCTGAAAATTTTCAGGTAATGGTGTCTTTGTTCCATTAATCATCTTGGAGTCAAGTCCTGTTTAGCTAATGATTTCATGTTCAGAGAGCTTCCCTAAACACGTGGTAAATACACACAGCTGGTACTACATTGCATTAAGATAATGGCACTGAAACTGAATGCTCCTACACATCATATCTGACACAGTCCATGTCATGGCATACACCAAAAATGAAGTGAAAGGTCTGCATAGAAGTTGTGCTATGTATTCAGTTTGTCCTTACCTCGTTTTCAGTAGCAGAATTGTTAGGAGTGGTATTTTTTATGTGTTAAATGACAGCCTGTTAATGGTCACTGAGTAATAAGGTGATGAAGCATTCTTACTGCTATTGTATTGTAATGAGTGTTTCTTAAGTCATAATAGGTGCTATCATTTGGGATTTTTTCCAGTGTCCATTTTATCTCCCCACATATAGCATAAAGCTATTGAATTTCACACTGCTCAAATGTGTTTGCTGTGATTTTGGGGCATTGGAGGTTAGAACAACAGGCTTCCTTACACCCTTCAGTAACCTCCACACCGTCTGGGAAGGCTGAGACTTAAACTCGGGGATCTCAACCCAGGATGGAGGCTGAAGCAGAAGATGGTTGTAGGACTCATGTATTCCTTCTTTTTCTCCATTGCCCATTCCAATCTCTGCTCTCATCCATTGCCCTCCTGGAACTCAAAGACCTCACATGGCTGGCAGCACTGCTATGGTTTGGCATGCTGCTGTGGAAATGTCAAGAACAGGAGGTGCTTCCAGCCTCTGTGCCTTCCTACTGCCAGATCAGACAGCCCATCATGAGTTGGGGACACAGAGGGAGGGGGAAAAGGCATAAATCCAGTGGCTCTGGGTGCTGCAGAATGAGGCTGCAATGGAGGAAGGGTGTATGATACTCTGAGAAAATCAAAATACTACAGTATTTTGGTGTTCAGCACTCAGAATTGGCCTGTGGATTTCCTGGGCTGTTGCAGTCATGGTTGTGCTGGATGAGTGGTCCACCTTTTCTGCAGGTGGAGCGAAGCTGGTCCTGGTAACTCAGCTTCACAGTGTGCAAGGGGGTGACTGAGGACTCACCACAGGGAAATACATTTCTGCCCCCTTCCCCAGCTCTGGATAATACTTCTGTTGTGGTTTCACTGATGGACTTCAGGCAATTAATGGTAGGAAGAGATTCACAGATCTGTTTGTTCTGTCTTTAGGTGTTACATCACTCTGGCACAGGCCCTGGGCATGAGTATGGGTGGTGCACCAGCAGGACCTGCTGGGACAGGGAAAACAGAGACAACTAAAGACATGGGCAAATGCTTGGGCAAGTATGTTGTTGTTTTCAATTGTTCAGACCAAATGGACTACAGAGGACTTGGTCGTATCTATAAAGGTAAGAAAATATCTGCTGTATTCTTCTTTCTTCTCTAAACTCTGTTTAGAGTTGTAAGGTTTTGCCCTTTCAGTGTAGTGAGTTAGCAATTATTTGGAGAGCATTTTCACCTCTGTTTCCTCTTCTTTCCAGGCACTCATCAACTTTACCTGATATTAGATTTTATTTGATTTTTCCTCTCTTTCTTCCTGCATGTTTTTTTCCAGTACTTTTTTGTTTGAATATTCTTCAGTGGTGTTTCCCATCCATGCCTTCTTTTCATTTTCCCCTTTTAATCCTTTCTACTGTTTGAGGGTTTTTTAATGCCTTTATCCTACCCCTCCAATGTGGAGAGGATTTATATTTATTATTTGCTATTTTTGTGTCGAACAAGACAATCAAATTTGAAGCTTAATGATGTTGTGCAAGGCAGGGTGAAGGAGTGCAGGGGGATGCCCCCAATGAGAGAGGGACAAACTAGCCTTTGTCCCCCAAAAAAGGAAGGAGGCCTAGAAGTTTTTCTCAACGATCAGGTGAAAAGACACCTTATAGGACCCCAGAGACTTCAGTAAAACCTTGGGGTCACCTAATTGGATGAGAGCCAAAAGATCCCGCCTGGGCCATCAGGTAGAAAAAGAGAAGACAAAAGAGCCACGAGGCTTTTGTGAAGGTGTTTCACCAGGAGCAGACCTCTGTACCTAGATCGGATTTTCTGTTTATTGTTTTTCCTTTTATTAAACAGTTTTGTTTCCAACATTGCAGCAAAAGCCATCCTGCTCATTATTTACCTCCAAAGGTAATAGCCAGGCTATCCTTTGTGTATTAAGTTCCCTTTTAAAGGCTCATAAAACCCTAACCCGACAAAACAAAACTTACTAGCAGGGAAATATGGAAAGTCTTATTTAACTACAGGACTCTTTTGAAACCAGGAAAATGACACAGTGGTCAAACTCTGATAAATCTTCATGATTAGCAAAATTTTGAATTCAGTTTTGCCAACAGTGATCAGTGATTCCAAATGCGTAGATTTCACTATAATGGTCTGTTTTATTGTATATAGCTGCATGTATGTATGGACTGACAGACCACAGAACACCACTGTTTTCTGTGAGTTGTGGGCTTTTAACTATAACACAATGCATCATAAACAAAATTTTCACTGTTGTGATATCTCCTGAAGGCTAAAAATATAACCTGGGGATAATATTTAGTTTCAATTAAGAAGGCAGTGAAACTGGCTGTGATTTTTTTAAGCAGAGGAACGTTTCTGAGCTGGAAATGGAATCACCTATGCGTGTGAATACCTTCAGTTAAGGTCACAAGTTTCTCAAAGCACCTCTTGTAACCCCCACAGATTTGGCTCAAGTTTTACTTGCACATCTTTTATCATCTGTGCAGGCCTTTAATGTCACAGGTTTATTTTGCTCATTGTTATTAGACAGAAGAGTCCTGGGGTATCTGAATACGCTTATAATGCCAAGCACAGTCATCTACTGTACCTGCAATCATCAGTCTGTAAGGGAGATGTCAGCCTTTGTTTCTCCTTGCAGTGGGTTTGTCTTTGATGTCACCAAATTGTTGTTGTCTTCTGCTCTGCTCCTTTTGTTAGAATATTTGTATCTCATTATGTAAGCACCTCTTTTCCTGACTCTGTGGTGATTTCCCTTCTTTGTACTAAACTGTTTGTGACTCATGTCAGTTCAGACACCTAGCTTTGTATCCTTGCTTTTTTTTCTGTCTTCTTGTCCTGCGCACTTTGGTAACTTATCCTTTCCCATTTCAGATTGAGGCAGAGGTGACCATTGCAGCTTGTTGTTCTTTCTTTTATTAAAACTGGACACATTTTCTGTGCCTAAAAGCAAAAGTTGAGTTTTAGGGCTCAGTTTTCTTTTTTCTGTTGTTTTTCTATAAGCTGACCATTTTCCATGCAGTATTGACATCATATGCTTCAGAAGCAAAGTAATACTGGGTAATGTGTCCTTCTCTGGCTGCCTCATTTAATGGCATGCTGATGTTCAATATGAGCTAGGAAAAAATATTTATAGAACTCATCTAATTTCTGCTCAAGTAACCGTGATGCCTGTGACTGCTTACTTCAGTAAATTTGCAAGTGGGATCATAGCTTGCTTCTCTGAGAATTTGCCTTAGAATTAGGTAATAGATTCAGCAGAATAGAACCTGAATAGGGTGGTATTTTTCAGCATTGATATGGCTGTTGTGTGTCTGGGAGTAAAAGTAAGATTCTATTCTTACACAAGTCATTGATGCTTTCATTTGTGAAGGGACATTTGAAGTCAGTTGTTTTGGACTTTGTGTCACTACTTGGAAGGGTCTGGCTTGCAATCACCTTTTTTATGTCTTTAAAATATCTGCAATTTCTTGAAGAGTGGATATACTGAAGTTAGGGAAGGAAATGAGCACCTTTTGATTTAATATAAAGGGCAAAGTGAGTTCAGATAAAGATTCTTTACTGCACATGAGGTCTTCCATGGAAAGAAAAGGATAGTTCTTCTCAGCTGTAAAAGCACTTTCATGCAGACTGATAAGAAATTTCTCATTAACACACTACATATTTCAGTGCTCACAATGGGAAACTTTTCAGAATTCCACGTCTGTGATAGGCTTGGTGCTCCATCACCGGAGTTTCCACATCCAAACTTTTCACTTTATCTAGTGCCGTGGGTCAAGTAATCAGGTATTAGCAGGTTTAGCAGTGAGGAGAAAAGAGGCAGGGAGAGGGGATGGTGTCCTGTCTACAGGCATATTTTCAGACTTCTTCTGTAAAGACAAGAAGTTTCATCTTCAGAAAAAAAGAAATAGAAAAAAATAACTAATATGGCACATATTACATAGTATAAAATTATGATTTGAAACTCTTCTGGTTAGGTCAGGGCTGAGGTTTGGTCTTTCTGTTTCTCTGTTTCTATCTGCTTTGTTTTTCTGTGTGACTCAAGAAATTCATAGGCAGATGATCTAGTTGATATGTTCAAGGCCTAGACTTTGATCTTTGATGGTTTTGTTTTTCAAATTTGAACCAAAATGTGATTCAGATACAACTTGTCACCTGAACTGGACCAGAGGTAACCTGAGAAAGTACCAGGGATGCAAATGGGTAGATGAATTTTCAAGTTTTCCCATATATCAAATTCAGTGTTGAAATTGCCCATGAATAGCAAACCAGGAATACTTGATCACATTCCTGAAAAGTGTTGGTGGATACACTTCAGAAAACTTTTTGTCTGTGGTTGCCTGTGGATGGGTATAAAATTGTGTTCACTTTGGTTCTGTTTTCTATAGCTAGTCAAGCAATTCAGTCTTACCTGAAGTAACTTTTTGTAATTTGGTATTTAATGCAATATTTAACATAAGATTTTGTATTTATCTTAATTCAGAAGGTGAACACACAAGTCTGGCATTCTGTAAATTCTTTCAGGACCAATGATTACTCTTTAGTTTGCTGCTTCTGGTTGCATTTTGGCTAGACAGAGCTTTGTTTCAGTGACATTTCCATTGAATTATATTACTATAGCTCTACTCCTGTGTAAAATCTGGGAAAAAATGTGGAAAAATGCATGGAAGGACACATGGCTCTGCATTGCAGATATGCATTTTATAGTCTGGGGATAATAGCTATTCTGTGAGATTCTTTCGTCATTTGAGACCAGGTTTGTAGGATGTCTGTACTGATTGGGGAAGGGGCATTGCCATATTTTTTTAGATATAATCAAAGATCTCTTTAGTCCTGTCTTACTCCATTTCTGTATTTGATAACCATCATATGTTCAGCATGGGGACAGAATTTAATTCATAATATGGCAAAATTGCATTGTCTCTGAGCTGTTTTGCAGCTGAGAGATTGCTTGCTGTGCCTTTGCTTGTGTGTGTTTTTAGCATAGATGTGTATTTTCTTTCCTTTTTCAATACCACCAGGATGAAATAATTTTGCAGGAACTGAATTTATTCAAAGCTGTGGGATATTGGCTTTGTCTGAGAATGAGGTTTCCTAACTCCATGCAGCAGGTGGCATTACAGAACAAGTGAATTTTTTTTTCCTTTCCCAAAGAAAAAACTATTTGGTCAGAACTGAACCTCACCATTCTATAGAGAAATTACTTTCAAAACCCTTTAAGATACAGACAGTAAGTTTAAGAGACAATATTATACAGAACTAAGTTTCTTAGTTAAAAACTATACAGCTTTAGAGATTTTCCTTGTTGCATCCCAAAGCATAGCTGTTTATGTTTAATAAACCAAGCAGAAAAACCCCATTTTTAAGGGTTTCTTTTTAGGATGGATCCTAGGATTTATATAACACATGTTACAAAAGGGGACAAATGAATGGAAAAATCTCTGCAATAAGTTTTTTTAATCAGGGAGCATCAAAATGGAGCTGCTCCATGCGGGAAGATGAGCCAGGAGCCCTGGGTGGTCAGCACAGAGGCAGGGGCAGGGACTTCACTCAGCAGGGCACAGTCCCACAGTGCCTGAGCAGGGCAGGCTGTTGGCAGCTTGTTCCCATCAGCAGTCCGGTGACATCAGATAATGTGAAATGACCAGCTGGATACAGGATTCATCTAGGAAGTTTAGTCAGAACCAGCAGGAGGCAGGACTGGGGGTAACACTGTGGAGCTGTGGGCTCCTCCAGAATGTTCATTCAGCAATTCAAGATAAGAGGAGATGGGACTGTGCACAGCCCTGCACACAGTACAGTTCTGACTTGCCTGAGCTACAAGGGAACTCCTGGGCTGGAAGACAGAGTTTGGATAGAAGCCTCAGGAAGGGCTGTTGAGGGCATCCAGGGCCCAGATATTCCTCACAAAAGGAGAGGAACATCAGTTAAAAGACTTGGTGCCACAACAATGAAGTCAAGGAACATTCTTTATTTGTTTTCAAAGACAGTAGGATTGAGTATTTAATGCTTTAAATTTGGTAACTTTTGATAGAATTACTTCAATCTTTGTATCATTATGGCATTGTGGTATTTGTATATATTCCACTTGCTTTTAACTTTTTAAAGTAAGTCCACATAGCTTTTCATTCTTTTCAGATTCTTTTCCTTATAATATCATAGAAATTAATTAGAAGCAGTTAAGGGAAAGGTTACATATGGAATTGAAATAATTTTCCATGGGAGATCTGCAGTGAATCAGATCTGGCTGAATCAACTCTTAAGAAGCCAATTTTGGTTGTACTATCACTGATTTTGACCTGGTTTGACTACTCTAGTTCTTTTTTTCCAAAATTACATGGGTAAAAAAGACCAATTGATGCAACATTATTAAAAGAATTGGTTAATGGGCATGAAAAAAACATAAAAAAATGAATGTCAGAAAAGAAACATAAAAGTGGCATTAAGGGCATTTGGAGGAATATCTTAAAGAGCAAGAGAAGATCAGACAAGGAAAAGCAGACGGAAGTAGCATATTATGAGAAGAATAGAACAGGCTGAGCAAAGGCAAGAGAAGGAAAAAAATAAAAAGAAAACAAGAAAAAGTGAAAGAATATGTCTTCATAGTATTGTTGATTTTTGAATAATTTCTCTTGAACTATCTAAAGTTCTTAAGGAATTAACTTTACACAAAAACCACCCATAGATTTATTTTACCAGTGCTATAGGAATTGCCATATAAAGCATGGGGATTCAGGGGAGCTCTGGGCATTGTTATTCAACATTGCAAACACAGATGCCTTTTCTTGGACGTGTGCTCTATTTCTACATTTAGTGCTGCCTTCAAACTGCTTAAGCCAAGCTGAGCTCCACCACTCAGTGGAGTGAATTAAACTCCAGTTCTGAACATTTCTAGGTGTGGACCCAGGCAATCTGAAGTACTAGTCCTGTGTGGTCTTTGGGAAGGAAGGGATGGCATCCATGAAGCTCCTGTATAGACTTACTAGCCTTTGTCTCTTGTGAAAGGGGTGTAGAAGAGCAGGGGATTATGTAGCTTTCCCTCTACTGCTCTGGAAGGCTGCCACTGTAGACTCTCCTATTTCAATCCTGTTAGCATGGTACAGAAGAAGGAGTACTTGACTTTCCTAAAAGCCATTAATTTTGTTATGTTTATGGGTACTACTGCCTGTCTAGAACTCCATGGCCTGTTCCAAGTAACAATTCTAATTTAATTCTGTAACATCAGATTCTTTCCTCTCTCTTGAACAGTAGGATGCTAATCTCCAGTAATTTTTTACCAATGAATTAATTGTTATAAAATGCTACAATTCTTCTGTCAGAAATGTAATGGTCTCTATTTGGTTTTGTGCTTTTCATTTAGGTAGGTGTTTCTCAAGCTCGTCTTTGACAACTTCATCCCCTGTATAGATGAGTTTCCATACTATATTTATGCTACTATAGTACTAGTTACCATGATAGTAGTTTCCATGCACATTTATGCTGCTATATAATACTATATACAGTATTAATTAATACTTCCTGCCTAATGGTTGCTGTAGAAGTCCAGGATTCTTTGTAAAGAAGTTTATGTATCTTTCATTCAAGGGGTGATACTTTTTCTGAGTGTCATTAATGCACAGCACAACTTATTTTGAGTTTTTACTTCTCATTTTATTCAGTGTTCATGTTCTCTTCTCTTCTCATGTTACACTAAGTTGTATAGAACATGTTCTATTTTGTGTATAAATTACTCTTGTTTGATCTGCTGTTTTAACAGAATATTTGTCTTTTTGCTTTTCTTAGGTTTAGCTCAGTCAGGTGCGTGGGGTTGCTTTGATGAATTTAACCGCATTGAACTTCCAGTTTTATCAGTGGCGGCTCAGCAGATATATATTGTACTTCAGTGTAAGAAAAAAAAGAAACTGAAGTTCACTTTCACTGATGGTGATGTCGTTGAGATGGACAGAGAATTTGGTATATTTCTGACTATGGTATGTCTGTAAATACATGTAAATGGCATCATTGTGAAAAATCTTTTCTGTTCCATTTCCTATTGAAATTTCCCCGTTGAAACATTGGAACTGTTAGAAAATAATTAGTGAAACTTGAACAATAATTTGGTAAAATAATTATGATATAATTTTCTCTTGTCCATATTTTTAACTGGATCTTAGGACTTGAGGTATGCATTTATCATTAACTATGTATTTTAAGGACTTTTTTAGTTGAATATTTGACAGACTGAGATTAAATTTAACCCCCTCATATTTTTTTAGTCAAAGTCTGTCAAAATAAAACAGAATTGACCACTGCAAGGACTACTGCAGCTGGTCTGGTCAGTATTTTACCACCCAGGAAGAAGTTTTGACCTCAGTCCTAGAAGACAGCATGAGGGAAGCCACCCTCACTCTGGTTCACTGGCTTCCTGAAGATTTATCTTTGGTGCCTGTGGACTGCTTCTAGCAGTGCAGGAGGCAAAGCAGCAGGAAAGTATAAGAATGCCTTAAAATCATCTTTGTATCTCTCCCTCTGTAGCTACATACATACCCACTCAAAATGGAAGCCTTTGTCTTTATTTTAGGGAGTTCTACCTTTAAAATGTGTTAATGTTATCACAGTAATTTGAAAAAGAGGGCAAATAAGTGCCATACAAAGGCCAGGGGGAAGACAGTTTGGAAAGAGCTGAAAAAGATGAAAGAAATTATCACTGCACAGCTAGTGACTATAGTTGTCACAACTGAGCCATGCAGTACTCATATGAATGACTTAGACACCTTCAGAGAAAGGTCAGATCCATTAGTTTAAATTATCCTCGGTAATGGCTTGCACTGCTTGAGTGGCTTTGCGCTGAAATGGTCTGGGAATGCTCACAGGGGACAGTAACCTCCAGCACTGGAACACTGTCATGACTCTGAGGAAGTAACCATTTAAAAGAGCTGCAGCAAGATCTGTAAGTGGCTGCCTGTCTATATCTTTTGGTCTTGGACATCTCCAAATAACCTGTGATACCCCCTACCCCAACTGCAGTACTGAGGCAACTGTGCACTGATGTGTCATTGTGACATGCTCAAATTATCCTTCGAAATATTGCATGTGCTCCTGTGTTTGCTGAATGGTGAACAGGAAAGATAAAACTTCCTACCTTGCACCATTATATATTGTTTGGGTTTATAAATTACATTTTCAGAACCCTGGCTATGCAGGAAGACAGGAACTTCCCGAAAATCTGAAGATTCAGTTTCGCACGGTTGCCATGATGGTGCCTGACCGTAGCATTATTATGCGAGTCAAGCTGGCAAGTGCTGGTTTCCGAGACAACCAAATCCTCAGTCAAAAATTCTATACACTCTACAAACTCTGTGAAGAGCAGTTATCTAAACAGGTAAAATAAATATTTGTCCAACTGTAAGCTGTCACTGGAAGGATATGGAGATAATATACGTTCATAGAATATGTAATTATTTTTACACTCATGAGCCTATACATTTTTAAGGGTTTTCAGTTTCAAGTTCCAGAAACAGTGTCTGAAATGATCATGTTGTTTTTATTTTTCACAGTAAATTGACTAGTATGGGAAGTTTGATTTGTGATTCTTAAACAGAGTGCAGTTACTGGAGAAGTTATGAGGAACGGTGTATATTGCTGTGCTGAACTTGCAGAGGGCACATTTTTCAATGTCTTCACTTATGAAGGCCAGGTTTATATCAGAGGCAGTGTAAGAATTGTAAATAACTACAGAGTAGCTACAAGGCTCTGTCTTGCTGAGTGCTGCTAGAAAGAGAATACTGCTGTTCCATTTGGGATGGGGTGTTTAAAAGTAGAAGAAAATTTGGTTCTTTCCTTTTGAATGCCCTGTACTGACTTTTGAATGCCCTGTCCACTGGAGAGTCTCAATGAGAAATTGTATGAACAGTAGATGAATTGTGGCTCAAATGCCTGCTTTGGTTGGATAGTGATGCTAATCACTGTGCTAATTGACTATACTGTACTTCTATATACTACTATACTATAATATACTGTTACATTAGACTACTATAATTTTAGTTCTATACCACATATTTATTAGTGCCTGGCCCTTGTAAAACTAAGTTTTCATATTGCCTCAGTTTGTGTGGTCATTTTTTGTTCAGGACATGATTCTTTCCTTCAATGTGAAAAAGGCATGTAAGCAGGCATCAGAAATTTGACCTTCTACCTCTGCAGAAGTGCTTTGCTTGTTTTGTGTTGTCACAGATGCTGGAACTGGTTCACCCTTGGACAGTGTACTTAAAAGTGCACACACCCACACAAAACCTAACTGTACAACATTTATTTTAACTATCTTAAGGGTGTACAATATTTTATACACTATCATTACTGCATCTGCACAGAGAGTGCAGAGTTTCTCTGTGCAGTTTGGTAATTTCTCCAGCAGAAATGGCCCTCTGGAACCTCAGAGATAAGGAGATTCTCCATTTATCTTGTTAATCAACATACTGAAGCATATACGTAAGTCTTATCGGTTGGCATAGACATCATAGGAACAACCTGGAGGACTCTGTGGAACTGTCTGAGATTCCCACTGGGAAAACTCCTGTGCCAGTTATTCAAATGCTTTGTTGTGAAGGCAGCTCAATCACCTTGTCTCAGATCAGTCCTTTGCCTCATATATGCTAATGCTAGCAAGGGAGGTCCTTGATATTTATGAAAATTAATGACCAAGTGTTCTGGGTGTGCACATAGGCCCAGCTCTTACACTTGGCTACATCACAATTTTACCTCTGTATCTTATGCTTATATCTTCTTATAGCTTAAATTCCATAGTTCTTGCTAAGTAAGCCATGATGTGTCTGGGGAATAGTCTTCCGTGCATATTTATAATTTCTTCAGGATCACCTAACATTTCTACATTATCCATCAGAGAAACCTGGTATAATGATCTTTCTTCTAACTATTTACATCATGTATCATATCAAGGATCACCATACTTGGTAGCATGAGCCAGGAAGCATGGCTTTCTGAAAGCCCATAGTATATACTAGTTTGTCTTGCCTGTGCCTGTGAGCAGCCCTTTGGACAGTCCTGCTCTTGTCTAAATCCATTCTATTCAGTCATTAAATTAGAGAAAAATTGATCTTTTTCTCTGGGACTTCTGCAGGTGAACAGGTGCTGTACCTCTTCTTGAAGTGAGATCTGCTAGAGCAGGTGGCTCAGCACCTTGTCTAGATGAGCTCTGAATATCTCCAAGGATAAACAAACACTTCACAGCCTCTTTGGTCAAGCTGTTGAAATGTCTGACCACCTTGTCTAGTTACCATTTTGTGTGTGAGGATGTTATCAGAGAGACTGTTGAAACCTCCTGGCTCTGCCCTGCTGTGTTGCCCTTCCAGCAGATATTGAGGTGTGTCAAGCCCCAGTGAGGATCAGGGCTTGCAAAGAACAGGCTCATTCCAGTTGTTGAAAGAAAGATTCATCAGCTTCTTCCTTATCAGGATGTTTGCAGCAGACATCTGATGTTGTTGAGCTACAGTGTTGTTGAGGCCTCTAATTCTAACACAAATTCTCTCAACTGGTTCATTAGCCCTCCTAAGGGAAAGTGTTCCCACTCTTTCACTTTAAAGGGCAATTTCCCATCTCTCCATCCTGTCTTGTCCTTCCTAAAGAATCTATATTCATCCATTGTACCTATGCCCCCATATTTCCTAGTTTGACTGTACACTGTTTGCTCTGCACACAGAGCTGTAATTTTTACATTTTGTTGTCATGTTGTGTGCCTTGGCAAACAGACACTTCAAATTAGCACCTCCTTCTACTGTGAGACTCCTGTCACGAAACTGTTGTCTTCACCTGTCCTTATCCATACACATGCACTTGAGAAGGGTCACTTTCCACACTGTTCCACCATCCTTGATGTTATAGGTAAAAATCGATCCAGCCAATTTAATAAAACTAAAAATGGAATTTATTCACGACTGATATACATTCCTGACAGCCAGCAAACAAGGACAGCACCAACCCCAGGATCGAAACTGGGTGAACTCAGATCCGGCCTGTATCGTACCGAATCCCCCTCTGTTCACAAATGCCGCTTGGCAGAGTCCATTCTTATACTCTTTTTCTTGCCCGTGTTGGAGTCCCTTTGTCTTTCCTCAGGGTTCTTCATATTCATGTTGCCTCTATTCTCGGTCCTGTGCTGGACAAAACCTCGTCTGGGAACTGATGCGTATCCTTTCCTTGGTTCCCGGAATTCTGCATTCAGATGTATGTCCCTGATGGTCTCATCCCTCTGAGATGAACATCTCCATGGGCCGTCATTGCTGGGTGTTCTCTTGTTCATAGCAGTGAGAACGCCCATGTCTTGTGCAGGCTAGGTCCACTTCATACATTAATGACACACCTCCTCCTCGACTGCCAGGTGCGGTTTTCGCCACCCTGTGAAGCAATCCCCTTTTCCCTTGCTAGTGTGATTTCAAGGTTTTGTATTTTATTTAAATATGTATATATATATATATATTCTATCAGCACGACTTACCATAATATACATAACACTTGACATCTCTATTGTCCACCACAGCCTGGATCTTCTGCTTCTCACTTGGGTCCACCACTTCCTTCCTTGAATGTGTGTTGATATTGTAGTAGTAATGAAATAATTTGAAACACTTGCTGAAGTTCCTTGTGAAGTTTGTTGTAGGTTGGGGAATACATCTAATGTGATATGTGATTATATATAGAGAGATCTAATGAGTTCATCAGATTAGATATGGGAGTCTCATGAACTGAACATATTTCTAAGAGTATAGTGGGACATAAATTGTTTCTGTGTAGTCAGAAAACTAAAATTATAAAGTACAGACAGTCTTTCTTAGAGGCATATTCAATTAGACATTAGAAATAAATTCTTGATTGTAAAGGTTAGTGACTGGAACAGGTTGCTTGGAGAGTTTCTGGACTCCCCATCTCTGGAAGTGTTCTAGGCCAGGTTGGATGGGATTCTGAGTAACCTAGTGGATGGTGTCCCTACCCATGGCAGGGGGGTTGGAACTAGATAATCTTTAGGGTCACTTCCAGCTCAAACCATTCTGTGACCCTATAATTTGTATGAATCTTTCTTTCCTGGTGGAACTTATTTATTCAAATTTTTAATGGTTAATTTGAAATTTCAAGTTAAATAGTACTGGATTTTCCAGGCAGATGGCTGGATCACATAAAGGCAGATCAGGGTCACATAAAGAACAAGTGCAATAGGAAATGGCAGATCATTACTTGTTTTCAGCAAATGCAGTATATCAACAGAAGTAAATAAAGCAAACAAGCATTCACCAGCTGAACTTACCCCACAGAAAATCTAAAAGTCTAAACCCACGAAGTCCTCCAGACATTTTACACACACAAATGCAGACTCTGTAGAAAGAGCAACTCTGACTCACAAGTAGTCAAAGGCACCCTGACTGACTGTCATCTCCTTCAGTAAAGAAAAACTATAAACAGTAAAGTAAAAGAATAGTCCTTAGCAATGTAGGAAGCCCAAGGTGTACACAAGCCTGTGAAAGAATTATTCTGACAGAGCTCCAAAGGTGAATTTCTTCGCTTTGTTATGGGACTTCTTCCCTATAGCAATGTAGGAAGCTCAAGGTGTACACAAGCCTGTGAAAGAATTATTATGACAGAGCTCCAAAGGTGAATTTCTTCGAACCTCCTTCCACAAAGCCTCATACAGCTTAAGGAAAAACAGAAACTGAAAAAAAAAACAAACTAAGAAAGCTTGAAAGATTCCACAAAGCCTCATACAGCTTAAGGAAAAACAGAAACTGAAAAAAAAGAAACCTAAGAAAGCTTGAAAGCAAATGAGGTGATAATCCCTTTTTGAGAATCATCTCTTTAAGATGCTTTCATATGGAGCAAACCACTGATATCCCTTTTTTCTTCTCTACATGGAGCAAAACTCTGCTTCTAGTAATGAGACTTTTTGTATTTGATATTTTTAATTCTTTATTTCAAGAGCATCAGCTATACCACTGCAGTCCATTTTGCTCAGGCACAAAGTTTAAAGATTGCTGTTAAAAGATGCAGCAAAGAAATAACTCATAATCCACATTTGCCAATAAATCCTAGCTCTTCTGTGCCATTCCCAAAAAACAAAGAACTTTTAAAACTAGAAACCAGATTAAGGTAAATAAAGGATGGTCACCTTGAACCACCCATCATGTAGGCTAGTTGGAATGCATCAGAAGTTCTGTCTTTAAAAGTCATTTAAGCTTATTTTAAATTTTTTGGTAGGTATGAAAATATTTATTCAAAGTTAACAAAGTCATCACTTCTATAGAATCACAGACTTGTGTAAGTTGGAAGGGACCTCTAGAGGTCACCTTGTCCAGCTTCATGCTTACCACATTACAGCAGGTTGCTAAGGCCTTTTTTGAGTTTTGAGTATCCAAGTATCTCCAAGGATGGAGATATTCAGACTGTCTGGGTACCTTTTCTGTTTGGCCACTCTTATTGTGAAGAATCTTTTCATTATGCAAACTGTTTTGATTTCCCCTATTGAAGATTTTGACATTGCCTCCTTTCCTCTCACATAGTCATCACTTGCTGAACTCATTCCAATATGTCATTGATGGTCATCTAGCATGGAGAAAAAGAAATATATCAGTCCTTGTCATGATTCTGGGAATTTCACTAGGACATGCCATTTACTAAATGATGATGAAGTCAGGTGATGTCTGAGTTCATCAATATCACACTATGTTGTTAATCTTTTTGTGTAAATGTTTCCATCTGCAAATAAGATTTCCTGGCAGTGTGTGGCTGCATATTCATACCTAAATTTTTCAACTGGTAACAATTTGGCACCTGATTGAATAATAGAAAATGAGGCAGAGCAGAGCCTTGAGGAGTCATCCATCCACCTTTCTGGAGGAAAAATAATTCTTGATTAAATAATTTGCTATTAATGTTTGTCAATGTTCTTAACGTTTTCTATTGATGGATAGGTTGCAGTTTCCCAGGCAATCAATGTGATTCAAAGTTTCATTTTTGTTATGGCCACAGTTTTCTCTGAAAGTAACTTGAATCCCCCTTGCTGTAGTTAAGCGAATTACTTTATTTCCTTTCTATTTGTCCTGTCTTCCTCTTTGCTGGTATCTTTTGCATGTTGAAGACTTTTATCATCACTCATCCTACATATTCACTCTTCCTACTTTTACAGTAGATTTTGTAATACTTTTCCCTGAAACAATATGTTTTCTAGTCAACTGATCACTTGGTTTTTTCCTTTTCAAATTTCTCTTCTGTAGGTCTCATCTCCAAATGTGGAATCCAGCTTGTGGTCACAGTGTAGAAATGTGAACTACAATGGAAATATATTTTCAATTGTCCTTAAAAGGACGTTTATATTTTTGTTGCACACTAAAACTGCAGATAGTCATTGGGAAGCCTGTGACATCAATCCAATGTCAGATATTTTTTTGCAAAGCTTTGTGCGCCTGATTTATTTCTAAACTCAGTGAAGAAGAGTTGTTACTCTTTATTGGTGCAATTGGTTATTACAATATTTACTATTTTGTGCTTGCCTTTATTTAATTGCATCATACATAGATAAGGTATTGAATTTCCCTTGGTAATTTTGAACTCTAGTTGTGATCTAGTTCACCAATTTGGTATCATCTGCAAACCAAATCAATAAGTTCTTTTTTTTCTGAAAATTCTGGGATTTACACAGTGTATTTTTCCAATTTGTCAGCCTAGGAAATAAAGGTGAGCTCTGTATCACCAGAAAGTACACTTTCTAGTATGGACATACAACACTAGAAAATATCTCCAGGATTTGATAACAACAACACTGGAAAACTATTTGAAAAGATGAAGAGCTGTGAATTTCATATTATTGAGAAGTTCTATTATATTCATTTATTTAGTGAATTTAATTTTCAGTCCTCTCTTCTTTTTTGTTTTGATCTCTTTGGTATTTATAGTTCCAATTTTGTTTGTGCTTTATTTCAAGGTTCACTATGACTTTGGTCTTAGAAATATCCTGTCTGTTTTAAGAACACTTGGCGCAGTGAAAAGGTCTAATCCCCAAGAGCCAGAGAAAACTGTTGTGATGAGAGTTCTGCGGGACATGAACCTCTCCAAACTGGTACTGTAACACTGATGACTTTGCCCAATAGAGTATTTTTTTTTTGCATTTTAAGTGTCTTTATTATGCACTTTGAAAAGCTATTTTTCTTCACCAGTTGGATACATTATTTTGCAGTTTTTAATATGATTTATAAGTGAGTTGAGAATCAGAATGCAGTTACTGTGTGAGCACAATTTGTCTTTTAAAGAGAGGAAAACACATCATAAGCTTAAACTGAAAAAATCTTTGGAAATACCATGAGATCCTAGGGGATCTACCTGGTCCTCTAATTGCCTCTTGTTTTTAATTCTATTTACCCTAAGGAGAGAAAGGAAGAATACATTGTATTAACTCTTAATAATGTTACCAAAAATCTTTCTTAATCCAGAATTTCAATTTATACATTTCTTGGGAGTCTGTTACCTTTTCTGAACATCATAGGAATTGCATTAAGTGAGGTAATTGGAAGCAGCTAATACCTACTGGTGTAGTGTAACATCTTGCGATAATACGATTTAAAATATTAATCTTCTTATTGCTGTAATTAAAAGGTTATAGCATGTCTAGACTCTGTGTATTTACCTTGGGAGCCACTTTTGTGATGGAACCAATGACTCTGTTTCTGATGATAATCTCTTTAGAGTGTTGGTACACACATTCAAACCTATAGCAACGCTTCAGTGATTTACAGAAGGAAAAATCATAAAAATTCTAAGGCAAAATATGATTGGAATAAATCTTGCTGGCTTATGTAACAAATGAAGAAATATATGTGTGTGTATACATTGAAGAAAACGATATTAAGTTCTTGAAATTTTTATCAGCCTAAAGGATTTAATTTAGAAATTACTACTTGTGATTTCATTGTATGAAACTTGCTTCATAAAACTGATGGATAATTATAATATTTGCTTTGGAAGAGATAAGATTTTTTACTGCCATCTTTTAAGTAGCTTATCTTGAAGATTGTTTACAACTATAATAATAATTTCAATAAATAAATAATGTGTTTCCCCCTACTTTATCCTTGACAGGTGGATGAAGATGAACCTTTATTTATGAGTCTCATTAATGACCTATTCCCTGGAATTACTCTGGATAAATCTGGGTATCCTGAGCTACAGTCGGCTATCCAAAAACAGACAGAGGAAGCAGGGCTTATTAATCATCCACCATGGATACTTAAACTTATTCAGCTGTATGAAACTCAACGAGTCCGACATGGTTAGCATGCTAGATGAGGCTTTGAGACTGCATTGTAGTTGAGACTACATTCATTATATTATCTGCCACTAGAATGCAGATTAATTTCATTTAAAATATTTTAAAAAATTTAACAGATGTAATTTTTAAAGCCTATGTGGGTATTTTGCTTAGGAAGCTGTTATGACCTTTATTTTAGTGTGGAATCCTTTGTTATATTACATTTTTATGGGGAGTATGAGTGTGGCCTTTTGTGATTGAAGTTTCTGTAGAACAAGTTAAAATATATTCATTCAAATCCAGAAACAGCAATTTTGTTCAGTGTTCTGAAAACCATTCAGAGTTCAGTCATGAAGCTTGAGTTTAATGTTACTGTGAGATTATAATGTTGAGAAGACTACCAAAAGTAATTTTTCAGACCTTTATTTTGATAGATTCTACCATGCATATGATGTAATTCCAAGTGTTTTCTTTGTGATCGATTCTTGCCATTTAAACTGAGAAGAAATAAGCTTTCCTCCTGCAGGATAAGGGGAGTTAGACAAGATGGACTCCAGACGTCCCTTCCAATTTCAACCATTATTTGATTCTATGAAAATTCATTTTTACAGTGCAGAAAAAGCCATTGAGTAAAGTTTATCCTGTCCTAGGAAGGGTATCATAGACAGCAGTAAATCCAGGTTTACAATTCATAGCTCAGTGAAAAAAAAAATACCCCTACTTTAAAATATTCCCCATACCCTTAACGTCTAGCTAATGATTTTTAGTATAATAAGGGGGAAATATTAAGGAAATGTAACTAAAGAGCAAAGATTTATAATGATATCATCCTTCTTATTCTCCCTTTTCTTGTCATAATAATAGTGAGCTTAAACTAATGAAATAAATGAAAGGAAATACTCATTCACATACCACAGTCTGAGCCCTTAATGTCTCAAACTTTTAATTCAGATTATTGGTTAGACTGAAGAACTGGTTAGTGCTGTGCAGACTTACTAATTTACATCCAGGTTTCTGGATGCAGTATTCCATAACAGCTATTTCTATACAGGAACTATGGAAGTTTTAATGCTATTAGTTATGAATAAATGTGTCTCTTTTTAAATAAGCTGGTTGATCTCTGAGACTCTATAGCTCCAATATTCCTCAAAAATCTTCAGGATCCACCATGACATTCTGTTTAGATGTCTCTTCTCTCCACACATCCCTACTATTCCCAGATCATGCAGCTCCACATTGTTATCTGAACAGTTGGGTGCTCAAGCCAGAAGTTTTTTGACTTTATATAACAAAAGTTATGGCACTGAAGGAAAAAATATTATGTTTTCCTGACTTCCCCATGTCCTACTCATGAACTTGAATTCATGGAGAGGTCACAATAGAATTAAAAATTTAAAACACACACACACACACAGAGAGAGAGAGAGAGAGAGAGAGAGATTCAGTGCATGGATCCTGAAATCTGTTTGGCATAAAAATTTTGGTTGAAATGTCACTGAAACCAGCAAAAAAGCCATTTGGCTAACATTGAAGAGTTTGTATTAGATTTCCCCATATGTAACATATGGCATGAGTAGTGATTTTCTGAGTCCTCAGCTTGTTTCAGGGAACATCCACCTCCCTCTAGTTTTGGAGGAAACGTCACACAATTTGCATGACACTGGATTAGATTTTTTATTTGGGTTTGTGACTGTACTATACTTTTGTTGAAGAAGTTTTCAAAGCCAACTAAGGAATGTGATGTCCAGCTGCCTTTAGGGCTAATAGGTGTTATCTAGGTCCTTTAAATGACTTTGGAAGTATCAATTTGAATGTCCCATCTGATTTTGGACAGATTCTGGGCCTCTTGAATGAAAACATAACTAAAGTAGATCAACAGTAGGCTCAATTTATTATTGAAGACACAATTTATTTTTCTTAGATAACATGTATACACTGATGAATTAAGTGTGGTTGCTCTTAATAGGTTTTATGAAGGAAAGATCTATTAAATCCCATCATGGGTGGATGCAGGTACATATTTTTGATACTTTTGCATCAGAAAGATGCACTTGATTTTGTATGTCGCCGAGGATACTTATTCTCATTAAATACATTTAGAAATGTCTGGATTTTTTTGCCATCATTCATGTCAATATCATTGCATGAGAACATCAAAAGGCGGTTGTGTTATCCCATTAGAAAAAAGAAAATAATTGCCTGAGGGAGGATACAGACCCACATAGGCTTGCCTATCATAATAGAGAGACATTTATAGAGGCCTTTAAATAATAGTTTCAAATTCTGTTTCAATCAACATTAAGTGGAGTGAGAAACATTCTTTTGTATTGGCTTTTGATAAAAATAAAACAAGGATCGTTGATGCAATGAACCATTAAATGGTAGCAGGACACATTGACATTTCATTTTAAACCATGTTTATATTATTTTAAGGTATGATGACTCTAGGTCCAACTGGGGCAGGAAAGACAAAATGCATTCATATTTTGATGAAAGCAATGACAGATTGTGGTGCTCCTCATAAAGAGATGAGAATGAACCCAAAGGCAATCACAGCTTCCCAGATGTTCGGTACCCTTGATGTTGCTACAAATGACTGGACAGATGGTATTTTCTCTACATTATGGAGAAAAACTTTAAAGGCAAAGAAGGTAATGGATATTGTATCATGACAGACATTTAATACTGTTTCTGTAAGTTGTCATTACCTGTCATTTATCTGAAAGTTTTTCCATTTTAAAATCCAATGGGAATATGCCGTGTTAATTTTACTTTGTGTCTGATGAGCTCAATGTGCACAAGAGTCAGAATTAGATACATATCCCAGATCGCACTAGGATTCCCAAGCATTTGAGGTTCCAAAATTAATTTAGAAAATATTTTAAGTGCTTTGGTTCCTTCTGTAAGCAGTCCAAACACAAAAAGCAAGGTATGTTCATGTTTTGATGTGAGGACAGTAAAGTCAATTTTCTGCTGTCTGCTTTCAAGTCATTGCCACTTTATTTCACTAGTTATATCAGAATGTAAGGCTTTGGTAAGAAACACATGTAGGCATTTCTCCAAACCTGCCAATCATGTTTCATGAAATCACAATTACACTCACATCTACTGAACAGCCCCCCAGTTCTGGCTTGGCAAATGGGACACCTTACATGAAATATTTGGGTAACATCCCACAAGGACTGACTTTGTGCCTGTGTCTATGACTGCATTTAATGGGAAATGTTTTCATTGATCTTGATAGATGCTGGGTTGGCTGATGTACTTTTGTAGAAGAAAGACACAACTTTCTACTCAGTACAGCACAAATTAATTTTTGTTGCTGTTTCTTAATATCCTTTTTAGTATGATGCAAGATAACAAAAGAAGAATTCAAATCACTGAGAAAATTACAAAAAATTGCATTTTTATATTGTTTTTTTGCTGAGCACCAAATGTCACAATTAGCATTATTTATATCTAAGAGTTAATTTTCTGATATTACATAAATGTGTATTTTTGGTCAGTGTAGGTAGAGTTGAAAGCGTGTATCTCTCCTTTTGTTTTTTTAAGGGCGAGCATATCTGGATAGTTTTGGATGGATCTGTTGATGCAATATGGATTGAAAATCTGAACTCTGTTCTGGATGATAATAAGACCCTTACTTTGGCCAATGGAGATCGCATTCCGATGTCCCCCAACTGCAAAATTGTTTTTGAGCCCCACAGCATTGACAATGCTTCCCCCGCAACAGTTTCTCGTAATGGGATGGTCTTCATGAGTTCTTCAGTTTTAGACTGGAAGCCTATTTTAAGGGCTTGGCTGCAGACACTGCCGGTCACATACTCCAATGTCCTATGGAATTGCTTTAATGCTGTATTTCAGGTACTTCATTAACCACTTTGGTAAAAAAAAGGCATTTTTTATTCTTTTTTTTTTTTATGAAGCATTGCTTTTTCCCAAGTGCTCTTTCAATTATTTACATTTCTTTTTTATGTAATAAACTAAAGATGAAGGGTTAGAAAAGGAGAGGAAATTATCTCTATCATTAATAAATGACTGAAGCTATAACAGATGAATAATCTGAAGGCTTTGTTTTGTCTGCATACAATAGTTGGCAATGAATTGTTAAACCTGTGATTATTTTATATTGCATGTTGGTAAAACAGATACTCTTTTTGCTTGTAATTTTAATACTGCAGTTTTAATTATTAGGATACACAAAGGTAAAGTTCTTATTTTGTTTTAAATATAAAGAAGTAAATTCAGAAAGAAATTGAGCTAGAAAGAAATTGTTGCACTCTGGTGCAACAGGAATGCATTTGATCCATTATTATTTTTAAAAAGACATTATGTAATTCAAATTAACCCAGGATAGTTCTGTGCTCTGAAGCTCTGACTATAGTTCTGATGTTCTGACTATAGTTGTCTCTTCTGATTTTATTATCCCTGTTTCTGTTCCAATGGAAACTTTTGAAACTGCATCACTTTGATACATTGTTTGACTAAATTGTGTTCAATCAGTATATCCCAAGCAAGAATCCTAAGTGTTTTCCCCTCTGTTTGGCCTTACCTTACTGAATCATTAGAAAGGTTCCAGCAATATTATGGGTAGTTGGACTCAATGGTGGGTATAAAAGCATAATATCAGTAGTATACTTCCATCATATTGAAATATTTATTTTTGCTTTTGAATGTTTTTAAAGAAATAGTTATGTCTTTGCAACCTTTCAGTGTTGTTATCTTCTGATTTCCTCAATATCTCTAAAATAAATGCAACTTCCAGCATACCTTGGTTTTTCATCAGCTTGCTCCTGCCTGTTTACTCATGTAATTTGTGTTGGATTTCACAGGGGTTTCTCCTGTAATATTTTTCATTGCTCTTGCATTTAAAAAATGCAGTTTTTAATGAACTTTGAGTGACATTTCAGAAAGCTTTTAATAGATCATGGTTAAAGCAATGATTGATATAGGATTAGAATGCCCTGAATGTTAACAAATGTCTTCTAAGATTCTACTTTTCATTTCAGTGCACATTTACTTTAAAACTAATGTTTAACATGCTATTAGTTTTGTTCTACCTCCAAAACATAATGATATGACATAGTATTTACTGCAGCAGCAAGAGAAACAATTCTGATAATGAGTTTTAAAATATGCTTCCAATGTAATGTGTATGTGGGTCAATTTACTGCTTCTTTGCCACAATTCTATTTATATTTTATGCTACAAGTTGCTCTGAAAACATAACAACAACACTTAAAATGCCCAAGCCCGAAGCAATAGCAATAAAGTCCAGAAAAATATGTATTTTATTAGATTAAGAAATGAAAATGCAGTGAAATATGAAGTTAGTTCAGTGCTGAAGGCTGCATTTACAGCTATCAAAATGTAAATGAAAGCTGTCATGCTGGCAGTTTTCTTTCACTTTTAATGTGCTGTCTTTGCTTCTCAAATAATAGAGGCAATAAAAGTGATTTTACAGATGAGAGCAACACTACTTTTGTGTTCACATGGCTCTTTTTATAGTTATTATTTTTTGCCACATTAAAAAAAGGATAAAATTCAAAGAGAAAATTTTTGAAATAAGATTCATCAACAGTGGTAGTCAAGCCCCAGATATAGACCTTGGTGAATTTAATGCTAGTATTAAGAAAAATGTGGATATAAACATCTTAGAAAGATCTGATTTTTCAAAGAACATGAAGATTAGAGTATAGATGGAAATATAGTAACCAAGGAGACTCAGTCTTAGGCAGACATATAGAGACTTTCTGAATTTAATCTAAACTCAACTAAAATAGATGTAAAACAGATGTAAGACAAAAGCTATAATAATTCCAATTTGCTTACAAAACACTCTTGTTATTTATGCCAGTCAAAATAGCATTTGCCACTGAAAGTCTTCATGTTGGATAAAGTAATTTTCAATAAAGGTGCAGCAGGTAGCAGTAATGGAGGAGGAAAAAGCAGAGAATAATAGCTGTGAATCAGTGGAAAAAATGTATTTATTCTTTTAATGTATATTATAAATGGCACTGTAAGTCACCATTTTTTCTGCATTAAAAAAATACAAATCAAAATACAAAAGAAAAATTCCAAAACCAAAATCAAACCCCTAAACACAACCTTATTTAAATTTAAGATGATCTTTGAGTACTTTCTATTTCTACAGGATTTTTTTTAGAACAGTGTTTGAGAGGTTGGACTTTCTCCCTCTCATTTGCAATTCTTTCTTCTCAGCAACATTTCCTGCTTTGCAGTAATTTCAAATAAACTCCCATCCCTATAAAGAGTCTCTCTTAAATTTAGAATCTTCACTGCCAATTCCTGGTCTGTGAATGATGTTGCTACCTGTAAGCAACTGAATTGCTTAGGCGATGGAAGTAATTATCTGAGACAGTTTCAAAGAACTGAAATAATTAAAATAGTTACCTGAGTGGTGTTATTGAGATTGTCTGCAAAGTGTGAAGCTCAAACCAGTGACGGATGTTAAGTGAATAACATAAGTTTCAGCATATTCAGGTATTGTTTAAATGAAAAAAAACATGTAGTAGCAACTTAATTTTCAGATGTGACTAATTTTCTTCCTCCACATTAAATCTCACACTAATCCAATTTGTGTAAAGGCTGCTACTGTGCCTGGAGCATAGACCTGAATATATAATCCAAAGATTTTCTTACCTTTAATATTTAAATGCTGATGATAAAATTAATATTACAAGTATTAATAACTTTCTATTACTGAATTGTTCTTTTGCTTGTCTAAATCCTTTGAATATGTTACCAACTTCCTGTCCTGAAGAGTGTTCTGTAGTTCAGTGAGTTCTATAGTGAATGTACTCTGTGTAAAAGGGTCATTCTTTAATACGAGATTTTAGCATATGATTTAGTTTTTCAGCCCTCTTGTAAGGGATAGCAAATTGCTGATCCAAATTCTTAAAAACTTATGTGTATTTGTCATGACCCAACTCATTTTTGCAGTCCCCCTGTCCGAGAAATTAAATTTATGTGTTAATACTGAATCCTTTTTTCAGCAATGTATTCTTTTAAAAATTGTAGTAGTAATAAAATACTAGTATATATGGAACTGATTTTTTCCCCATAAACTCAAAGAAAAATAAAACATTAAAAAACCCTTCATAAACTACGGAAATCTCATTGGAATCATAAGTACCATAAAACTAGTTCTGGTGAAAATTGGGCTCTTGATAGTACAGAATACTTTGACGCATGAAATATCTTTATTCTGTGTGTTTCAAATCAATTATTAAACAATTTACAGTGCCCTATGAGACATCTGGTCTATTTTACAGATGAAGAAGCTGGATCTCAGTGAGATTTAGCTCCAGATTCTCAAAGTCTTACATCTGAATTTCCCACAGTGGGCACTCCCCTGTGGCTCCCATAACACCCTCAGTTACTCAGCTGAGCACCCTATGTACCACTGGGGATGGACCAGGCATTTTTGAGGGAAAACCACAAAAAGACAGCACACAGAGGTGGAGGTACTTGTGCTAGTCAGCAAGAAATAACAAAAGAAGCAACCTGATAGAGTGGGTGGCATCTCTGCCCATAGTGGGGTGAAGGAAGTAGATGACCTCTAAGATTCCTTGCAACCCTACCTATTTCATAATTCTGTGTATGCCCACACTCAGATTGTCTTCTTAGACCATTTATCTATAAACCCTACTCGAGATTAAGGTGCCTAAGTGAATTTTTGTTGTGTGTATGTTACCTGGTATTCTAATGTGATGGAACTCAGGAGGATGGGTAAAAATAGTGATTCATTCTCTGTGACAATAAATATCAGCATAAGGTACTGGGAGAACTTCAGTGGCAAAAATTAAACTGAGACGTGAAACAAAGCTGGTAAGCATGTGGGAAAACAGCTCAGTGATTTTTTTTTAAAGTATTTAAGTAAATTGTTTATGTCTTTGGGCAGTTGAATGTTTTCTTTGTCTTAGCTTTCTCTGTGACAGGACATGACATCTATAAATCTAATTCCTCCAAAATTACTGTCTCCCATAGTATCCCTGTTATACTTTCACTTCCCAGAATGAGTAGGTGGTGTTGATTTCCAAAGATTAAGAGGGCAAATAGAACCCCAGGGAGAATATTATATTACAGACTGTTGAATGAAGGTGGAAGTAGGTTATAATTTACATCAGTCTGTACTATTGGATGGCAACTGATATTTTAAAATTTTGCGCTGCAAATCAGACAGGACTTTACATCAATCTGAAACTTTGCTCAAGGTGTTGCAAAACACTTGCAAAGACAGACATGCTAGCCTACACTAGCATGTTGAAGAAACTATGAATAAACCTGAGGAAAGTCCAACTTCCATTAAGATCAGTTCAAAAATTCTTTTTGGATCTTGCTGGGATTCTACAGGAAAATGACACTATTGGTTTCAAGAGGGACTGGTACAGTATGGTGCAGTCAGAACAGATGAGACAGATAGAAATTTATAGTGGCAAGCTTGTGCATTATATATATATATGTATCATCAGTGCTTTTATCTTCCTACTACAAAAATATCAGTGGTAGATTGAAATCTCTAGTGCAGAGCACAAATGGCAGGCAGATCCCTGAAGTAACTGAACAGCATTCTTCAAATTGCTCTTCAGGAAATTACTCTATGGAGCTTATATGAGTAGCTCTGCTGACTCTGGTACATCAAAGATATTTTTCTAATATGCTATTGTTAGGAAAAAAAAACATGGTCAAAGTCTGAATATTTATAGGCCCAGAAATGGAGACAGTTGTTGTTTGTAAAGAAAGTTTAGAATATATTTGAAAATAAGGAATTGATCTCATCTGAAAATAAATCATGCCATTGAAACTGGTAAAGAGAATCTTTAAATAATGGGGTTTTTTTTCTTCCCAGGATGTGATGGATTTTATTTTCTCTGCTGTGACACCAAAAATGTCGATTTTAGAATGTATGTACATCAAGCAAGCCATTGACCTCCTACAGGTAGATATGGCATCTGTTTTTCTCTCTCTGATTCTGTGATTTGTTCTGGGAAGGCAGTAGTTCTATATTGCATCCACTTTGCAGGGTTTGCTGTCTGGCCGAGATGAGAAGCAGCTCAGTGAGGAACATATTGCTCGCTTGTTTGTTTTTGCTGTGATGTGGTCAGCTGGAGCCCTCCTGGAGCCAGATGACAAGCTGAAAATGGAGCTGTTCCTACGGAAGCACTCTGCAATGAAAGAGCTTCCAGCTGTGAATGGAGAGGAAACCATGTTTGAATTTGTTATCAATGCCTGTGGACAGTGGGAGCACTGGTCAAAGAAGGTTTGTATGCTGCAACATGCTAAGCTTTCTTAATGGGTACACAAGATGTATTTAGTAAGAGACATTTTATTTCCAACCCTACATAACTTGGTTAGGAAGATTAACTCTACCAAATTCTCAAGAGCTTCTTTTTTTGAATGATTTTTTTATTTTCCCCATAAATATCTTCAGCAAAGAACAGAAATGTGCATTTGAAATAGATTTGGAAGTGAAGCAGAAGTGATCCTAACTCTGTATACTGTCTATCACCCAACTCTTTATGAAATTCTAGCAAGAAAAAGCTTTTATCAGGCACCGGAGGAATGAAAATATCCTGCTAGCCTAACTCCATTTTATAGAAGCATGACAAGATACTGTTTGATTACGAAAGGATACTTGGCTTTCAGGAAGAAAAGTTTTGCTGATGTAAATTTTATAAAGTACATTTGATTTTGTGTTCTGATTCAAAGTGATTGTGTGGGCAGGTAGGAATTCTCAAACTTTTTGCATGTCTTCCTTATGCAGGTCCCTGAATATATTTATCCTAAAGATTCAGTACCAGAATATACTTCCATTCTAGTTCCAAACATAGACAGTGTCCGAACAGACTTTCTAATGCACACTATCATGAGGCAAGGAAAAGCTGTTTTGCTAATTGGGGAACAAGGAACAGCAAAAACTGTTATGATTAAGGTAAGTGGAATAGAAAAACATATGTAATATATTAGTACAATAACATTGCAATAGTTGATATTGGCACAAATGTTAAGCTGAAGTGAAGGATAGTTTGATTTTTCTTCAGGGTACATACTAGCATTCCTACTGAGGCTTTTTGCCAGTACTCACATGGACTACAAGCGAAAACCCCCAAGTCTCTAGTCTTTAGTATAAAAGTTTCTTTTAATCTTTGCTAACTGTGGCCACAAGGTGAGATGATAAACCCTCTTTCTATGCTTTCTTTTCTTTTGAGTAGTCTAATGGAAAATTTTGCTAAGAAAATGTTGATTCTTGGAGGATTTTTTATTTTCATGTGCTTTGTCAGTGGTGCCATGTGTGACCTGATCTTTTGTACACCCTTGTTGCACAGCCTTTCTTCAAAAGTCAAACAGAAGAGAGAAAAAGAACTTCCTTCTATAGTAAGGGTGGTATTCAGAGGGTAAATTTGCTGTTTGTTATATGCTCTCTCAATTTCTTCACTGAAAATGACATGTTCTTTCTCTAGAAGGAAATAACAGGATTGCTATTAAATTAATACATGGTTTCTGTATTATAAAATGGTGCAGGTTAATCATATGACACAAAAAAATTTAATAACTTAATATAGAAAAGTCAGTGATCAAAAGGCTGAATAAACTGAGATGTCATGCCAAACTTGGCATCCCTTATTTAAGGAGTTGGAAGCACAATATTTTTCAGCAGAGTTTCTCTGTTTTTCAGGGGAATGTGTGGATTCTTTGATCAATGAGAGGTAGCTAAATAAAACTGGTCTACTGTTGAGACAGCTGAATTGGTTATACAGGCATCTGTACCTTCACTGGAGGGTTTGCAGAGGTCTTGAAATGGAAAATAGCTGAAAAACACCAGCCTAAATTGACCTCTGGCTTTCTTAAAATCTGGAGCCATTTTGTGTGCCCCAGCCATGTGCTCTCTGAGCCCTGACAGAGAGTGAATTGTACCTGTGCCAGCAGCCATTAATGCTATTTTTTCAGCATATCTGTCGATGCCAACAGGCATGCCGGTGTAATGCCAGCTTCTGTTCCTGGCAGCAGCTGAGAACTATTTTAGCAGAGTGAAGAGGCGGGGTCCGGGTGGTGGTCTTGATATTCCGCATCCTGGATTTTGTCCAGATGCTGGCAACATCCAGCCTTCAGATGCCATTCCTGTCCCTAAAAATAATTGAAACTGATTCTTGGGAGTTGCTTATGCTGAATCTATGCTATAGAGCAGAGTAGCAGATATTTGATCTCATGTAAGATTAGGAGTGAGTGCTAACTACCTTCACAACTGTTTCCCTTCTGCTTTCATCTTCTGTAGAATTTTGTTTTACTACACCTTGTGGAAATTTCCAGATATAAACAGTTAAGTGAATGAAAAAGTAAAAAGACGTTTAATAAGAACACTTCAGGTAGTAATCTGAATTAATCTTCGGTGTTGAGTAAAGCATCAGTATGAATCAAAATAACTTGAAATGGAATGTTAATTTAAGACCTTTATTCTCTGTACTATTAATTCACAAATTGCAAAAAAATTTAAAAAATAATATTAAACTGGTAAAGGACAGTTGAAAATTCTCTGATATTTTAACTAACGAAAATAATAGTACTCAATACCCTCTTCTTTTTCAAAGATAGTTCTCATTTCTGTGCTGTGCAATATTACTGTTACCATGCAAACATTCTGAAATGCCATAATGATAAAACACAAATGTGTTTTTTAAATGGTTGAGAATTCATAGTTGCAGTTTGTTGGCCTAAGCCAGCTGCAAGACCTTTACCCACCTGCTGATTGCCTCCCCCTCCTCAACAGCACAGGGGTCGAGGTGAAGACAGGGAGATCCTCAACTCATCAGATACTGCGATGGGAAAAACATTTGACTTGGGGAACACTTTTGAAATTTATTTCTAATTAAAAATAGAATTGGATGGTGAAAAACAAATACTGAAAAACAAACACTTGAAACCCTCTTCTTACTCCTCTCTTCTTCTCAGGCTCATCTTTAGTCCTTCATCACTGACGCTTCTACCTCCTCCGTGGCCAGCAGTACAGGGGGATGAGAAATGGGGGCTGTGGTCAGTCCATAACAGTTCCACTGTCCCTCTTCTTCCTCTTCCATGTTGCTCCCTCCTCCTACATGGACACAGTTCTTACCAGGGCTGCAGTTCTTCCTGAACTGTTCCACCATGGATTCTTCATGGTCACAGGTCCTGCCAGCAAGCCTGGTACAGCATGGGCTTCTCTTTCTATGGGTCTGCAGGTGCTGCCAGGAGCTCTAGCATGGGCTTCCCATGGGGACACACCCTCCTCTGGGCATCCAGCTGCTCCAGTGTGAGGTCCTCCATGGGCTGTTGGTCGATCTCTGTTCCACTGTGAATCTCCATGGAATGCAGGGGGACAACCTGCTTCACCATGGTCTGCACCACAGGCTGCAGGGGAATCTGTGCTGGAGCACCTCCTGCCTTCTCTCTGCTCTCACTTTGGTGTGTGCAGGCCTGACTTTCTCACAGTTTTTGCACTTTTCTCTCAACTGCCAGGTAGAATTTGCCCTTCCTGACACAGGCTGAGTGTCTCCAGTCGCTCTGCTGGAGGCAGCTGGAACTGGCTGTGTCTGGCATGGAAAAGCCCTGTCCTCCTCTTGCCAGGGACTGTCCCACGGCCCTGCTGCCAGCACCTGGGCACCCTCACCTGGCACATGAGCTTTGTACAAAATGTTGGAGTCCTGAGGAGAGGTCTGAGCACTGACCTGCACCAACCCCTCAGCTGTGAAGAGTACAAACCAAAGCCAGGACTGTTTCATATACACTACACATGGGGGTTGTCATTTATGTGAGGTCTGAAAAAAAGTCTTTCTGGAGGGCAACTTTTCTTAAACTGCTATCACTGTATCAAGAAAATTAACAACATTCATCAAAATATTTTGTGGGGATCTAGCTGTATCTTCTTTTCTGCTGTCACACAGAGTGTATGTCTCACTGGAGTTCTTAGAGCACTTCTTCAACAAGGATATAGGTTTATTTTTCTGAAGTACCAAAATGGGAACATTTCTAATCAACCCTCTTATACAGAGAAGAATTTAAATTATATTAAACTTCATCATCGTTGCAGAAGAATCAAATCTTTAAAAAGAATTTATGTTGGAAATTATGGAATTTTTGTGGCTATTTCTAAGCTCCAGGACTTCTCCTGAGCAAAATATTTCCTATGCTCTCTCTTGCTCTCTCTCTCTAAATATATGTATATATATGTATATATATATATCCCTTAGTGTGACTCTAGGGTTACATATTTTTATTATAAAACCTCACTAAATATGAAAAGTGGAACTTTGTTGCTTTGGGGCATCCTCAGCAGCTGTGGGAATTGTACATATTCATAAAATTCAAGGATTAGTTTCTTCATTAAGAGAAGATAGCTAGCTATCAGTAAATACGATGTATTTGTTTGATTTTTTATTTGTGTGGGTTTGATTTTACAGTGCCATTCCTTTACATTGCTTTTGTTTTAAGAGTTTTGACTTTGTAGTGTACACATGAAAACTGATTTGGTTTTTCCCTTGTTCCTTGCAGTCTGCTGTAATAGATCATCACTAACAGCTTAAATATAGAAAAACCCTGACAATTGCTAATGCAATCTTTATTTGCATCTTGAGTTGGCATACATCTACTTGTTGTAATACTTCGTGAAGTCTATTAAGAGCTTATAAATTTTAATACTTAAAAATTTTTTGCAAAACATTAACTGACAATTTGTTTGAATTTCAAGTTGCAGATGGTGTATTTATCTTAAATAAACTGTGTTCCTAGACTTTGAATTTAATAGCAGGACTGAGATTTTTTGCAGAGCTGCTGAGCATCTGTGTCTCCTTTTGTCTTAATTCACCTGGAGTTACTGATGTGCTTTTCAATGTGGCTTATCTTGCAGAGTTACACAAGCAAGTATGATCCCGATGCTCACTTGAGCAAATGCCTAAACTTTTCCTCTGCAACTCTGCCACATATGTTCCAAAGAAGCATAGAAGGTTACATAGGCAAAAGAATGGGCGCTACACACGGTCCTCCAGCAGGGAAGAAAATGACTGTCTTTATTGATGACATTAACATGCCTCTGATTAATGAATGGGGTGATCAGGTAAAAGGAAAATATTAACATTTGGGAGTTGGTGGTCTTACCATTGTTGCTGCTGGGAATACTGATCTGTGGATTGAAAAAATGGGATAGGTTGCAAAAAGGTATCATAATATGGATTAGAACAAATATGTTTACTAAAAACAATTTCTCCAAGCCACTTTTTGACATGAGTAATAAGCTGTCAGTCCCAAAAGATCAAGGACAGTGTCAAGCGACTTGGTGCAATCATTGTAGTATTTAAGCCTTTTGGTTTGGTTGCATACAAAGCTAGTAGGATTTCCAAAGTAGCAGTCCTGAGAACCAGTCTGGGAAAGGAAGTATGCAAATCCAAGAAATACTCAGAGATTTTTGTTTGATCTGCTCTTGACTTTAAGAGCAATTACTGTTATGTGACATCTAAGCTGGTGGTGAGTCTAAAGAATGAGACTTAAGAAGAAACTGGGTTTGTAGAGCCTTGAGTAAAGAAAGCTTGGAGGAGATCTTATTGCTTTCTGCAACCACCTGAAAGGAGGTTGTAGTGAGGTCAGTGTTGACGGGACAAGGGGAAATGGCTTCAAGTTGTACTAGGGGAAGTTTAGATGGGACATTAGGGAAAAATTTCTTCACCAAAATGGTTGTTGAGCCTTGGAACAGATTGCCCAGGGAAGTGGTGGAGTCACCATCCCTGGAGGTCTTTAAGAGAGGCACCTGGGGACATGGCTTAGTGGTGGATTTGGCAGTACAAGTTTAATGGTTGGACTCAATAATAAAAAGGTCCTTTCCGACCTAAACAATTCTATGATCACAGTTGACATTAAAGACTAGCAAGCTGTCTTGAAGTACTGATTAAAAAATACTTATAGACCCATACTCTGAAAATATGATAGAAATATAAAAAAATTCTGCTGAAAAAAAGCAATTTCCTTGCTTCCAGTGTAGCTCTGTACTCAGTGTCTCTGTGCAAGTGGATGTGTGACTACACATTGTGCTAAATTAACCATTCTTTCTCACTAAGTGCCTGTGTCAATCTGAAGATAGTCTGAATTGAAAATTGAAAGGGCTGTCTTTTCTTAAGTTGAAATTATACAAATACAGTTGAATGTCTGATTTCATGACCACAACTACTTAGCACATGAAGCTTACAGGCAGCCAATGCACTGCATCTGAGTGCTTGGTTGACACATTGCATGTTGACAACCTTAAAACGCTTATCTCCTCCATTCCTTTTTTCTTTGTGTTCGGCTATATTTAGATCACCAATGAGATTGTAAGACAGCTGATGGAACAGAAAGGTTTCTACAATTTGGAGAAGCCAGGGGAATTCACAAATGTAGTTGACATCCAGTTTGTAGCCGCTATGATTCACCCTGGGGGAGGTCGGAATGACATCCCACAGCGCCTGAAACGCCAGTTCACCATCTTCAACTGCACACTACCTTCCACTTCCTCTATTGATAAGATATTTCAAACAATAGCTGAAGGCTATTTCTGTGAACAACGACATTTCCCCGCAGAAGTATGTAAACTGGCTTCAGCATTAGTATCTACAAGTCGAAAGGTTTGGCAAATGACAAAAGCAAAGGTAAAATTACATCTATTAAGCCCTTGAAATATCTTTTGTACTGTACCTTTTGTACTGTTGTGTGTGTTCATATTTCATATTGTGAAGCTGTGACCTGTGGGTGTAACTGCTGGCTGATGCCTCTGTTCTGAATTGGATGCTCTGAGCACCAAGCTCCAGATAAAAATCCTAATCATATGCAGTGTCTTCTGTAGCTGATATAAGCATCTGTAGCTGATATAAGCATCACATTATATACATATAACATAGTAGACATAGCTGATAGGAAGATTGAAAGATCTTCCAGCTGAGAAAATGTTGAGAACACAAGGAACCAGAAATTAAAAATTAGATAGGAATCTTCTGTAAAGCTGTTTGGGATTGTGAGAAACTTTAAAGGTCTGAATTTTAGGAAAGAATTCAAATTTGGCAGAGAGGGAATCAGTTAGAAACAAATGAAATCTGGTATTTAGTAATTTATAAATATTAACTTTTTCCATTTCAAACAAACTGTTACAAACATTTGACTGCAATTCCTGGGCAAATTTTGCTTTGAAAGAGATAGAAAACGTTAAGTATAGAATGAAATTTGAAAAGAACAAAACTGCAGCATAGAAATGTGTGTCAAAATTGTTCTTCTTCTGAGAAAAGTGGTGGAGAGTGGGATTTGTTAAATTCCTGTCCAGAAAAGGTTGGTCCGAATTTCACAAACAACTCACTGTAGACCTATAATTGGTTTACACAGAGAAATAGAGGAACTTCTAGTGAAACTATTGACTCATAACTATTCACCAATATATTCAACAGAACTGGGGGTTTATTACTTCTAATTAACTTCCTTTTCTAGAGAAAATGTAGCTTTTTGCTAGGTTATAAATATTTTCCCAAATAATGTTTTCTCAAATTTTTCCCTTCCCTTCCCTTCCCTTCCCTTCCCCTCATGAACCTTTCCCCAGATAATCATGGAAAGGACAAAAGAAAATAGCAGACACGATCTGGAAGAAGGGGCAGGAGCAACACCACAGGATAGGCAATATTGACATTTTTACTGTGGTCTTCAGTGCCATCATTAACTTACCTGTCTTGGGTACCCTTCAGTGCATGTTCCTGGGACTCGAAAGATTAAAAGAAACTCAGATGAAATCAAAGTGAAATTAAAAAGCTGGTTATTGCTATTGTCGTTTCTTCATTTTATGGTTGCCTCTTAAATGCCAAGCATGTATTTCCACTTTAACGCAAGACTGAAGAAAATATCTACATTCACTTTCACTTAATAATAAGTAGAAAATATTTTCATTTAGCAGTTATTTGAATATGGCTCATGACATTATTTTGTAGATGTTACCAACTCCATCTAAATTTCATTACATCTTCAATTTACGAGACCTCAGTCGTATTTGGCAAGGAATACTTACAGTTACTTCTGATGTCTGCCAGAGCATCAGTGTTTTGGTAGCCTTATTCCAACATGAGTGCAGACGTGTTATTGCAGACAGGTTCATCAGCCAAGGTGATAAAGACTGGTTTGAAGACATGATGAGGAAGGTAAGCAAATAGTATTTTAGTATTTGCCACAGAAAGAGGCCAATGACATATGTCATTACTAATGCAATCCTTAATGTATTGTTGCAGATTGTTTCTGAGGAACACGGTCAAGATATGTTTGGAGATAAATGCACGGAATTATACTTTGTGGATTTCTTGCGTGATGTCCCAGAGACTACTGGAGATGAGCCTGATGATGCAGAGTTGAAGGCTCCTAAAATTTATGAGCCTATCCCATCTTTGGATTACTTGGCTGAAAGATTACGGATGTTCATGCAACAGTACAATGAAACTGTCAGAGGATCAAAGATGGATTTAGTATTTTTCAAGGTATTAATGCTTGTAATTGTATTAATACAGAAAGGGCCTGGTCTTTTGCACTTATTGATGCATAGATCTTGTATGTTTCTATCACATTATTTTGGAGATAGCTCAGAACATATAGGTGGTTTATACAGTGCACATGGTGAATGTAGTCTTGCTTTCCTGAAAGTCACCTCCTTGTCAAAGTCTTGATGCACAGTGCTTTCTTCAACTTTAGTTATGGTGGTTTGATAGAATAACTACAGCAGTTGAATAAGAAGTGCCTATAATACACTTATATTTTACTTTTGTCAGTCTTTTTAGAGAGCTTGTAAATAAGTCAGCTGAAAAGCTGGAGGAGTCCTTTCTGCTTTTCCTTCTGTCGCCTAAGGGGCATGCCTTCAGCCCTGCTGATGACAAACTGTGCATGTGACATTGCTTCATACAAGCTTGATACAAGGACATTTCTCTTGGTCTAGCCCTGCTGCCCACTGAAGTCATGGGGAAATCTCCTGTTGATTTTTATGAGTACAAGACTGAGTTTTTGGCATAGGCTCCAGAGAAGCCATCTAGCTGTTGGGAAGAAGTTCCTTGGTGACATGCTTCTTGTTGATTATACAATGCATCATTTTTGCACCTCTTCATCCCCTTTTCTCTCAATACACAGGATGCAATAATCCATTTGATTAAAATATCACGGATCATTCGTACTCCACAAGGAAATGCATTGTTGGTGGGTGTGGGTGGATCTGGAAAGCAGAGTCTGACCAGACTAGCAGCATACATTGCTGGACACGAGAGCTTTCAGATTACTTTAACAAGGTAACACAATGCAGTGGACATGGACATTTGCTCCTTAATTTGCCATAGAAATGAACTCCTCACAATCAGCTTAAAGAAATGCAAACCTCTCAAACATTTTATCCCTCAGTGTAAATGACATTTTTGGTCTTATATAGACAAATTGGATTATGACCATTTCTGTTAATGACTTAATATTTTGTAGTGCTGGAATTCTGTAATTTATAGAAATTGGAAGTGAAAGGGAGTAGCTACTGCCTTCCTTCTTTTTCTCTTTTGACATAGGGTTTACAAGGCTAGGCAATAAAGACCAGCCAAGAGTATTCTTTTTTGCAAACTATTTAAAATGCTGAGAAGTATTCTTTAGAGAGACATATCAGGTCTATGACTAATCTTATGAGGCTTCTGATGAAAGGAGAGATAAAGAAAGCCATATCACAATCTCTTCCTGTGTCCCAGAAGCAGAAGAAAGGAACACTGAGAACACAAAACAGGAGGGAAAGAAAAAACCCAAAGTGATAGAACAGAATCCCTAGATTTCCAAGATTAGTAAGACAAATATTAAAAATGGCAATGAATATGGAAGGAGTAAGCATGAAATTAGCAGTGAAGAGTGGATGCTGGATCATGTTTTGTCTCTAAGTATCATTTCCCGTAACTGATGTTAGATTATTGAACCAGACACACTGCTATTCTGACTCAGTAGAGAAATTCTTATGTTCCTATCAGAATACCACAAATCACTGTAATAACTGTAGCCGACACATACAAACTGAAGAGCTGGATTGTTTCTCAAGCTCTGAAGTGCTTGCTCTATGGGTATTTATGGAGCAGAAAGAAGATGGAGCTAAAAGAGAACTGGGACACTTCCTGTGTGGCATATTTATGTGAAGAATGGGTCATGTGTGTATTGTACAAATTACTTATGACTTTGAAGAGATTTTTGGAAATAAGAGGCTGGTTACAAAGAAAATAGGTTTTTAATTTCAGCTTTAGTTGGCTTGGGACAAAATCTGCCATTTTTTAACATTACTTTATGTCATTTTATATTGCATAATCTGAAATGTGTAATTTGTGTGGACTTATCTGAATCTTACCTACTGCGTGCACCAGCTATAAGACACATAACAACAGAAGCAGTCATGGTCTCATTTGCAGAAGAACTGATCAGCCCAAGTGATAATGTTCAGACCTAAATTGTGGGGCTTGATTTTAGTTAAACCATATAACACAATAAACCCCTCAGTTTCATTCTCTTTTGTCTATTAATGATTTCCTTTAATCTGCTCTCAGTATCTTCAGAAGATAATCCAGCTATATTTACATAATGGTTACAGGTTTCAGAACCTACTTGACAATTTAATCCAGCTGTATTAACCTATTTCTAATAAAGAATTTACATCTGCAAACCATGGAGATACAAAACAGCATCATAATTGCCTTAGATATAGTATTGCTGTCACCATACTCTTCCCCAGCACATTATTTTGTTGACTTCACCTCTTTTCACATTATTTATATTACTGATCATTCACTTTGGGAAAATGTTTATGAAAAAGAAACCTAAAAAAATGTAACCAGGAGCTGTGGTATTAATTTCTTATCTAGATATTTTTTCCTTGCCTCAAGGAAGCTGATCCAGATTATACATATCTCCTAAGGTGATCTGTAATTCTTGTTCTCTCTTTCCTTAACCCTTTTCTATTCCAGAACATATGCCACCAACAACCTTTTGGATGACCTGAAAATGTTGTACCGTGCTGCCGGTCAAAAAGGAAAGGGTGTTGTCTTTATATTCACAGACAATGAAGTCAGAGATGAATCTTTTCTTGAGTACATGAACAATGTTTTGGCTTCAGGTGAAGTCTCAAATCTTTTTGCACGGGATGAAATAGGTGAAATCACACAAGACCTGATTCCAGCAATGAAGAAGGAGTACCCAAGGCTTAGTCCCACTAGTGAAAATCTTTACAGTTACTTTCTTGCTCGAGTTCGGAATAACCTGCATGTGGTTCTTTGTTTTTCTCCTGTTGGAGAAAAATTCAGAACTCGTGCACTCAAATTTCCAGGTCTGATTTCAGGCTGTACCATAGACTGGTTCCAGCATTGGCCTAAAGATGCTCTTGTAGCAGTTGCACAGCATTTTCTAGCTTCTTACCATATTGAGTGTACAGATGAAGTGAAACAGAGTGTTGTTAACACCATGGGAACAATTCAAGATATTGTAGCTGAAAAATGTGTTGAATACTTTGAACGATATAGGAGACGGACCTTTGTCACACCAAAATCTTACCTGTCCTTCATTGGAGGTTACAAATCTATTTACAAAGAGAAGTTTGCCAGTCTTGGAAGTTTATCTGAACGCATGAGAACAGGTACTGTAAAAGTTTCTTGATTTTTGTTTCTTTCTTTGTTTTTAAAAAGGTGAGAAGAATCTGAATAAAAGGATGTAAAAGCATGGATTTAGATTGTGAGATCGCATTCATTTGGAAGCAGAGTCAAATATTTTTAGCTGTATCGTGTGTGATTAAAAAATGTGCAGAGGTTTTGTTTCCATGAACTTTACGAATGTGCAGATTAAAGAGGAGTTTTGGAAATAGTATTAATTAGCAGTTTAAATACTTGAAACTCCTAATTTGCCATGCATGTATGCCAAGGAACTAATGAGATCCTAGTTTTCACATGTAAGCATGCCATGAGTAAATCTGAAAGGTAATTAAGTGCTCATATTCAGTCCCTCTGAATAATTTTTTTAAGAAACAGGTATATGCCAAAGGTACAGTTTTAAAAACATTGCTCTGCACATAGTCATACATGGTAAACAATTAAAGAGTCTCCTAAACTGAATGCTATTTGGAAGTGAATGTGAACTTAAGTTGCAGACTTGCCCTATATACACATAAGTCCAAAGGTAAAGGGTGGCTGGCTGTCTGGAGAAACAAGCATGTGTTTTTTTGAGCTGGAAAGATATATATGATACATTTACATTTAGAGACATGCACTTATATATGACGATATTTATACTTAAAATTTTTTCTCATAATTTGTTCAATTTTTTTGAGCAGTGTATTGCTCAAGAATCAGTAGGGTTCTTTTACCCCCATCTCATCTGGATCTTCATGTAATGTTGAATTTAGAAGATCAGCCTACTCTCCTTGTGTCTTCACTTTCATTGCCAGGTTTCTTTGTTTTGTACAGAGCACAGCTTGGTACTTTTCATGTTCTCATGGATTTCAGAAATTTCGCACACAATTCTTAGACTGTCATTTCCATGCTAACATTTTTGAGCATGTTTGTTTAATATTTAGTCTCCTTCTCATGTATAAGAATATAAATAAATGATCAAGTGATCAAGTGACAGATTCTGAAGGTTTTTATGCATTAAAAAAAAATAAATCCCCTGCTTAATTTTGGTGTTCAACCAATGGGATCACTCATTGGTGTTCCTAAATATGAATCAGAGCGACTTATTTTAAATATTCACCTTGCTTCTCTGAGGTTACTTTCTCCATAGGGTCTTCCTGTTGCTAAAATGGAATTTGTCCACCATAGGTCTTGCAAAACTGATGGAAGCTGAGGTTTCTGTAAATCAGCTCTCCAAAGAGTTGGTTATGAAGGAGAAAGATTTGGCTATAGCTTCAAAAAAAGCTGATGAAGTTTTATTGGAAGTTACAATGAAAGCCCATGATGCAGAAAAAGTTAAAATGCAGGTGCAAACAGTAAAAGACAAGGCTCAGGCTATTGTGGATGACATTGCCATTGATAAAGCAGCAGCAGAAGAGAAACTTGAAGCTGCAAGACCTGCACTGGAAGAAGCCAAGGCAGCCCTTCAGGTCAGAAACAAATATATTCTGAGCATGCATGCAGTTAATGATTATTATGTGCAATAATTTGACTTGTGCTTTTAACTTGGGAGGATACAGGGGATTGAAAGAATGGCACTAACCTGTAAATCCTTGTAGAAAAAAACCTGAAAACTGAAGAGGGGAAGAGGTAAGATGGGCAGTACTCTACTGTCAGGCAATAAAGCAGTCATAGAGTGGGACTACCTTTAAGGACTTTCTGCAGTAGTGCTTCTTAGGGACCTATAAAACTTTAGCAATTGCACTGCAAGTACAGTCCTCCCAAAAGAACAGCATTCTTTGCAATCGAGTGACTGCTTAAATAAATGGACTATTTTCTTTTATAATTTTTCAGACAATAAAACCTTCTGACATTGCAACTGTTCGCAAACTGGGTAAGCCTCCTCACCTGATAATGCGGATCATGGACTGCGTGCTGCTTTTATTCCAAAGGAAAATAGATGCAGTGACACTAGATCATGAGCATCCAGGTGTGAAGCCATCATGGACTGAGGCTCAGAAGCTAATGAATCATTCAGGATTTCTTAGCATGTTGCTTACTTTTCAGAAGGTAAGTAACTAATAGGGACACTACTGCTTCAATAACCATCTTCAGAGTTCACATGAAAGTGTCTTCTACAATCAAAGGAAGTTTGAAACAGTTTTGTCCATCTATAGTTGTAGATACTTTGTGGCCATTCTTTTTCATTTTCGTGGTTCATTATGTCAGTAATTTTTCTCCTTGGCCATACAGTGGATTCTAGCAGACAGAAGTATCCCAAGCAGTAGATCAAATCTTGAGAAGCTGAGTGTTCTTATTCAGGCAGTTCCTGCTTCTGAGTAGGAATTTGTCTTAAAAGGACCCACTCTTGGCTTTTTAATGGCTCACCTTCTCCAGTGCTACCAGGCCTGTTTGCCTGTAAGGCACTCGACAATTCTGTCTCTAATTTGCTATGGAGGTAGCAGGAAATAAGAAAAAAATGAAATGAGCAGGAAAGGCAATGAGATGATTAGGGAACTTTTTGGGGTTCTTTCACGAGAAAAATAGTGAAATGAAGAATAATATTTTCAACTGTAAGAAATATAAAAGTGAACAGGTTTTTAGTTCTGTCAGGACATAAACTTTTGCAAGGTTCACTGAGCTGTGAGACAAAGGAAAATTCTCTATAAGGACGAGAAGAAAGATGTCACAGGTAGCTGGACCAGAAAAAAACCTAGGGTAGAATATTAAATGGCAGAATCATAGCCCAGCTTTATAATCAAGGAGACCAAGCAGATTTCAGCAAAACCTGGCTTTCCTGCAATGAAGAACATACTTTCATTTGTACCCTAATGTTTTAATCTACTTAGCTGTGCATTTTGCTGATGCCTTTTCTAAGCTGCTGGAGTGTTTTTGTTGTGAAGATCATTCTCAGTATCCCCAGGAGCCATTTCTCCCAGAGAGCCATATTGTGGAAACTTGCACTGCCTCTGTAGACAGTTTTTTCCTGGGGCTGTCAGTCTGGACACTTTTCCAAGTGCTATCTCCACTAAACAGAAAGAGGAAATTAGTTTTAAGATAGCAAGGACTAATTATGCCCTCCTTACTCAAGTTTCTGTCTAATGAGACTTCCAGAGTTTTGGCACTTATTAATAGTGCATGTATTCCTGCTGGTAGCTGGCAGCACATTTAACTCAGAGGAGTCAGAACAACTTCTGTGGGACTGAGTTCTTGCAGGAAGTGATACTGATGAAGGTGGGGTAGAATACTGGACTACTTCAATCCCTGGTGAGGTCCTTCACATGCTGTCTATTTCTCATTTTGAGTATATAGGACAAGAAAGCTTGTTGTGTCTCAGTAGACTACACAGCTTAATTGTTTGTGAGGTTTTTGTTCTTTCCTAGTATTTTTAGGCAATGAAAATTAGTGGATGAAGAAGTTCATTGAGTTCAAAATTAATTACTTAGAAGAAAAAGCATGACATTTTCCAAACTTTTGAGCAGAGGTTTAGACCACTGATGATTGGTCTTTGCTTCACCTTTACCAGCTTGTTAGCTCATTATTTTGAGTAGGAGAATAAAAAAAGTCAAAATTTTTGTCCAGCACTATTTTACATTTTAGCAAATGATCACAGTGAAAACATCACCATGGCTGATCTTGGGAGTAATATAGTGAATGCCTTTTTTATTAGAGTAGCCAAGGATCAGATAAGTACAAGGCAGTCCTTCTGCTGTGCAGAAAAACAAGAAAAGGGTAAATTGCTTGACAGTATGAATGGTGGATGATTTTTAGATGCATTAAAAGAAAGGCATTAATACATTGCCAAAAAAGGGGAAGATTCTTAACATGTCTATTGTTAAGCAGTCATTTTTAGCCTGTATAAGCTCTTCTACTTTCTACCTTGCTTGAGGAGATGAATTCCATTTTCTTCTGACACTTACATAATTATAGATTAACCACCATCATCAAAGATCTGGCATTTCATATTCTCAGCAGATTGTGAAAGGGGAAAAAAAGCTGGGATTAGAATAACAGCTGCAAGACATTTCTTTCACAGTTAAGGAAAAGGGTTAGCTTCAGTGAAGTGGAGACAGTGCCTTGCAGTTTCACCCTTTTCCTTCTGAAATCTGCATGTTTGGTTCCTTTAGCTGTGTTCACACCAGTGCCTGTCTGATGCCGTGGTGAGATTGTTTATGGAACTGGACTAGAAGAAAATTAATCAGTAGTTTTCTGACTTATATTTCTGTCATAACAGTTTCCAAAGTAGTTCACTGAGTGTCGGTGAGGGTATTAAAGTTGGGGCAAAGACATCTGGTTGAGGGGGGAAGAGAAGAAGGTGCAGTGTTGTAGCAGCAATAACTTAGAACAGCTTAAATTGTCATGGAGCTACGAGCACTAGGAGCATCTGTAAAGCTTATGTGTCAAATAGGGATATTAAATGCCAACTCAAGTCAATCTGTTGCAGTAGAAGTAGGAGTTATTTTCACGGGTACACAAAAACTACTAATCTGTCCTTTATAAGAGTGAAAGGCAACAGCGTTACTTTGTTGATTTATTCTGTAATAAGTGATACCCCATGGTTTTAAAAAGAAAAATGTTCCTGTGAAGCAGACCTTATTCAAAAACCCATTTTAAAAAATAATTTTTCCTTTTCATTGACTAGGACTCAATTACAGAAGAAACTGTGGAGCTTTTAGAGCCTTATTTGGATATGGAGGATTATAATCTTGAGACTGCTAAAAAAGTGTGTGGAAATGTAGCAGGTCTTTGCTCATGGACACAAGCAATGGCTTACTTCTATGGTATTAATAAAGAAGTTCTTCCTCTTAAGGTATTTAATATTCATAATTGTATTATTTTGAGAGATTAATATAGTCAAGTGGAAAAAAAAGTTATTTTGGCTAAAAAAGATATTCTTGTTTCTTCACACCTGGTTGTTAAGTCAAGCACACAGAGGTTTAATATGTCCTGGCAACTTTTTCTCCTTACACAGAGCTACCCTGTGGTACAGCTTAAGTTGTGTGAACACAGTAAGCATTCAGTTGGTTCTTTATAGAGTCTGTCTAGCTGTGCATGGGAGATAGTGATACCTTCTCTGCCCTCAGCCAGGCACTATGGCTTCAACAAAACCCCTCAGTCCTTCTGGCCCGGGAAGGAACCCACTCACTGTGGTCCTGATAGAATCTGGGAGAGGAGAGGAGAGATCAGTCTTGGCACAGAAACATTCTTTAAGGAATTTAGCTGGAATTAATCTCCCTAAAAAAAATCTTGGAATTTCAAACTACTATGTGCAAGTGTACATGTGCAATAAAGAAAGTAGTTGTGAGGTGTAGAATTCTGTTGAAATATTGAACTGAAGTAGGAAGCGATCAGCTACTGTTGTATGAATTCCTACAGATAGCTTTATTGTCTTGGAAATGTTCCATTTGTGAGCACATTGAAAATAAGGGTCTTTGCATATTTATATAATGATTTATAGTCATTGCTCCTACAGTGAGTTTTATGGTTCTTTTCTGAAGAAATACATCCAATCCGTTATGCTTCCACTGCGCTCATGTTTGGTTTCTTATTGAATAAGCCACTGTATCAATGGTATAGTCTGCATAATCTTTAAGTATACCTAGACAGATCTGATTCAAATGTGTTAAAAGCCTATTTTTTTATTCAAGTAACTCAAGAGAATGCTGTATTTTTGTGATATATAACTTGCTATTTCCTTTTCAAATAATGGGATGTTCACTAATGAAAACAGAATTTGAAATGTTACCATTGAGAGCTATAAAAGGGAGCAAGACCTGGGGGAAATAGTGGCTTTATATGCAAATGCAGCCCTGAAAGCTGAAAATGTGCTCTTGCAGTTTTTATTTGAATGTATATGATTTAGGATTACATATAAATTTAGCTTTCTGTTCATTCTTGTTACACTGTAGCTGATAAAAAATGAAACATATATATCTTGGCAGAGTGGTGCCTATTGTCAGGTATAGCAACAGTCAAAAATATTTTAAAAACTGAAGATGACAGAGGGAGGGAGGAAGGGTGTAAAGTATGCAGGAGATATTGCAGAAAGCAGTGTAGTGATGCTAAGAAAATAATTGAAAATAAGTGTACAATTAAACTGCATAAAGTACTAGCCCAGGCTAATCCATCCAGTGCTAAAAGCAGGTTTACTGAATGAATTAATCAAGCTGTGTTATCCTAACTGCTGTTCTAAGGTATAAATCCCCTTAAACACCTGCAAAATAGATTCAATATATTTTTAAATTGCATCCTAAGTGAGACTCATTGCCTCATTTATCTTAACTATGACAACCTGTGAAAACTAATTAATAGCCACTTATATTTTAGTGTGCAAAATTATTTATTTCTATATATAGATATATATTTTGGTGTGCAAAATTTTTATTAATGTAATATAACATAACATAACATAACATAACATAACATAACATAATTAATATAATATAATATAATATAATATAATATAATATAATATAATATAATACAATATAATATATATTTTAGTGTACAAAACCTTATATTTTATAGCTTATATATTTAGTGTGCAAAACTTACCTAATTCCTACAAATGGATACTGGCATTCTTTAGATAAGTAACCTGCAGACCAAGGGTCATTAGTTAGACTTTTCTGTAAACCAGCTTGCTCCATTAACCTGAGAATTTTGAAACACCATCTGCTCCTTATCCATTATTTGAAGAACAGCAGAATGGAGAAATTCTGACTTTTGCTGTGATACTGTTAGCCTCCAATTAAAATACTGTGTATTGGAGTATAATTTCCATAGGGATGTCTGCAGTGACTTTAATTAAGTTCTCCTTAGGCTGTTATAGTGATCAAGGGAACTTTGTTTACAGTTTATAAATTCTGTTTGATATTGACGATTCTCCCTGTCACATTCAAGTTTAAGCATGAGACTTTATTGCCTTTTCTACTTTCATTTGTTTCCATGCTGAGCTAAAAAACCACAGCAAGCAATGAAAGGAAATCTTGCACCTGAAGAAGAGGTAATAGTCAAGGAGTGTTGAAATTTGATAGTTGTCCATTTAAATAAGCGTGTCCTTGACAAGGTGATGCCCACTGGGCAGGAAAACAAGCATGCAAGTCTGGATTCAAGGCCCACAATAACTGTAGAAGGAAAGCATATACTTTAGAGTGGTGAAGGGAAGGATTAGGTCACCTAACAAAACAGAGTGAGGTCAGGACATGTAACTGAACAGAAGATATGAAAAGTCTTTCCCTAGCTAGTACAGACAGTGAGAAGCAGATAAAAGACATGATTTCTGTGCCTTTCAAAAGGTTATTTTAGTCCCAAAGAATGGTCACTGATAGAAAAGAAAGCGAGGCCAAGATTTTATTAATGTCACTCTTGCATGGATCTGTTTGCATGTGTCCATAGGTATATATGTATGTGCAGATATATATCTGTTTTCTAAAATTTGTATTAGTTAGGTAAAAACACTGTTTTTGGAATGTCTGCAGAACTTGTGTATGCCTTTGCATTTTTTACAATCTTTTCCTAAGTAATGGTGGATACAAGTGTATCATCATATCGAGTCCCTGAGAAAGTTGATCCAAAACCAATGAAGTGTCTATAGGAAAAATCTGCAATAATCAGGGATAGGAGTAGTATTGGGACTGCATGTCCATGAAGAGTCGTCAGTCAGATGCCATGTGCCCAGAACAGGACTGAAGCAAAAGGCAAAGATGAGCATTTAGCACATCCCCAGGAGGTCAGGAGCAGAGCGACAGAGCCCAAGAAGCCTTCTGGCCTAGTCCAGCAGCAGTAACTGCTCAATGGACTGTAAGAACAGTGGACTTTGAAAGGTGAAATTCCTTAACAAGAGAAGTGCTAGGAAAGCTCCAAATCATCCTTTACCTGTAGAGAACTCTATAGTTTTGGATGCTATTTTTTTTTTTCCTAATGGGATTCTCCTAGTAACATTTCCTCAATTTACTGAGCAGCAGCTTCTCTTCAGAGTGATTTGGGGTTGATCTGGGCATTCCATTCAGGATCAGGAATAGCATTAAATAGTGTGAGGCTTCCTTCTGTTGGAGAAGTCATTTTTATTGAATTGCTTCCTTGGATCATGGTCAGATATATTTGGTACTTTGCAAAACTGAGTTTGCAATGGATCAGCAAGAAACTTAGTGTCTATATCAATACTAATAAATTAAACAGTACTAGTGAATTTTTCTAGGCACTGGAAAGTGATCATTTACACTGGTAAATTTTAAAATGATCCCTAGTGTGATTTGGTCTTTGCTAAACAGCTTTTTTCAGTAGTCTCTGGGCAGCTTTCAGGTTCTAGCCTGGTCCAAGAGCCATTCTCACAAGGCTGCCAACATGTAGTCACAGTGTTTTAGAGGGTGAGAGAGCTTAATGTGAGATTTTTAATGCTGATCAACCTCAGTGCCAGAGAAAGTTCCTGGTCCTGTTTCATTTAAGAGTGTAGCTGTGACTGTAATAATGTTTACTTGTTCTAGTTTTGTGTGGAATACAGACATGTTAAGGGGGGCAGGATCATCTCACCACCTGCTATGAAGTCCTCTCAGAGGGCAGCTTGGAAGCAGGCAAAACAAATGCTAAAGGCCTTAGGCTGTGGCCCTTGTTGGCACAGGTGCTGTCTGTACCTGCCCCACACAGGCAGATGCAGAGGGCAGGCAGCAGCACTGGTTGGAGCAGGAGCTGGGGGGATTGTCTGTCTGGTTCCCCACAATGCCAAAGGCAAGGAAAGGCTGAAGCTACTGCTCCCACACAAACCCAGGCATATTCCAGGGTAGCATCACTTCTCCAGGAGCAGAGATCAGAGTGTGGACCTCTTGTCTTAAATCCTCATGATTCATCTGCATAAAATCCATTTATTCAGGCTTTCACACTGCATCCAACTGGAACAAATTGTGTATCCTTGCTCTGCTGCGTGATGCAGAGGGATGAAATGAAGGGTGGGAAGCTTGTTCACAGAGCAATGCCACTAAAATTAGAAAGGCTACAGTGGTTGTTAGTGGTTGGGAAACATGTTTCCTTCCTGCCTAATATTGGCTGGAAATGATTGTATGGAGCTGATTGCAGCTGTAATAGTCTTCTTGTGAGAAGATTCTCTTTGGCAGCAGAACTTGCCTCCTGCTCTCATGGCAGAGCTCTATACAGGAGGCTGCCAGCAACCTGATACTGATGTCAATACAAAAGCTGTGTTTGTACCCATGAGATTTTGAAAACTTGAGTTTGGGGGAAAAAAACAAAACAGGGAGAAAGGAAATAGTGATGATTTCAAAGGGTCATCTGAACCAAGTAGTCTTTCTGCCTTTGGGAATCAAATAGGTTAGTCATCCTGATATGTTAGCTGTCAGTCTCATCCAACCAACCATTGTTCATCACATATGATAAAATAGCCTATAAATCAAACTAATATTATAATGTCTTATACTTTGCTATGATTACCCTGAAAATGGCTGAGAACTCTGGTTACATTGTCTGTAAAATAGTTTCTTATTATAGGTCATCTTCCAGAAAATCTGTAAAGCCTTGTGTAAATAAGTTTAGGGATTCTTTTCATGTTAGAATACAATATACTTTTTTTTGTACTCATCTGAAATATATTTTTGATGTCCCTACATCTTCAAAGCTGATAGTCTTTTAAGAGTTTTAAGAATGGGGAAGTTTGTTTCATCAATCATTTGTACTTTTCTGGGTAGTTTGTTGCTGCACAGGAACTTGCTTTTCATATTTACAAGGCATCATTTCTCATATGTATTGGGAATTCACATGCCCATCTTTTCCATTGAAGTTCACATCCTGCTGTGATAAATGTCAAGGTGTTATATGAATCCACACAGCCAGGTGTAAGTTCTCTGTTGTTCCAGCTGTTCTGCCAAGGCTGTTATTCATTACCCTCCAAGAATCTTGTTTCCTGTGTAACCTCAGTATTTCTCAGCTGGGACTGAAACAATATGTCATAATACTGTTTGACTCCCATTTTTAGCCCTCAGAGAATTTAAGGATCAAGGATGCTCTGCAGTAGGGAAGGTGGTGGGAAGAGGTGGAAGAGGGCTGGTGCAGGGCTCCTTTTGGATCTCAGTAAGAAAGGCCTGACAACAGATGGTTAAATGAGGCACCTGCTTTAATAAGACAGAAGAATAAGAAGAGTTTAAGATAGTTTGAATGGCCAAAAGATAAATTTTTCTCTTCATGGAGAGGATCTGCTCTGCACAGGATACCATGGGCAAAACTATCCTGGCTGTCTCTTATGCTGCATGAATGGGGGGTGTCCAGCATTTGAAGGGATGTAAAGTTTACTCACTGTTTGTTTGTCTTCTTTTTTTTTTTCTTGTCTTCTTCTTATTTTTTAAAGGCAGTTGTCTTATTAAGCCAGTTGTTGTCAAGCCTTTCTTATTCAGATACAGAAGGAACCCTGCACTATTTGTCTCTCTCTCATAGCTCACCCTTTCCCTGGTGCAGGGGGGACAGTAATACTACGTCACCTCCTAAAAACTCCCTTGCTGTTCGAACTTTGCCCAGTGGTCCAAGATTCACTAAAACATAGCAGCAGCTGATCTGAAATCTGCTTATCTGGGTTTAATCAAGACTCACTGATTGAGCAGTGCTTATTTCTAGGTGATGCTCTTTAATGTGTTTTTTGCTAAACTGTGAGGTAAAAATATTTCGGCATTCTTGCATGATGGAAATTTTATGGGCAGCCATTTTAATGGTTCGTCTGTGTTCTGAAATATTTTTTTTATCTTTAGGATCTGTCAACCCAGCAGTGGCTACAGTAGATGAAATTTTACTGACAGTGCTATTCTCTAGCATTTACTCTCTGCATGTACCTAGATTGCTAATATGCATGGACACAGATACATGTGATGTACCTGTATCCAATGCACATGTATGCAACATACGTGTACATAGATATTAGTAACCTACTTCCTTGATTAGTACATACATGCTTCTCTAATTCCCTGCTCACAAACCACTCTTTTGAAATAGACCAGACCCCAACCCATGGTTATGCTGTTAACTAAGAGTTATCCCTTAAGAGAGATGCCTTTTACTGCTACTCTTCTGGTGTGATGCATTGCAAGTGTCAAGTTTCATATTTGTAATAAAACAGGTTCTACAGACTCTTGGTTTCCATCTTCATAACCCTTATAGAAGAAAAAACCAGAAATAAGATACATGATATTTAAACAAGCTTTTTTAAATATTCAGAGTAAATGAAAGCAACCTTTATCTCTAAGTGTGAATTTCATACGAAATTTGTCAGGCTCTAATCCTTTGCAAATATATATGGAAATACTTTCTGCATTCACAGAATATTTCTTCAACCCTGTTAGGAATATAAAAGTTAAGGGGCCACATTTAAATGGCTGGTAAGTCATCATGCAAATTTATAGAGAGATGTGAAAGAAGTCTCTAGAGTTTTACTTTCCAGAGGAGCAAAAAATACATTTGTTATATTTTTGTTGTAAAAATAATTGATGGAAAAAGAGAGCAGAAGAGTAGTGTATGTTATAATTTTTATTATTTTATAATTAATGAAGACAGTATGAAATTTCTTTTGCACTGAGGCTATATTACAAGAGGCATATATATAAGGCAACCCATTGTATATGTCACCTCATGTGTCTAGTATACAGCTATTTCAAGTGTATTGTGATTTAAAACCATTGGTCATTGTGTGATCAATAGACCATTCTGAAAATATTATTAAAACATCTTAAGATTGCCTTGAATAACTTTAATGCTATCTTTCTGTTCCAGAAGTAAAAGAGCAAAAAAACCCCTTCTTTCTTCTTAAAACTTGTATTATTTTTAAAAGTACCCAATACAGCACAGTATGTTCCGTTAAATGAATGTCATTTGCTTCTGCCAAAAAAACAGGTATTAACTACACTTTACTTTTAAATATCTGTAGGCAAATTTAGCTTTGCAGGAAGGAAGACTTGCAGCTGCCCAGATGGAGCTGAATAGTGCACAAAATCAGCTGGACGAGAAGCAAGCGGAGCTGGATGAAGTACAAGCCATGTATGACACTGCCGTGAGAGAGAAGCAGGCCTTGCTCGATGATGCTGAGGCGTGCAGAAGGAAGATGAACAATGCCTCAGCTCTGATTGAAGGCTTAGGGGGTGAAAAGGTATTAGCACACATGTGCAGGTTTCCAGCACAAAGTAGGTGTGCAGTTTTGGGAATGCTCCATAATGATTGTAGCAGTGCTCAGCAAAATCAAGGCGTGGTGACATCTTGATAACCTATGTCACTTTTTTAAGTTGTATGTATGGTTGTTTTCCTTGATGTTAATGTGCCTAAAAAAGTGAAACAATTTCTTGTGTTAATTCTTCTGCATGAAGATTTATGTTATAACATATGAATCGTATGAGGATAAAGTTCAGATTTAAAGCCAAGGAGCCAAAATTACTTTTAGCTTTTTTAAGAAGAGGAATTAGGCTTAACCTAAATAATTGCCCTAAAATATTTATAAGAAGGATTACTCTCTTTTTCTTACCAAGTGTACAAGAATACAAATTTGAAGCTTGACTAATTTCCTGGATTATAATTGAAGCTTAGGTTTCTACTGGAGCCTTTTACAGAATTGTGGGCTAATTGTTATCCTCTGCACTGAGCTTGAAATTTACCTTTCCTATGCAGATCTTTCTGGCTCCAGCCTGAAGGTTTTCAGAGGAAGCAGGACACTCTTTTTTCCCCTCTTCTTATTTGCTTTGTTAATTCCTTCATTGATTTCACACAAAGTCAAAATTGATGAGAGTTTTGACTTCAACCATTGTGTCCTGTGAGGCTGGCACCTCAGAATTTCTTTGCATTGCTGCCCCTCAAATTACAACAGTCAAAAATCTTAAATGCTTTGTCATATTTTTTTTCAGTGAACTTCTGAATTTAAGAGCAAAAAAAGGAAATTATAGGGCCTTATTGTGGCTTTTATGAAGCTTGGTGCTATGAGATTTTGTAAGAGCTGTTATTCCACTCTACTTTTGAAAATTCAGACAAAAAAAAATTAAAGACACTATATGGCACTTGGAGGATTAGGAAAAACTGACACTGGGTTAAATGTATGTTTTTTAAATTTGAAGCATGCAGGTCCTGACCAAGATTGAATGCAGGGTGATTGTAAGGGAACAGAAACCTGGAAATAAATTAATAAGAAAAATATTAGTTAATTATTTTAATTTTTTTTAGCACACGAAAAATAATACTTATAAAATTGCAGCATGATGGAATAATTGAGATTGGAAGGGACCTCTGGAAACCATCTAATGCAAAGCACACATCCCTCGTTCCCCCCTTCTCAAGGCTCAGTGCATTTTTTGGTTGGGTTTTGAATATCTTCCAGGATTCCCCCACTTCCTTTGGCAACCTATTTTGGTTTTTGACCACTCTCACTGAAATAAAGGGATTTTTTTTGTGTGCTGAATTTAAATATCTTATATTCCAATTTGTGTCCATTGCCCCTTGTCATTTCACAAAGTACCAGTGAAAAGACTCTGGCAGAATTTTCCTTTTTACACCTTCTCATCATGTATTTGTGCGCATAATTACATGTGTACAAATTCCCCCTACATTCTCTGTGTTCAAGTCTGAACAAGGTTGCCCCCAAATTTTAGATCTCTGATCAATTCTTTACCTGCAAATCTGAGGTTAAGCAAACTGCCTTTCCCTCATTAAATCCTCACTCGACTGTGATGAGAACTTTTGTCAATGCCTTCCTTAAAACCTCAAGGATTGCTTGTGTCTTTCTGTGTTATCCCTTCAGATATTGGGTTGTTGAAGACCAAGGCCTGTGGATCAAAGGTTTCTTCCCCTCATCTTCTTCTTGTTAATCACATTGTCTGTGGCAGACACTCATGTCTCCCATGCTGATCTTCCCTCTGATGCTAACTCATAGGCTCCCACCTGGCATATTATCTGTCCATCCTCGAGTCTCCCATGCTGAACACATGCATTCCACTGCTCTGTCACATGAGAGAAAACCCCTTTTCTCACCTTCCCAACCTGTCCCTCCTAACAAGCCCATAGACAGCTGATGCAGCTCTCCAGTTGTGGATGTCTTTCCACCATGTTCCCATGACCCCCATCATATCATGACGCTGCAGCTACATGCAGAGTCCTCTTTTTTTCTCCATGCTGTGCACGTTCATGTAGAAACACTTCAGAGAGGTGCCGAGCTGTGATAATTCATGTCCTATAAGCATTATGAAGGCTGTCCCCACCATTCTGTCTGGTGAACAATTTGTTTTTGTGGGTATCCTTAAGATGGTCCTTCATTAGCCCTGTTTTGTTGATTACAAGGTCCCTACAGTTTATCTCACCTCACACATTTTGTTTGCCAGACCCATCCTCCACTTCCTCACATGGCTATTGGTCCTCCTCTGCCTGACACTTCATTCCTCCTTTAAAGCTCTTACCAGTTTGACCAGCTTGTTCACAAAGATGCTTTTTCTCCGCTTGGTCAAGTGGTTGCCAAACTTCACGTCCAAGCAAACTTCTACTTCTGGAAAGAATTATTTAAAGCAAAAGATACTCCTGTTCTGAAGAAAAGTTATTTAACGGAAAGAGATAAGTTTTTAAGTTAGATGTTTGTGTTAGTTTTGTGTCTGCTTAAGCTAACTTCCTTTTAATATTTTACATACAGCTTCGTTGGACAGCAAGCAGCAAAAACTTTCAAAATCAAATTATTAATTTGGTGGGGAATGTTCTTCTGGCCACTGGATTTCTCTCTTATTCTGGACCTTTCAATCAGGAGTACAGGAATTTGCTACTCCAATTGTGGAAGAAAGAGATGGACAATAGCAAGATTCCATACAGTAAAGTAAGCGTTCATGTTTTGTTCTGACCTTTTTCTTTGCCTTGCTGAGAAATTATATGCAGAGCATTTCATTCCAGAAAAGTACATAATTGGAAGATTATATACAAGCTGTCACATTCAATCAAATCTTTAATAAATAAAAAGTCTGAACAGTTGACAACTGAGCTTCTAAACCAATATGTTTTAAATTCCTCTTTATACTGTCAGGCATTTCACAATTGGTATGTAGGACACTGCTCTGGCAAATCTGAGAGAGAAATGCTGTCTGAGTTAGCTGGCCTGGGAGAAATAGCATAATACAGGAAACAAAGTAAAATTTATCAGCTTAGAATCCACTTATCTTTTCATAAGAGGAAACATCACCTTTGCACTTCCATGTGTTATCAGTACATACCCTCCTGTCATACCCTCTGCTGCATACCCACAACATTTAATTTTGTTTAATTTGAAGTGTCTTGTAAAAAGCATTTTGCAAGGGTTACTGCAGTGTTAGCTTTTAAATCCATGCACCTTTGTCACCAGTGAGGCTGTTCTAGTGAGGCTGACATTGCAGTATCTCCTTCCCTGGCCTGTGTCTGTGCAGGCAGAGGTGGCCTAAAATGCAGTGAAGCTACAGTCCCATATTTTCAGTTTCTATTTCTTGCCACTTCATATTCTACCTTTATTAAGGTGAGCTGTCTGCATGCTGAGACTATGAGACAGGGCAACATACCTTGCATGAATCTTGTCCTTTACTTTTACCATTATCTGCCTCAGGAGTGCCAGACCTGGCAGATGTTCTGGTGCAGAGGCTTTGCTTATGGCCAACAGCAGCCTTGCTCCTTTTCCATGACTTTTAGGAGGTCTGTCTAATTATCTTCCATGTACCTGGAAGACATATTCATACTGAAGGCAGAATTTAGGCCATAGTAATCAAAGCTGTCTTTCTGAGTTGTCTTCCACTTGGTTTTGTGAGTACCTGTGTGCATTTTCTTCAGCAGTAAAGGCTGCAGAAATAGTTCAGGAACTCTCTCTTCCTCTCAGCACAGGAGTTGAGGCATTAAGCTCAAACATTTCCTGTTCTCAGCTCTCAAAGACTTTGACAAAGCAGTGGCTGCTGAAAAATGCTGTGAGCTACTGAGCAACCTATGTACATGTGTATCATTGTGAAAGAGTTAAAGGTAGATCTGCATCTTTTCAGTGTTTTTGGGATTTAGCACTTAAAACCTCTATTTAGGAGACCTCTTTTCCATGAGGGGTTTGTTCACTTCATAGAAGTTACTTGTGAATATATTTTTCTATATTTTTAATGTTAGGTTAGCATAATTCTTGTAATTCTGATTAACCTTGACTTGAGGGAGGGAAACTTGCAATCCAGCCCAATTTACACTGTGACTTAAAAGATGAATGACTCTGACCCACCCAGTAAAGCTCTCTGAAAACTGCTGATGATAAAAAATATGTAAGGCCAAGATGGATTTATTCATAAAGTACCAGGAGCAATGCAGTTTCAGGCAAGATTCTTAACCGGTGTGGCATGGGAGTTATCCTACATGCACTCATCCCAGGGAGGCTCTTTCCCAAGTTCAGTGTACAAAATGTTCTTAAAAGCTACTTTGGGCAGTATCTGTCAAGATTCTCACCATTTTAGGATAAGAAACTGGATATATAATGTCCTTAGAAAGCAATACATAAAGAACTAAAGTTCTGCTTTCATGAGGGTATTCTGACTGCATTACTATTTGGCTGCATCCTTGAAAATTTGAGTAATATTTTCTTACGGTTTCTATGTTGCTCCCCCCTTCCCCCTGCAATATGCTTCAGTTAGATGGATACCATAGTTAATGAGTTTCAAAACGAATTTACCATTCTGTTTAGAGTTCCCATTAAAGACAGAATTATGATTTCCATCATAGTATATCGAAGAGAGTTTTGATTTTTCCCAGGGAATTAAGTACTCACAAAAGGCAGCATATGGGCCTTTCTTGATACTTCACACCACAGGAAAGAAAGCAGCTTTGCAGTTCAAGCACAAGGCTTGACATCTGCTTTAGTTTGTCACAGACTAACTGACCGTGGGCGTATGAGTCATTTAGGCATAACAATTTACAAAGATCTGTTTAAAATTAGCCACTTATCTGTTTAGTTAGGCACTTAAATTAGCTGAGTTTCAGAGTTGCAGGGTGACTGATACTTCTTGCTGTAGGTAAGAAAATGTTCAAATCTGTTTAGATCCTACTCATCTGCTTAAGGAGCTAGATATGGTTTTAGGTTCCAATTGCTGAAAAAATTGCCTATTAAATCCTTTTCTGTCCTTTGCACAAACGGAAACTTGATTATTAAAATTTCTCTGTCTTCGAAGGATGATTTGTGTTGCTTCATCATGAGTCTTCAATAATTTTAGAAGTAAAAAAATCAAAGGAGTAAAGATGCTTTGGTGTCTTGCAACCACTGGTATCATTAGGTCTCATGATTGTATCACAACTCTCACAGTATTTGAAGTTTTGCTTTAGGCTTCAGACACCAAATTATGTGATTTTCATAAGATTTACAGGCTTTTACTTTCTTTCATGTCTGTATTTCAAACATGTCTTTAGATAAAGCCTGCAAGTATGAATTGTTGAATGAAAAGTAAGGAGCAAATAAAAAAATACCTTCAATTTTATTATTTTAAAAATTCTCAATCCTTACTAAGGTGCTTTTCTAAATTGGAGAGTTTGGTTTGCTATTTTCAGCAGTTTTTTCTTCACGTACACTTTTTTGAGAGGCCAGTCACTTTTCAGAGTGAATAAAATAAAGCAAGTTAGCTGACAAGTGCAAATCAGACTTAAGGAGAATATGCGAACTGTGAAGGGTTTTAGCTTAGCAGCAATAGCCTTTCATGATAGTTCATGGTTACTGATCCATAGCACATCTCCACATTCTTCTCTTAGTCTCCCACAGCCATCCTGTACTTGGAAGGCACTTTCCAGCAGGTGGAAGGCCTTGTGAGCAAGATGACAATTCCACTTGAACTAGCAGGAAAAGTATTTGCTATTAAAAATGGCCAAAAATCACTTTGTCATTAGATACTGAACTGGCTTCAGAGTTTTTCTGACACTCTCTGATGGACATCAAAGCCTCAACAGAATTCACTTTCATTACTGCTCAACTGCAGTGATTGAGCCACTGAGCTTTAAAGAAAAGGAACAGTAAGCAATAACTACCAAATACACTCTACCATGCATTCTGACCAGAATAAGAAGGAAAACCATCCAGTAGATGTTTTAGTATAGCTCCTCTAACTGACACTAATTTTGTATTTGCATGTTTTCTACTGGTACTAATTTTGTAATTGAATATTTTCTGTTAGAACTTGAACCTTACTGGTATGCTTGTTGACAATGCTACAGTGGGTGAGTGGAACATCCAGGGTCTTCCAAATGATGACCTTTCAATTCAAAATGGCATTATTGTCACAAAAGCATCTAGATATCCTTTGCTGATTGACCCACAAGGTCAAGGAAAGATCTGGATCAAAAATAAGGAAAAGAATAATGGACTGCAGGTAAATACTTAACTTACAATTCTTTAAAATGTGTGTGTCATTTGTGTCATCATGCTTTGGCCATGTGATTTTAAATCTGATGTTTATGGGTGTAGAGCTATGCAGAAACTGAAACAAGACTGACACATATAGAACCTGTACCCTATATCAAGGTATCAATAACAGGGCAAAATAACTCACACTGATATGTTATGGCATATCTATTTTATGATGACTCTTTTAATTTCTTGCTGTAGTGAAAGAGAAACAAAGAGGGAAGTAAAAGGTTGTATCTCATTCTCCACCTTCCTGGAGAGTTGTATCTCCTGCTCTGAATCTGAGTTCTCCCCAGAAAGTCCAGGGGGAACAGAGTTATGTCAAGATCCTAAGTACACAAGTGTTTAAGTTATGGCTTACACCTGGGGTATTGTAATTTGCTGTGGTCTTGTTAGTGTTATGCTGTTGGTCACCCAGACACTAGCTTTATCCCTCAGCTGAATCTGAAATAAAAATGTAGGGAACCTGCTGTTTTGGTGGATACACATATTCCTACATAACAAACAGAAAGTGCAGAGTGGTGGAACAGAGTATTAATTTTTAAATATTATACTCGTTTGATTCTGTGTAATGTGCCTCTAGATATTTTAATTATACCTTTTTCAAAGAGCTGTGCTTGCAAGACAAGGATTTTTATTTTAAAAACATGTCTATCCTAAATTTTTTCCAGGTTAAAAAAACACCTGAAAACCATGACATAAGAGATGCCTGCAAAGACTATTCAATTATCATCTTAAAGAATTATATTAAATATATTAAATTTGAATAAATGAAAAGGAGTCTGTTTGACTTTTAGCAATTTTAAGACTGGTGGAACTGAATTGGAAATTGAACATCTGATGTCAGATCAGGCCTCCTATATAACGCTGGCTCCCTTTCTGAACTCCATAAACATTTCCCTACTTCACATTAGTGTTCTAAGCATAAATCTATTTATATTTTGGAGATATTAAGATATCACAATGATGAAATAGATATGCAGATAAAAAGGTAAATAAGTGACAATAAAGAAATCTGATGATCTATCCTCCTTAGTTTAAAGCAAAACTTCCATTCATGTCAGGAGAAATGTAGCCATTTGCATAGATATCCCAAGATGAGTACAATTTTTTAAAGCTTCAATAGATTTTATGCTGTTTTCTGTGTGCTTTCAAATGCATGCTGTGCTGTGACTCAATCTTCCTAGGTTACAGCTATGAACCACAAGTTCTTCAGAAGTCATATAGAAGACTCCTTGACCCTTGGCCGACCTCTGTTAATTGAAGACATTGGAGAGGAACTTGATCCTGCTCTAGATAACATCTTGGAAAAAAATTTCATAAAATCTGGTTCAGCATACAAAGTAAGATGAATTGTAGACATGAAATCAAAACCCAACAGGACAGATGTTGGGTATGGGGTAGTCTGAATACTGACATGATTTGTACCTTTAAAACACTTAGAAAATGTGTAGTGAATTCATGGGGTAGTTTAGGGGGCTTTTTTACCCTTAATCAGAAAGTTTAAAAAGTGTAAATGAAAACATTAAAAAAAAATTCATAGATTTTTTTTTTCATCAGATAAAATAACAGTTTTTCTGAATTCGGCTTTCAAAAATTGAGAAATGCTTTTTATTTTCAGGTGAAAGTAGGTGACAAGGAGGTAGATCTGACAGAGGGGTTTACCCTCTATATGACAACAAAGGTGGCTAATCCTGTTTATACTCCAGAAATTAGTGCAAGAACAACTGTGATTGACTTTACTGTTACTATGAAAGGGCTGGAAGATCAGCTCCTTGGTCGTGTCATCCTCACAGAAAAGCAGGTATGGAATCTTGCAGTATTTGACTAGAGGGAAGGCTTGTTCAGTATCTGCACCAGGAGTGCATACATATCCAATGGCTTGGCTGAAATCAAATGCAAGAACAAAAATGTGAATGAAAGTTTAAAGGTTCTGCATTCACTGAAATACAATGTGATGCTGTTTTTTAGTTGAATGGGGGAATCTAAACACTTATTTTAAGATCTGGCCTTGGAAAGAGAAGAAAGAAAATTATTCATTAAAAATACATCACAGGCATGCACATGACATACATAAAACAACTTTATTCCTTCATATATGGAAAGGGCTTCTTGTTCAGTCAGAAATCTCTTGTATTTCTAAATTCCTTTTTAAACTTAATTTGAATTACATGAAAAAATACTTATGAACTTGATCTACTTTTGCCAGCCAGGCTCTAGTGTGCAGGGAGATAAAAGATTCTTAAGGAGCCCTGAACACTGACTTGACTCTGTTCTTACTAAAATTTGCATTGATTATGTGGAAGTTAATATAAGGAAGAAAATTCTCTCTCAGATGAGAGAAAAAACTGAGGTTTGCATTAGCAGAGCTGCTGTTTTCATTAGGTAGCTCAGGTAGGCTCCTAATGTGAGAGGAGTTGCCTATCTAAAGGAATTAATTCTTCCTTTGCCTTCCCCAAAGCATGTTCTAACCAGCGTTCTTTAGTGGTGCTGTCATTTTCTCCAGCCAGCACCCTTCCACTTTGCTCAAAATGAGCCTTCACTGAAGTAAGGACTGTTTTTTAAGGTGCCCTTCCTTCAGCCTGAGAATCACAGAGGCTGGAAAGTCATTGTAATGCACAAACTTCCGGTGAATTGTTCCATGGAAAACAGAAAGACTGTAACAGGAGGTACTAGGGAAAAATAGGGTGGGACAAATACTTTAGAGGCAGAACTTTTAATCTTCGCTCCAGTAGATGTAGGTTTCTGTAAGCAAAATTGAACAGCATCAGCAGGAGTGAATGGGAGTATCCTGACTAACCTCTGAAGGGAGGGAGAGGTCTAAATCAAGATAGAAGTAATAGAAGTGAAATAGGTTTCTCATGACTTACATATAAAAATCCTCTTCCTACAAGATACCCTTGCTCTGTGCTGTTTTTTTTTTTTTTCTTGGACAGAACTGTTAGAGAATTCATACTGAATGTATGTAGCAACACCTAGACTGCATTGTGTCAAAAATAGAGTCACTGAAAATTATTCCTCCAGTGCTGTACATCAGCTGAAGAGAGTTGCAAGGGAACCTGGTTTATATTGGCACTACTTGCTGCACAGGGACATGGTTGCAGCTGACCAACATTTATTAAACTTCTTTTGGCAGATATGAAGACATTATGGTTGTTGTCTCTTCTGTCTCAGTAAGAGGTGAATGTGATGGTGTAGATAGTTTGAACTAAAAAATTAGTTCAAAGAAAAGGCACAACATGAACAGAGCTTCTGAAGAACAGGTTTTCTATTACAAAGAGACAACTTTATGATTGCTGAGCTAAAGTAATAGATTAAAGGAACCAAGACATTCTTAAAGATTTCTCTAGTGATCAATGAAATGTGATCAAAGAAGTGTTTATTCTTCCCAGCTTTATAGGTTGATCCTGTAAATATAGAAAAAAAAAAACCCAGCATATTTTTGTACTTTGATAATGGAGTTGCTGCCACTATTTGTGTTCAGAACAACTATTATTTATGTTACAAATATGGTTGTGAAGTTCCCTTGCAAGCAAAAACTTGCACCTGGTATATTTGCTAATTTTCTGAAATACATCTTTTACAGGCTTATAAGGGTAAAGTGGAATTCCACATTCTAATGGGGAATTTAAGCATGTAGTTAAATGTATTTTTGAGTGTTTTGTGGAAGTATTCCTTTTGTGTAATTCTAATTGGGGTTTTTTTTTGTATTAATGGTATAGAAAGAGGAGTAAATGTAGAAAGCTGAATTACTGATGCTTAAGCCATTCCCCTCTTTGGAATGCAGTCACTTGTAGCATGTACTCTGCAGCCCTAGAACATATTTCAAACAGGTTTCCAAGTGAGAAGCTTGTGAAAATAAAGAAATTTGTCACTTCTTTGAAATACAGGAGAACCTCTCCGGTACTATATAACTCTGTACATCTCCTTTTTCTGTAGCTTGACATGTTGACAAAAATGAAAATGAACTGAAGCCATAAGTGTAGATAGACTATTCTTAACAGTCCTTTTCTTATAGGAAGGTTTACTGGATTGATTAAATAAAGACAGCCAGCAAAAGTATCCGTGAGCTGTGCAGACTGTGCTGTATAGATGCCTCATTTCACTTGGCGTTGTGTTGACTTATTTGCCTTTTTTCCCTTGTCATTGTCTGTCTTGTAGAAAGGGCAAAAAAAATCCATATGACATAGCTAATAATTGTAACATTTCCTGTTTTATAAGCAGTAGAGGATTGTATCTTTCAAAGTCACAGAATGGTAGAAATTAGAAATGGAAAAGGTCATCCAGTCAATTTTGCTCACAATGTAAAATCCAGCCATACAAAGCATCTTTCAGGCCTTTATCTGATTTAATTTTAAGTACTCAATGTAATGTGGCTTTTATCACTTGCTGTTGGAAACTATCTTTAGTGGTTTGTGTGCCTTACTATGAGGAAGCTTTTCCTGGTAATTCTGATGTGTTTTCATTCTCCAGCATTTATGCTTCATTAATCAAATAAATACAGGATGCATATAAATTAATTTACTATATATATTCATCGTCCATATAAATTATTTTTAGTACAGAAATATTTAGTAATATTTCAGTATTTTATGGAAAAGCAAACAAAGTCCCCACTCTGACATGCATGAAATCATGTTTTCTTTGTTTTTATAAGGAATCTTTCTTTTAATTGATGTTAAATATTCTATGGCAAATTTCTTGAATACAGGAACTGGAAGCAGAAAGAATCAAACTGATGGAACAAGTGACATCCAACAAGAGGAAAATGCAGGAGCTTGAAGATAATCTGCTCTGCCGTCTAACCAGTACAGAAGGCTCTTTGGTTGAAGATGAGTCTCTGATAGAAGTCTTAAGGATCACTAAAACAACAGCAGAAGAGGTGAACTTTGAATGTGCTGCAGATACATTCTGTAATTGCAATTTAAAGATAGTACATATAATGATGTATGTGTATATTTTCATTCCCATTTTATTTTTTTTCTATTCAGAGCAACTATATAATAAATAAATAGTAGAAACACTAATTTGTTATTCATAAAAATTGGCAATATTTAACTGCAACCTGGATACTGTTTATATTCCAGGCATATTTTTCAGGTGTAAATTTGAATCAGTTCCCATTTTGGCAGGAGCTGGAACACGTGAAGACACAACATCTGTGTTGAAACTCTGGCAGAGGGTGGCAAAGCTCAACTAAAAATATTATTGTAGTCTTAATCAAGACCTTTTCTTTTTGCTTATGTAGTATAAGTCACAAGTAATACAACTTAATCTTCATGGTCTTTTCCATTAATTTTAAGGTCAGTGAAAAATTAAACACAGCAATGGAGACAGAGGTGAAAATCAATACTGCACGTGAAGAGTATCGACCTGTGGCAGGTCGAGGTAGCATCCTTTATTTCCTCATTGTGGAGATGAGCTTGGTTAATGTCATGTACCAAACATCTTTAGGGCAGTTCCTTGGCATTTTTGACCTATCAGTGGAAAGATCTCGTAAATCTCAAATTCCAGCAAAAAGGGTGGTTTATATAATCGAGCATCTCACCTATGAAGTCTTCAAGTACACAGTTCAAGGGCTGTATGAAAATCACAGGTTCCTGTTCACATTACTTCTGGCACTGAAGATTGACTTGCAGGCCAAGAAAATTACACATGCTGAGTTTGAGACACTGATCAAAGGTAATTTCTCTAAAAATGTTTCTGTTTTTCCTATGTCTGTACTGCCAAATTCAGATTTTGCAGTACTTGCATTAACAATGTGTTATATTCTGTGGATCTACTTGTTTTTAAGTTGTGAATGAAAGCATATATAGTCCAAGAAGGAATTGAGAGACAAATTTTCCAAAACAAGAGTAATATAGATTATTTGTTATCAAAATAATGCTTAGATGAGGATTATTTTAACTCTTATACATTACAAAACGGGAAAAAATAAGTCCATTACTTGTTAGAGAACTTACAGCCTCTACTGTCTGCCTCTTTTTCAAGTTGCCACATATCTGTGTCTGTGAGATTGTAGACAATCAGCAAAAGCTCTCTTGATGGCTGATGAACAGGCATGTGAATTCTGTACCAGGCTTAAATATCAGCACAAAAAAAATTGGAAGACTGTTACATGTTGTTAAACACTTTTATATTGCATTGCATTATGTCACCACTGTATGTCACTACTCAGACACAATGACAAAGAAAACTTTGAATAAGGTTTATAAAATTTGATGGTGGTTGACCTCACTGAGGTCTCCAAGATAAATGCAATCTGGTGCAAAGACAAGTACAGTCAGGTGCTTGGCATCCAAATATCTCAGTTTGTTTGGCAAACACTGAGTGACTGTTCAGCTGTGGCTCAGCTGTGCTGGGTGTGCAAATGGGCATGAGGCTGAGTGGTGGTTGAGCTAAGAGGCTGCTGACGTTGCAGTCCTCGATATGAATGCACCATGTGCTTTTCTTATTCTTTAGCATAGATGAAAGGAGGCTGTACTAACCATTATATGTCTGCTCTGAAGAACTGGGTTTGAGGATCCTTTTAGGTGGTCGCATTTTATCTCATCTCTACAGATAGAGTAGAAGCAGCATAAAAATTAGTGGGATATCAGCTCTGGGAGGAGCTGAGGCCACTTCTCAATTAGGTCATTGTTAAGTTTTTTCTCCATGCAAATGTTACTTCTCTATATCCTGGTTTACATAAAATGTTACTCCCTGAATTATATAAAACCAGTATTTTTATTATTTGTCATTTTTCTGTTTAACAATGTTTGTTTTCCTCTATAATACTTTTCACTTTGCAGGAGGTGCCAGCTTGGACATGAATTCTGTGGAACCAAAACCAAAAAAGTGGATCCTTGACACGACATGGCTCAATCTTGTGCAGTTATCTAGCTTGTACCCTTTCAATCAACTTCTAGTGCAAATTGTTAAGAATGAGAAGTCTTGGAAAGCTTGGTTTGATGAAGAAGCTCCTGAAAAATCTGTTATTCCTGATGGTTATGACAGCTTACTGGATCAATTCCATAAACTGCTCCTTGTCCGTAGCTGGTGCCCCGATCACACCGTTGCCCAAGTAAGATACATTTTTGTACAGTGCTTATGCCATGTGACATCTCCTGAAGTACTGCTAGTTCCAAACTTAGTTCTCTGCATTTCTTGTTATCATAATATTTGTTGCAGAGTGAGCTATTTTGAAAAATCAGATATTGAAATGCTCACAGAAAAATATGTGTGAAATAAATTAATTTATTTAATTGCAATGAACTAAAAAGTGGAACATGAAGCAAATTGTGTTAGAGCTGCAGGAATACCATTCTTTTGGTGTGGTACTTTTCACAGTTTAGTCATGCAGCCTGTAAAGAAGTTGCATTCCTCTGGTGAATCAAAAGATACATCCCTGTTCTCTTTCACAGAAACAGTGGGAAAAGAGCAATTCACTTTTATGACAGGTGCACTAAAACAGCAGATAAACTGTTTACTTACCCTCTCTACTGAGGAAGTAATAATTAAGGCTGCCTTGTGGCAAATGTCATAAAAGAAACTGCAGTAGACTAGCAGTTTCTCCACAGATTGTGATATTTCGTTTTTCTTCTCTATGTAGGTGTAAAAGAGAGGTATGAGCCTATGAGTACCCTCTTTTCATTTTTTTTTTCCTTTCTGTACTGGAAAGTGGTTGTTTTTCTTTCCTGCCTATCTCAACTTTACATTTTACATGCTGTGATAGCATCTGTGTTGTATTTAGGGGACACTATACTTTCATGGACCTCTTTTTCAACAAGGCTCTCTCCACTCTTTTTTGTTTTCTACTCTTCACTCAGTAAAGTAGGAGAGAAGTATGGGAGCTCCAACTGCCATAATTTAGACAGAGCAAAATAATAAAGCTGCTACTTCTTATTTATCAACTGAATATCTATCAACAATTATCTATCAACTAATTTATCTAATTTAACTAATTTGTTATTGTCTTGCACAAATATCTCTGAAAAAATAATGTCTCTGAACAATGGTTGCTAAAATAGGTCATTATTTTAATTTTTGAGGGGAGAGGGGATCTCTTTTGTTACTCTTTTTTAATCTCGTCTTTTCCTATTGTGTTTTCCCAAGTATTAGAAATTTTACCTGTCTAGGACAAAAGTTACACTTAACAGTGGGTGATTGAGGGTTTTTTTTCCTACAGTTGACATCTTCCTCAGTCCACCTTGTTCCTCAGTGCTTCTCTTCATCATGCATGCCTCAGAATCTGTGAGAGTCAATACATAGCTAGGAAATCACCCCAGTCAAAAAAGAATTTCATGCACTAAGGTAGCTTTAGAAGTTCCTTTAGAAAATGTCTGTGAAAAGAAAAAAAATAGAGGCATAAAGAAGGTTTGACCTTTAAGGATCAAGTCTGAGTTTATATTTTGTAGAAATAGATATTCAGCCTAAGAGACTTGAATTGGATAACCACTGGACAGGAGAATTTGTTTGAAGTTCCAATAAATATATGGGAGATTGTAACTGGGTCAGATGAAAGATCTGCATAATCCACTATGCTGTAGAGACAGTGTCAACAATCCATACTTAGAGGAACTAAAAAGGGAACTGGTACAGAGAAACTCTTTTATTTGGCTATCCACCAAGTTTTAACAGGCAGTAATTTAGGGGCAATATCTGGGATGTCCTCAGAGCTGACACTGGATCTATTCTGCATGGATTTTTTTTCCAGTTCTTTAAGAAACTCCATTTAGCATTTTCTAGCAACAGTGTTCACAGGTGGCTGTTGCGTGAGCAGAATTCTTTCTCTTCTGTGTTTGAAGTTTGCTATCTGAGAATTTCAATGGTTGCCTCCTGTGGACAAAAGTTGAAAAATTAAAGTTTAGACAGTTATTGCCTTCCAATGTAGATTTTGATAAATTCCACATTTCTAATTAATGCTAAACTTAAAAAGGTAAAGATAGATATATTTTTCTGGGAATTTTTTTTTTTCCAGGCTCGGCACTACATTGCAGAATCTCTTGGAGGGAAGTATGCAGAAGGATTTATTCTTGAAATGGAAGCAATGTGGACAGAAAGTGGCTGTCGAACACCTTTGACGTGCCTTTTATCAGTGGGGTCTGACCCCACTGAAAATATAGAACGTCTTGCAAAATCAAAGGTATCCTCCTAAACTGAGTTTGCTAGAGCTGATAAAGAGCTTATTAACTCTTCTCTGCACTAGCATATATTAATACCTAGTGTTCTCTGGAAGTTAATTTTTGAGCAGTAGCCAAAATGCATTTACTAGGAAATTAAAATGTTGTAGTCCTCCGTTTTGCAGTTGTTTGATTTCAATGAGACCTCCGCCTTTATCCAGCGGACTATGATATCCCACTTCTTAAGAAATGTACTAACCTATAGAACAAAGCAACATTTGTGGTTTAAATTGTGTTACATTCACTGTAGGAGCTGACAGTAATGATGATTACAAGAAGATACAGAAAAAAAAAATCATAATTCTGGTGACAAGAGGAATTAATTTTAACACCCTAGCATTCAATCTGTGCACTTGATGGAGACATTCAACATTTCCTACAGAACAGCATCACTTTGTGCTCTGTTTTATGGTTCACAATGTAGCATCATATAAAATTTTCCCAAGAAGAAGTTATTTACTTTAGATCTCCATAAATTTTTCTCCTCGTTAGAATGCATCTTCATTTAATGGTGCAGGATTTTAGAATACACTGAGTAAGACATGCAAGAGTGGGAGGATCCACAAATCTCTTCAGCTTATTAATCAGAAAGTGGAGATGCTCATTCAATTTGAAAATCAGGGCCCTTGTTTGTCTCTGTATTAAAATTGCTTAAATCATTACTAACTTTCACTTAGTGTTTAAATTTAGGAATCTTAAATCTGAAGTCATTAATTTGATCCTTGTCTGCTGTCAGACCAAGAGGATATTGCAATCTTAATATGTTTCTATGCTTTCAGGAAATGTATATAGAACAAATGGAAAGTGAGGTTGTGAAAGAGCTGAAGGGGTTGCCTTCTTTATTCACACACAGTTTATGAGCAAGGCAACATCAGCTGGGCTGCCACAACGTGAAGTTCAACTCTAGTGTCACCTGTAAATGTAAAGTCAACCACATTGTTTAACTGTAAGGCTCTTTTCCAACCTCTTGAAGTAAAGACCTAACCACCCAGCATATAGAAACTTTTCTAGTTTACAAAAGGCATACTAATTTCACAAACCAAAATGCAAACAGAGATGTTTTTAAAAATAAAAATGTGTATAACATGTGGAACTGGAGGAGCATTTCAGCAATTCTTTAGCTTTTGAATAGGTTATCTAGAAATAATTTAATTTTTAGAAACATTGTCAAGGGAGCTTTGTGTTTGTTTTGCTAGTACGTCAACAAATTGTACTTTTCTTTGGAATTTCTCTGCTTTAATCTTTAATATAGGTTAGTTTTACCAGGGACTTGATCTTGAAGGGGGTGGTGGTGGTGCTGGGGTTTTTTCTTCTTAATGATAACAAACTTGGGCCTCTTTTTACAATGATTTCTCTTTTACAGTCATGATTTGTAGTCTTAAAATGGTTTTCCAGTGCTAATGGTGTCACTAAGTATGATATTAACAGCATAAATCAGCTATCTGCTGTTCAAATTTGTGCCCAGAATTTATTTTTCACTCTAAAATTTAGCTCTTCAGGTGGCCCTTTCCCAAAGAAATGAGAACATTATCTGTGGTTACTGAGCTGTGTAATCTAGTTTATAAGCCAAACAAGCTCCATCAAAATAGTTGCATTTATGCCCCCTTTACCTTCACTTTAGGATGGTGTGAAAATTCAGCTTTCAGGATTAAAATGAAGTTTCTTATGCCAGAACTTTGACTTCATTAAAATCAGATTTTTTTTAAAACTGTAGAGATCATTTCCTCTTTTAGGGAATAATGCAGAGAACCCTCAACAGAACTGTCAGGGCCACTGTAGTGACTAAAATGCCAGCATTTTCATCTGGATTGTGATGTATTAAGATGACATGGATATGCTGACATGACTCACTATTGAAAGAAACATTCTGTATGCAGACATTTGATAGAGTTCTTTCAGAAGGAGTAAAATGAGGACAATTCGTAGTGAAAAAAATTTTTTCCTTCTCTCGATGTTTCTATAACCTTTAATGATTGTACATTTTAGAGGCAACATTGCTGAGAAGAGCAAATTATGAGTAGGTGCTTTGTCAGGGAATAATGTATCTGCTGAATATTTATGCACTCTTATGCAGGGGTATTCATAGTCTGACTTACAGGAGTGCTGGCTGTACTCAGATGCATCTCAGAAAAGGTAAAGTTTTTTGGTTCTCTGGCACATAGCCAGCTTCACAGGCTGTGCAGCTTTGCTTCTTTTAGCTACAGTTTCAGGTTTCACTGACCTGAGAGTAGGATTTAACTGCTTTCTTATCTTTGGCATTCTCATGTCCTTAAATCTTGCCAGGATATGGGGGATCATATACAGCAGTTGTATTTATACTGTTCTGTAAAATCAGGTCAGGGCCCATTCTCTGACCCTGAGGCCAAATGACCCAGCACAGTTTGTGTCCATATGCTAAACCTTCTTCTCCTGCAAAAGGAGGGCAGCCTCCTCCCCACTGTTTAGGAGTGGATGTCTCTTGGGTTTCCTGCAGTCAGGATGACCCTGAGAGTCTCTTTTTCCCAGCCTGTTGGTCGAAGAAGGAGTTGGAATTCCTTGGCTCTGGTTTTCAAGGCTGTTTATTTTCTCTTATCTAATACATTCTTTTCCTGACCCGCAGAGGTCTGTCTAGCAGGTCTGTCCAAGGCACACTGCCCGCCCTCAGGCTGGTGTCAACATTTTGTACTAAAAACTACGTGTACTTTATTTACCATTATTTTCCAATACCTCTCATCTCTGTTAGACTGTCTACTTCTACCCTAAACCAATCTAAAAGTGCCAACATCACACAGAAAATGGAGGCTAGGAAGAAGACGGAAGAAGGACAAGACAGCGCCCAAATCTCTCCATCTTTCCCCCTAGATCCCTATACTAAAAATCCCCAAAATTCCACTTTTCACCCTGTGATAAATTCATTATCATTCTACTTAAACTTTTTGTGACTTGTAACTCTTCATACAAGGTTGGTAATTTGCTCCATGGGTTAAAATCAAAAACCCAAGTGTCTTTGGCTTCCTGCCAAAATCTCCGAGCCCCCTGCCAGCAGCTTGAGCCATCCTGGGCACCCAGAGGCATGTCCTGGGTTCCAACAGATGTCTTCCTTCCTTTTTGTTTCACAGTAAGGGAGTCTGAGTAGGTGTACAGGTCAGCTGTAGGTCTTGAATGTGAAACTCTCCATGATTTTGCAATACTCTTAGTTTATATTTGGAGCCTGGTTAATTTAGCTCTGTGGCATCCATGCACTGATATATTGTGGTCCAGTGGAAGCCTGTGTTAAAAAATAAAAATTTGCAATTACCAGATATTTCCCTAACCCTACCTATGTACTGCCATCTGAGTCTGTAGATGGTTCACTAAAAAGCAGTTTTTCCTACTTACATCTGCACCATGCAGGGATATCTGCACAGCAGGGATAGGAATATAAGTGAAAGGAATATATCTAATCCATAGAAAGACCCCACACAATGATTATGGTCAATGATTTTGAACACCATTGCCTCACACAGTAGCTTAATTTTTGAAATTCAAAAGCTATTGTTCCAGACTCAGAGATTTAAAAAATACTTTTAAAAAGAGGATTTTTTTTCTTCGTGAAAATGTTAATATTCCTGTTCTTTGTTTGTACAAATTTAGCTACTAGATAAACAATCAAGTGTTTGGCCTTGCCTGTGTTAAATGCATTTTTTTAAAGTTGGTGAAATAGAGTTCCAGCTGGACTACTGCATTCTTAACATATTGCATGTATTCTTCTGCACTTAAGCTTTCTTCACAATTAATATCAATCAGTGTTTTACTGTTAATTCTAACTATTCTACAGGAAAGAAGAAAGTTTGGCCCATTGGGCTGGAATATTCCTTATGAATTTAATCAGGCAGACTTCGCAGCCAGCGTGCAGTTCCTTCAGAACCACTTGAACGATGTGGGCATCAAGCAGGGAGTGAACTGGAGCTGTGTTCGCTACATGCTCGGAGAAGTGCAGTATGGAGGCCGCGTGACCGATGACCTCGACAAGGCACTGCTGAATACGTACACAAGGGTCTGGTTTGGAGAGCACATGTTCAGTGAAAAGTTTTGTTTCTACAAAGGCTATGTTATTCCAAAAGGGAATACTGTGGAAGACCATCTCCAGTACATAGAGCAGTTGCCAGTGATTGATACACCAGAGGTAAAATATTTTAATATATTAAAGGGAGTTTTTGTGAGATTAATAACTTAATGAGGTTTTTTTTCCAGAATTGTGTATGCATAGGTCAAGATTAGCAGGCAGATCACTATAGTGGGTATTCAGTGTAGATCTGCTGAACATGAAGAGGTAGATGCGGCCTTCTTCAAACGATTGGAAAAAGTCTCGTATTCACAGGCCCTCGTTCTTATGAAGGACTATTAGCAACCCTAATTATCCTCTGGAAGGTTGATACAGCAAGGTTCAAGTATCAATGTGTATAAAACCCTGTTGGAATGCTGTAAAGATGGAGCTAGAGCCTTTTTGATAATATCTTATGAAAGGAAAAGAGGCAATGCACATAAACAAGAGGAAATTCCATCTGAGAGCAAGAGAACAATTTTTAAGTGGAGGTGGTCAAACACTGGAAGAGTTTTTGTGAAGAGATATTGTGAAGTCTTTTCTTTGTAGACATTGAAATCCCTACTAGACACTGTCCTGGTCATCCTGCTCTGTCTGACCCCGCTTGAGAAGATGATTTGGGTTACATGACCCTCAGAGGTCCCTTCCAAACCAAACTATTTGGTGGTTTCACAATTCTGTATGGGAATGAGCAGACATGCAATCTGAGAAATAATGAAAGTAAAAAAGCCCTATGGTCTCATTTTGCAAGTTATAATTGCAAAAAAATATAATTTTGACAACAGAAAGATGTGGATGTCATCAATGCCATGAACTGATGGGGTAGGGTGCAGGGTAGCTCCTGGTTGTAACCAGTTTTACATGACCCAATGTGTGCATATCACGGTGGTCACAGGGACTGGAGGATGGTGACTTTCTGCTCCCTCCAGTACAGGCACACATGATGAAGTTAGTTAAAACTGAAACAGAAGAGAATGCTCTGGAAAATTGAAACAGAGGTGAATGGTCTAGATTTCTGTCTCATTTCTATTAAGTTGATAAATGCCATTGGAAATAAGTTCTATTAAAATTAAATAGACTGAGTGGAACAGAAAAAACTGGTTTTCACTTACTGATAATGTTCTGGCTCAGAGGGTGAGAAGTTTCCAAGGTCATAAAATAAGCTTGGAAAGTTCTGAATCTCTGAAGATAGTTAAACCAGAATGCAAAGGTATTTGTGCCAGCAATGAGGTACCTTTTCCAGGTGAAAGTAAATGCAGACGTAATAATGCATCACTGGGATCCATTTGAGCCCAGCTTGTGAAATGGTTCCTATCAGTGTATGAACCTTGGCTCTATCAGATTTCAGGTTCTGCTTTCATGGATCTGCTCTTTTAAGCACTTGAGAACCTATCTCACAATACTGCAATGTATTTTTAAAGTGTTTTGATGCCTGTAAAAAATCTTTATGTATGGTTTGAGGTAGGGGAATTTTACCTTTGGCTTTTATGTAAATAGAAGCAAGTCCAGGAATGCAAACATCTTTTTGTTCTTCACATTTTCACTCGTTAGGAAGAAAGCTGTGACTTTCTTCTGTCATTCTAAAATCTGTCAAAATTGCTCATGAAAACCTTTAACCTTTTAATCTCCCAATCTTCTTTGTTTCACAAAAGATACAGTGCTAGTTGAAACAGTGTATCCTTGATTCATTCCTTTTCCATTTTTAGTTAAGAAAGATGGACTTGGTCTGCTTGCAGTGTCCTTGCTCCTTTGATGAAATTTCATCCTCAGAGCAGAATGAACACTGTCTTCTGAGAAGGGCAATTGAACTCAGTGTATTGGGTTAGGATGGAAACGTTTCAGTAGCAGGGGGCTAAGGAGTGGCTTCTGTGAGATGCTGGTAGAAGCTTCACCCCTGTGTGGCAGGGCCAGTGTCAGACAGCTCCAAGACAGACCCACTGCTGGGATAATGTATTCATGAAGGATAAAAAGCTGCACGGGAATCTTCTGTCAGAGAGAGGAGTGAGAATATGTGAGAGGAACAGTTCTGCAGACCCCAACATCGGTGAAGAAGGAGGGGCAGGAGATGCTCCAGGTGCCGGAGCAGAGATTCCCCTGCAGCCCATAGAGAACCCCACCCTGGAGCGGGTGGATGCCTAAAGGAGGCTGTGACCCTGTGGGAAGTCCGTGCTGGAACAGGTTCCTGCAAGATCTATGGCTCCATGGGGAGAGGAGTCCATGATGGAGCAGATTTTCTGTCCAAGGTTATGACCCCACAGGTGCCCCATGCTGAAGCAGGCTGTTCCTGGAGGTCTGCACCCTGGACAAGGGACCCACACTGGAGCAGTTCACTGGAGCAGCCCAATGGATTAGTTTGTGGAGGACTCTCATGCTGGAGCAGGGGTAGAGTGGGAGGCGTCCTGCACCTGAGGAGGAAGGAGTTGGACACAGTGTGTGACAAACTGACCACAAGTCCTGTTCCCTCTTCCTTGTCTCCTTGTGCTCCAGGGGGAGGAAATAGAGAATTTGGGAATTAAGTTGAGTCTGGGAAGAAGGGGCAGGTGGAGGGAAGGTGTTTTTATGATTTGGTTTTATTTCTCATGATCCTACTCTGATTTGATTGGTAATAAGTTAAATTAATTTCCCCAGCTCAAGTCTGTTTTGCCTGTGATGATAACTGGAGATTGATCTCTCCCTCTTCTTATCTCAGACCATGGACTTTTTGTTGTGACTTCTCTCCCCTGTCCAGTTGAGCAGGGGATGATGGAGGAGTGATTTCAGAGGAGTGTAGAGCTTTAGCAACTGTTTTTGAGGACTCATAAGGCTGGAAAATCCTGAAAGAAAGAATCCAACATTCTCTTTTTAAACAACATTCCCAGAGATTTTGGATCAAAAAGAACAAGAGAGTTGGGTCCTTGACTAAAGGACATTCAGAAAACTGGTCCACCCACTGTTTTCTTTCTTTCTTCTTCATACATCACTTGCATGAAACCATAGGACCAGAGCTGTCTCCCATGTCTCCCTGTCTTTCTTAATATTGATCCAATGTTTGTTAGCCCTTGGACTAGGGCTCCACTCACAGATATAGCAAATATTCTTCATGGTGCTAACTTGGGCTATAATATCACCACAAAATCTGCCAGAGCAAAACCAAGGAAATAAGCCGTCACTGTGCAAGAGCAAAAGCGGGAAAGAATTTATCTTCAAATGTGTGTTTCCTTCCACAAAGAATATGAATGTAATGAAGTACATTGGTATTTTTGCCTTTTACAGCTCTAAACATTCAGTTTGAGTAAACGACTGTTTGCAAAACTTTAAATCCTATCTGGAATCTACCTACTATTATAGTCACACCCTCACTCAAATATGGTATTAGGTCTCTACTTTGTTCTGTTTTAAGGGTAAGATTTCCAAGTGGTGTAAATCAGTGCAGCTTTGCTGGCTTTGGCAATGGTGCAGCCACTTATATCCCTTGTCCCTGAGTTTCTAGATTTACAAGTATAACAATATTAAATGGCCCTTTTAATTCTCTCCTCAGAGTATGTAAATACTGGTTTCTAGAAGTGCTTTCTTGCAATATACTGATTCTAATGTAAAATATGAAAACTGAATATGTGGCAAAAAGTGAAAAATGAGAAACAGAAGATTGCTTGGCTTTTGTGCTCAGCTTGAGGGCAAGCCTTCCTCATTGACGGATCAGTGGTTCAAAGTTTGTAAGAGATATGTAATATCTATAATTAAATGAGAGCTGGTGAAATAAGTCACAGTACGTACAATTCCTCCTGGAGAAGGGTTACAATTGTCAATGTGACAATTATAGACTTACTGATATTTCAGTAAAGTTTCTGAAAAAGCTATTATCATTCAGACAAAGGGCAGCTTTGCAATAATTCTGTGCTAGCTGTATCTTAAATAAAATAATTCAATTTCAGGAGAAGGAGAAGTAAGGAGGGGGAAGCTTCAACAAAAATAGCTAAACCATAAAATATCCTATATATATCACCATCTTTAGGTGCTTCAGATGTGGGCATTATTTTATTCACCATGCTACATGCCTTATAAGCCTAAGAGTCTGAGTAAAATAAAACATGTTAGAAATGTTGACTGGTCAGATAATTAGAGGCATCTACTTGAGCTGGTACAAGAGCAATAGATCCACAGAGACACAGAACTAATGCTAAGGGGTCAATGTCCACAAATGACATTTCCAACATTGAACCAAAGTAAAGGGATTTCTTCTCACCCCCTTGATACCATTCCACAGAAGACAATGCGATCAGTTAAAAAACCCTCCACTGACGTGAATGAAAACACTATTGCATATGCAGCCTGTGTTAATGTTTAGTGAAATTTGGGTTTGGTCCTTGACCATTTAAATGGAAGAACTTCCAGTGATATCTATTGTTTTATGGAGCTGAGAATTTTTTTCCTTGTCTATCCATTTTCATGAATTCTTTTTTTCCCCATCAATTTTTATACCTTTCACTTTAAGGTGTTTGGACTTCACCCTAATGCAGATATAACTTACCAGACCAACCTGGCTAATGAGACATTCAGTACCATAGTGAGCATCCAGCCCAAAGACAGCAGTACCAGAGGGGGAGAAACCCGGGAAGCAGTGGTGCAGCGTCTTGCTGATGAGATGCTAGAGAAGTTACCTCCAGATTATAATCCTCATGAGGTATGTACTACTTTATAAAACAGATGTTTTATGTATGCATGTATATACATTCGTGTTTTGTAAGTTTTATTGTGCTTCTTAAATTTAACTGGCATATGTTTTAAAAAGATCTTAAAATTATGCATAGGGGTTTATAAGTCTGTTTTGCTTTATTATCTGACATATTCCTACATCAGAAAGACATATTTCAAATGCCACAGTCCACTCAATCAGTCACCTTAACTCAGAAGACCCATTAAAGGCTTCAGAAAGTTCTTGCTTTCCTTAGTAGCTTACAGATGTAGCTTGATGACTTTCTGAGGGTCTGGTGATCCTATAGTGGTTACAGCATTAAATTTACCTACTCCCATTATGACACCACCATGATGAAGAGTGAATTTTATCACGGGCCTTTTCATGCTCTAGATTTTTTTGGGTCTGAGCCATAAGAGGTGTCTTTGTCAATATTTTCTTGCATTTTTTATTAACATCCCCATTAAATGGAAAAATCCAGCATAGAGACTCTTGCATCAGTTTATAAGTAGGTTCTGCTGCCTTGCCAAGGGTTTCATGAACAGTAAATATTAAAATGCCCTCATTTCCATGATTTTATGCTTTACAATTCTGTTTTGCCTTGATAGTGCTTCCCCCCTCCCCCGCTCCCCCCCAGTTGTAGTTCAAGCTGGTAAAATGCTCAGTATGAATTACAACTTGCTATGCATGCTTTATTTTCTTCTCTGGCCAACCTAGAATGTCCACCTAAGTAACAACTAATCATCTTGGGAGCTCAGCAGTATTTCCTGTCTTCCCTTCTACTATTAATCTCAGATTGAATATGTCTTGGATAAATAGCCACTTTTGTAATGTCATAATTCAGCTTGGAACTTCTCTTTTCATTCCCCTGTTGTCAAGCTACTTACAATCTGCAACATTTTTTGGTGAAACATGTTGCCACAAAATGTTTTCTTACTATCTTGTTATTTTTCGTTTTCGTCACCTTCTTATTGAGTGAGTCTTAATGACAGTATATGCATAATTTTTTGTAGAATTTGATTAAGAAGAGTCAGTTTTAAGAGTCCGTTTTCTAGTTCTCATATTATTATTTAATAGTTAATAAATATTAGAAATAGAAAATAAAATTAAATCTAGTAAGTGTAATAATAATTCATAATTTAATGAATGTAATAATTTTCATGTTGTATCTACAACCATCATTTACACCTTAAATTGTTCTCAGTCCTCTTCCCTTATCTTTCCAATCAGAGTAAAGCTTTTTCATGGAACTAGATTCTTCTAGTTTCATTCAGCTCCTTCATTGTTTTTTCCAATTTACAGTAGCAGTAAAATACTGAATGCCTGGATACCATGTATACTTTTGCCATATTTGTAATATGGGTATTGAGCTAAGTTTTTACAATATACTTGCTAAATCCTCCAATGGACTATTTCTTCATTCTCTTGTTAAGCTGACAACTTTTTTCCTCCTGAAGAATTTGTAATGCTTAGAAAACATCGATAGTACTTACTGCACTTTACATTGTAACCAGAGGGTAGTCTCAGGTTTTACCCCTGGGAAATCCATGCAGTACCTTTTGGTCATGTAAAATGCACATACACTCGTTTAATCCAAATTTCACTTTGGATTAAACTGTTTTTCTCTGGCATTTCTTCTGTTTAATATTAGGCTCATTCACTTTCTTTCCTTCCTTGGTTTATTCACTGAGGTTATGCACACAAACCACATGTGGGGGATGCCTCCCCTTTTGAGTCACTTCATCAAATCTTAGCTTTGGAGACCATCAGTTTTGGAACCAGGGACTGTAATTAAGGGCAAAGGGTCTGAAAGGGTTATTTCAGATGCTCAGTCCTTCACTCTTGACTTATCTCTCTCTATTTTACTGCTGCATTTGTATTTGTATATAATACATACTGTTTCATGTGTCTGTATTAAAAAAAAAATCACCACCAATTGTTTCAATTTCATTTCACTCTCATCATCAAGCAGTATGACAAACTATTATCTTTTCTCATGATCTGCCAATCATACACGAGGGTTCTTATTTTCTAATAAGCAATCATCATTGCAATGATGCTCAGAATTAACATTTCTTTGCTTCAGTGCTGTTTCTCTTACATCTTCTATGAGCTTCAAAGGAAACTTATTTTGCTTTAATTGGCTTGATAGCTGTCCTGTTATGATTCAACCAAGGAGATTTGAGCTTGTACAGAGGATGTGCTGTTAGATTGACTTTTTTCTTCTGTATTTCTTACAGATGCATTCTGAGTTCAGTAAGTGTAGATACCACCTCTTTCTGGGGATATCTAGTTTTCTAAAGCTCTGTGCATCTTTATCTGTGAATTACACTTCACTTTGATTAATCATACCACTCTATTTATGCGCCTTTTTTTCAGTCTACACTACTGATGGATGGCACAGTACTTTTCCACAGAAACATTAAAAATTATGTCTAGTTTCTGTAGCATGGTAGTCATTCCTTTGTTCTGACCATCTAGAGAATATCCTGTGTTCATTTTCCAAGAGTTTGGTGTTGCTAATAACGTATTCCTTGGAATATCTCATTGGCTGTCTCACCTGCACTGCAACGTCTACAGATTTTAATTCTGTAGTGTTATGAGATTTGACATTGTTTTTTCTGGACCCTGATTTTTCAGTATTTCTTTAATCAGTCTGCCTAGTGAATTTGCCCTTTGTCCCTTCCTCTACATTTTAGAACTTGTATCATTCTCTACATCTTAGAACTTGATTTGGTCTTTCCAAATTCTTTCCTTGTTGTAGAGGAATTTCCCTTTTCTACCATTAGAGCCCAGTTCCACGTCTTACGTGTTGCTTATGTGCCAGAAGTGTGGCCACATCTACACAAGAAGCAAAAAAATCTATATCACATGTGTATCCCATTTAAGCTGTTACTGAATTATTCTAGAACCTTTTAGAAAGCATGGATATAGCTGAAGTGAGCTGTAAAGAAAGCTAAATTTTTAAATGCAAGTTTGCATAGGCTGAAAAAAGCCCCAAACCCAAATGACTAAAATACAGAAAAAGAAAATGAGTATCATGTTCAATAACATATAACAAAGAATTTCATCAATCAGAGCAGAAAAGAAGGGAGAATTTAGGTATTCTCTGAGGAAAGAAGCAATAGTTTGGCAGAAGCTACAATATGGCAAATGAAATTATGCTTGCAGGTATAAGGAGTGAAATGGATTATGCAATTACTTGCTGCGATTTCTGAGAAAAAGAAAAAACAACGGAAATTAGATGGGTTCTGTTATTTGTCAATTTAAGTCAACATTTGGTCATTCAGGACATTGTTACATACTAATCAATTTAATAAATCTGAAACAAATAAAACAAATATCCTAAATTGTAAAAGGCTGAGGGAGTGTGTCTAGAAAAAGAGTTTGTATGCATTTTCCTTATTGCAAAAGATCAGTAAAAACAGAAGCATTCATTAGTCCTACCAGTACAGCTTGGGTTTGCTTTTAGAATAATATTGTGCTCCAGTAATGCCATGATGTGTTAGTCTTTGAAAACCTAGGTACAAAGATATTATCAGTGGAGAAAAGGAGCAAAATTTTTTTGAAACAATGAAGGTAATTAAAAGCAAATTCTCTTCAGAGAAAGTGGCAGGTGCCGTTGCTACTTTTGATCAGTTCATGTGGCTCCCTTTAGAAAATGTGGAGTGAATTTGCAGAGAGCTACAACCCCAACAGACTGGGTTAGGGACAGATGGTACCAACACCAATTATTTGCTGACATTCAGAGCTCCAGATTGTATTTTCTCTTGATACATTGTGAATCCAGAGAAATTTCAGGCTGCCACAGAGAGGCCTTCATTTCTCAATTATAAGCCTTCAGCAATGACTTCAGTCTCAACAGCTTTCAAAACAGGGCAACCATTTTACCCCATGATGTATGCTGCTTCTTTTGTTGTTGTGTTTTTGCAATGCTTCTCACCAGTCAAGTAACTTACTCAAAAGAGCAGAAACAAAATGAGTCACCTTTGCATGCTTTCTCAGCTTGTGGTTTGACACAGGTGGTGGAAAAGCAAAATAAACCTTCCTCCTGACCTGAAACTGTCCTCATTTTCCTCTGAGTAAGAATTCTGCTTTCATGAACCTTTTTGCTTCTGGGCCTCGCCTTGCAGGTTACAGAGAGATTAGTGGTAAAATGATTAGGTCCAGTCAGTCCATGAGAGTGAAGACAGGTGCAAGAATAAATGTCAGCCTGTCACGCAGAGAAGTTTACAAAGAAAATGATCCTTGCATCTTGAAAAACAGCTTTCTAAGGAATAGCAAGTAGCAGCAGTTTTTTTTCTTTAAATATTTTCTGTAGTATTGATTTAGCTGTAATTCCTCTAAGGCTATGGCTACATTAGCAAGCACTGCATGGAAATAGGAATTTGTCTGAGAACCCCAGGCCTTCATTAGATGTTTTGCTGGGGAATTTGCCTTGTCTAACTCTAGTCTGGGCCTGTAGGCTGACCCCATTAGTAATTGAAGTACCTTAGAGTCCCTGAAGCACACCTTTTGCGTTAGTTTAATTTGAAGCTAAAACCTTTGTATGCCTGAAATCTAGTGTTCAGTAGAGGGTTTTTGCTACAAAAAAAAAACAACCCAAAAATTAAAAAAAATATTCAGGGTCTGTACAGAAACACTGACATAGATGATTCTGTAATGTGTCATTGGTTTTACTTATCAACACTATCAGATATGGTGGTTATCCAGCTCTGGAGCGTCTTCTATTTTCTATGTATTTTAGTCTCTGCTTCCTTATGTGCAGCAAGGAAGGGGTTCTTGACTTCCCTTGAAAAGAGCTTTGGCTTATCCATCTACAGAGTGATGGACTTCCCATTTCTCCTGACAGGGAATGTAGCAAGTAACGAAGTCTGATTAAAAAAAATAGCATTTACTGAAAACCATAGGCAGTCACTACTACAGTAACTTGATCAATGATCATGGCATGAGTTCAGCAACCACTTTTCTACTGACAGTCCTATAAAGTATGTGCTGACAAAGAAACTGGTGACCTGAGGAGAGTTAAGAAATATGCATAAAGGAATCTGACACAGTAGAGATATGCATTGCAAAATCATGTAGACAAAGCTATTAAGATTATTATTTTAGTAGCTCCTTTCTTAAATCACATTGTTTTATGTTGGATGATAGCTGTTTGCATAATGAAAAGGGGATGTTCTAAGTGGGCTTTATGGAATTATTATATTAATCTCAGAAAAGCTATTTTGGTTAATGAGTTCAGTCTTTTGAGGGTTTTTTTTTCTGAGACTCAGTATCCATATCTTTATGTCATAATAAGTACAGCCCCGGCTGTAAGTTATCTGATTGCTTGATAAGAAGAATTTTAATACAAAACTACTTAATCATAATTCAGTGCTTGTATTTGAAATGAATCCTAGCAGCAATACTTCCAAGAAATGCACTGTGTTGTACTCAGTAAATCTCACCATAGATCAGGATTGATTTGTATACAATAAAGTAAGAAGTATGGAACTTTTTTCCCCAATTTCGATATCTGGTTATGCTTGGTACTCCAGCCTGAGTGTTCTGAGCATATCTAGGTTGGATTAGCAAATTTCTGCCTTATTGGTTGCCTCCATAATTCAAAACATTATAGGTATTTTTGTAGGTACATGAAAGTAAATCAGAAGATTGTGTTCTGAGAATTCACTAGTTAAATTTTACAATTATCAGAGCAGTAATATTTTAGAATTTTTATTTAATGTCCTGTTTGTAGAGTCATAAATATCGGTATTTTGGAAAATAACCCCTTTAATAACATCTTTCATACAATTTTTCCTCAAACGGGAGAATTCTTCCTCTAAATGATCCCCAAAAGGAACATATGCTTTGTAGACTAGAAATAAAAATTGTGTTTCCTATTTAAAGGATAAAATGCATAGACTATATACTGTACAATTTCTTTCTTATTAGTGGCATGCACTAGACTTCTAAGTATTCTGAAAAAAATAAATAATGTTTTTACTTTTTGTCAAGAAGCAAAATTACCAATTCCTGTGAATTTTTCAGAAAGCAGAAGTTTTCCCTGGATTTTTTGTGAAATAATCAGAATATTTAATTGTGTGGATTATCCAAAAACTTTATTGCCTCAGCTCTAGTCTATGATAGCTGATTTAAGTATTTTTTTCTCTTTCACAGGCAGGACACATTAACTCAGTCTGTAAAATGTACTGTCACACTGCAAAGCATTAGCATAATTGGCTGGCACCTATTTCTTGGACATTCTGTCTGACAAATCCATAGGTCCTTGTGATTAAAATATGATGTATAACCTTGCTGATAGCTGTCTCCCAAGGAGGATAGCATAAAAAGTTGAGAAAGAGTATTTTATTGGGCTTAGAGTTGAAATTTAAGATTTGGAAATTGCCAAAGCATTTATGTATTTATACCAGTGTTTATAACTACTTATCTGCTGTATGATATTCATCTTGCAGAAATTTGCCATTCATGGTAATAATTAAATCTTTAGTAATGTTTATTATTTGTTTAAAATGTACAGTATACATAATATTATACATAATAAGATATATGAGCCATTGGCTTTCTAAAAGTGGGGAACAATTCTTGAAAGTCTGAAAAATCGGGAGTTCTGGCACTGTGGCACTGTGTGGGCTATAGGCACCATGACTTTTGCAGGTGCCATTAAACCCTCTCTCATGCACTGTAGTATACAGTGAACCTTGATATACACAGAACCTGCAGTGCATGGCTGAAGCACATTCCATGCACATCATATGCAGAAGAGAGACAGGGAATGCTATTGCTACTTTCATTATGACATGTCCTTAACCAGCACAGGCAACTGCTTCCGTTTTGAAAACATTCTCTGTTGAATTTGAGAGAAACTGTTACCCTTGAAAACTAAAAAGGCCAAAGGCTTCTACTTGCAAAATGGTGCACATAATGGTGTAACAGATTTCTGTGGCAGCTGTATTATTTCTGTCAGTCTTGCCTCTCTAGTAATGTATCCATGAGCATCTTGTCTTATGAACAAGTCACATGCTACTGAAAGTAGCAGCTTTTACATATCATTGTTCTTGTTAAGTGGAACTCCATTTGTTACATTATTTCAGCTCCGTAGGGCAAGGAAAGGTGATGAAGTTCACCCAGCACAATTTGGAAATACAAAGAAGTTACCATCAAACAGTGCTTTTGTATAGCATGTGGGGTTTTTTATTTTAAGATCTAAGACCCTGCAGCCTAACAAGGACAGAAGGAACTGCTGTGTCCCTTCAAAAAGAGGGAACTTTCCCTTCTTAGAATGATGGAGGAGCTCATTCTGGTAAGCTAATGAGTCACAGTGTGCTAAATCTTACAGTTGGCACAGGGCTTGAATGGCCATCTGTTACTAAAATGTTTCTTTTCTGAAAATGTTTTTGCTTTCAAAAATTATTGCATGGGAAACAGGAGATTAGATTTTATAATTGCACTATTCTTTTTTAGGTGAAAGCACAACTTCAAAAGATGGGAGCTTTTCAGCCCATAAACATATTTCTCCGTCAAGAAATTGACCGGATGCAACTTGTTATATCCAGAGTTCGAACTACACTGACTGATCTCAAATTGGCTATTGATGGTAAGCTGCAATATCAAACATTTAATTAAAGTGCAGCTTATTACTAGCAGTTACTTATACCATATAACTAAATAAATATTTCTCCTCATTTCCTTCCTTTCTCTTTTGTTCCCTCCCTCACACAGTTTTTCTCTTTTTCTCTGTCTTTGTCATATGACCACTAATTCTAGCCCTTAAAAATCTCCTGATTGCATCTCTAAGGACACTCCACCTAAATTTATTCTGCATGCATCTTCTCCAGTATTGCAGTTCATGTCCCTCAGCACTCCTTCACTTCTGTGATTCTCTCTAGGATGCTACAGAGCTCAGAGGAGCAGAATTGCGTGAGAAAGTCCATGGGCCATGTACCAGAGTTATTTAAGAAATTAAGTTGAGACATAATGACATAGAACAAGGTGGAAGGGTTGCTGCTAAGTAATTGAGAGACAGGGAACTCAGGAGGCAAGGTGAAAAAGACTCTAATTTAAGGTGAAATTTGACACATTTGTGAAACTGGTTATACCAAATGGCATGTCTCTAAATGGAAGCTGAAGTGAGTGGCAGTGTCAATCAAAAGAGAGAGAGAGAGAGACAGTTCTTCATTTAGGCTTCACAGGAGGCAGGAAACAGCTCTCAGTATCTCTCAGAGACAGGAGTATTTGGCTAAAAGTGAGCAATGGTGAATGAAGTTAAAAAAACCCAAGAGTAGAGGCAAGTAGAAGCAGATGGAAAATTTGATCAGAAAAAGAGTGAGGAAAAAGAAGGAACAATGATGTTGCCATCTGCTTTTTGTTTTCACTTCCTATTTTGCTTCCTCTTTTGCAAGAGTTGAAATACCCAGGAAGGAAAGTGTACTGTTGCTCAGCCAAGCCTCTTGAATTAACAAATTAAAAGGAAGCAGGAATGGGTAGATTCCAGTGGTAAAGCTCTCACCCAAGTCTGCTGTTCTCTAGCAGAGAGACAGAAATTATCTGACAGAGCAAACTCTTCTCACAGCGAGCAGGACAGAATGCCTCAGAATTAGTCCCTTCTGACACAGCTGATGGCATTACTGTAATCTGCCTTACTGGTATTCTGACAATGTCTTTCATGAGGGGGCATTATTTTTTAATTTGTATTTTTATTACATAAGGATCAAAAGGGATTTCTTTTTTCCTATCATTTGTATGATACACTAAGACAACAAGACATGCTTCAGAAACCTCATGCCTATAATCTGAATCTAGGTAAGATGTGCCCAAGGCTAATAATCTTTCATATCCTGTAATAACGTACATAAAGATCAAGCTGGAAGAAACAATTGTTCCCTTTTATATGTGAATAGGGTCCCTTTCAAATATATAAAAGGAATATTTTCCATCCAAGAAAGTGTTAATCTTTCCTTGATTGTGACAGATATATTTAAATTCTCAATATGTATAATATTCTGCAGAGGGGTGGATGAGTAACATTTATGAGTAATTTATTTGCACTTCACATTCAGTTCCACAGTGGGCACAGTGCTCTGCCAGATGTTTAATCAAGTTAATGCTGTAACTTTTATGCAATTCTCTACAACATAATTTCTTACGGACAGGCAAGTTAAATATAATGAAAAATTGCTCTGAAAACAAAATTGGATGTATAGTTAACAATAACAATTAATGGCTTCTGGCATGTTCATGCTATATCAAGTGCATGTGGTAGACTGTTAATTAGGGGATGGAAAGAACTTAGGCACTCTATCTCACCAAAAGGGAAAACCCCAAACTGTCTCATACTAGATTCTCTCCCAAAACTAGTCAACTGCAATCAAGTCATCTGAGGTGCTTCATTTTCTTTACAATGAGGTAAACTGGTGCCTGCTCAAACAGGTAATTTTTGACATCTGCCCTGCTCACGTATCTGGCTCTGGCTTTATGAACCTGTTAAGGTCTAGCACCCACTTTAAGCAGACCTAAAATTTCAAATAAATTTGGTGTTTAAGAATATAGTGTGTCTTTAGGTTGTGAAAGGAAGTCTGAATATCTGATTCTGCAGTTTGGATATGAATGGATGGACCTTGTTACTTTGATGTTGCTCACCAAGGTAATGTAAAGCCCTCCTCAGGGGCTCTTGAGGTAATTTGAGGTAATGTAAAGCCCTCCTCAGGGAGAGCCCACACAAAGCTGAACATGAGGGATGTAGAAGGAATTTGCAGACACAGTTTTGTCCTTCTGTCCAGAGGGCAGATTAAGCAGTTCAGCTTTTGGGAGGGGTGAGGATACTCAGCCTATGTCCAACATGTTTGTTGGCAAATATGCCCCAGAAGCTTGCATCTCCACCAATAAACTTTGCTGCCCAGAGGGACACTTTTTCTGGATCAAATTGTAGTAATTAGATTGTAGCTGCACTTTGTACTCTCACTTATGTCCCAACCATTACTTCTGCTTTAATTACTTATTGATTGGCCAGAGTTTATTTCACAGTTGGCATAATACAGAGCTTCACCATAAATCAGAACACAGCAGTGATGGTTGTCCTCTTGAGTGCTCTAAATAGAAGCCATGTTCCAAACAGAAATCTTTTCAGAGACAAGGGGAAGACATGGGGTTTGCACCAAAAATGCCACATCTTAATGGGTTATGAGCAGCAGACCTTGAGCCCCTATTAAAAGATGACCATTCTTTGTAGGGCAGTATCCAAGCTGTAGAGTTCCTGTGTACTTACCTCCTGCCTCTGGCAGTGTAGAGACCTCTGGCACAGAACACTAATCTCTCACTCTTTATTGTAAAGTGGGTACTTCAAAGCCCCTCTCCTACTAGTGAAGATAGTATCTCTAAAGGCAATAAAATCTAATGACCTATCCAGTTATTCCTAGCCTTTTAGAGTTTGTTTGAGTTTGTCTGAATGTGGCCTGTCTGTGAAATTTTGTGAGGTTGTCTCTATTTCTCCATGCACTGAATAAGAGTGGTAAGCATTTTGATGTCTTCTCTTGGTGAGGAAAGTGAGAAGAGAGATTCTGTGGGAGTGTTTTCCATGAATGAAGTGGAGCATACTTGTAGTAGCACTGAAAGTGGGTATTGAATCCTTGGGAATGGAAATAAGCACAGCTTTTAGTTTGATTTTAATCCTTATTCTTTTTGGCCCAGTTAACATTGTGTTTAAGGGCTTCTTGTGAAACAAAATAAATGCTTAACTCATTACTTATATCTAGGTTCTACTTTGGTCATAAAACTGCATCTGCTTGGTTCTGGTTTCTGGTACCTTACAGCTTTGTGTTTTCAAACTAATCCTTGGGAATTGCCTAAATTGCCTACTTCATGAACAAGTGCAGAACATCTGAGAAACCTTGGATTTTTTTATCTTTTCATGTCATATATCTGCCCCATGATCACAGAACTCCCACTGCTATTTGTATAGTATTTGCAGAGTTAGGAGAGAGAAGTCCTTTCCTGGTAACGCATTTCCTGAAAATGCAGCAGTTCCATGGCATGTTTTAGAAGTTGTGTAGGATATTTATATCATCTACACAAGCTCATGAGTGAAGCTCAAGATAAAGATTCACTATTTGTGAAACATGTGGTTTAAAGTAACATTTGTATCATGATGCTGAAAGGAATTTCAGTTCATTGTATGTCGCACCTTACAAGAGGGATAAAAATGAAGTCAAAAAGAGTCAAAAGATGTAGCTGGTAATTTATTTTAACCTACATGGTGAAAAAGTGAAGCTCAAGAAACTAGTCTTGCCAGAGTGCACAGGAAAGGTAATTTCCCATGAAAGGAAGAGGTGTGGAGTCATTCTCCCTGTCTGGCTAGTTCTAGTTTGGCTCGTAGTGGTATAAGACTGCTAACACTAACACAGTTTTAGTTTGGCTTGCTGACAATGATAATAGAATTTTGAACTGAAAGATCTTGGGCTCTTACCTTACCAAGTTGTACTGTGTGTATGTATCTGTGTGTGTGTGAGGCTTGTGGGGATTCATCACTTTTGGAAGAGGATTTTATTTGAAAATAATTAAGAGCACTCAGTAAAGACATTAATGGAATGTAACAAGGGGGAGATCATTTGAGGAACTAAGGGGATGAGTCTAGTATGTCTTGTGGTGTAGTTACTCTTGGCTCAGCAGATCTCATCCATTATTTAATTCTCATCCTGATAAGAATGCCAGAATGCCTCCTGTTGTCTTTCACAGTGTGGCACATAATTTCTGAACTTCTTAATAGGTGTTACATATGCTTGCCATGATGCTGGCCAGGACAACTGTTTGGAAACACACACTGCACATTAAGGACAAACTGCAGAATAGAATTTATCTGCCAGTTGTATTACTCTAGCTCAGGGTAGTGATTTGTGTTACTTTTTTTGTAGAGGCATCTTCAAATTACTGCTTTAAACTTAAACTTTAAAGAGAAAACAGAGCAGAGGCAAAGGTTAGATGCTGCTGGAAAGAATACCAGTCTACAAATAAAACGTGGAGAGAGTGTTGTGCATTGCAGGTCTTGGCTGCCTCTTTTACCCTTCCTGTTCTAGAGTTGGAGCAAAAGAAAGTGACAAACTTTTCAGGGGCCTTAGGATTAAAACAGTGTGGTGGAGTTAAATGAGCTTCTGGGAACTTCCTGGGAATTACCTCCAAATGCTTAAGTGAAGAAAGTGAAAAAGAGGAAAATACCCCAAGAACTGCCTGAAGTAAAGAAGTCGACTTCTATCAGCACAGCAGTGGTGGTCACAGAGCTGGCAGAACCATATTAAATCTTGCCAAAAAAAATTAGTTTTAGGTATAGGAAAACATACATTCACTTTATACCTTGTGCCTTTGGGTGGAAAAATTTAAAAAGCTTTGGAGAAAACACAGGCAAGTGTTAGCTGTTGCCATAAGGCAGAAACAGAGGAAAACTTAGGAAGTTATAAACAAGTTGGCATTTTCTTTTCAACGTGTTCAGCGAAGAAGAGGGAATTGGAGCTTGTTGGTGGAGGTAAGGTGTGACTGCTTCAAGAGCAAAGCAGTTGTTTGGGAGGTAAACTTGGGTGGGGATGAAAGGCTGAAAAGGTCAGCTTCTGGGGCTGGGAACTGGGGCAGTCAATAATGGATTGATGGTTTCAATGAGCTTTTTTCTCTGTGTACTCTTCAGGCTAGCTTAACAGATGCAGTGTCTAGCAAGTATTGTCCTCCAGGGCTAGTCTCCAATTTTATTATAATGATATCAGCTGTTGGCAAATTGTACTTGATGGAGAAAGTAGCCTTTTCTCATTTCATTTATATACTACATAATTATTCTTGTTATTTTTGATTTACATCTGTGCCTGTGGGAAGAGAATCAATCAGTGGACCAAGGCTTTCTTTGGTTTATGCTGGAATTTAAGATCCTTCCTTTGTTCCTAACTTTAGCTACTCATTTAAATGAGTTATGCAAGTTTCCTAGTCCAGATAGACACTTTCATAAATGTGAAATTCAAAACAGATCCAAATTTTACAAATTCCACAGTTTTCAGATTCAGTTTGTGGGAGGTATGGTAATGAAAAGGGTCAACTCCAAGAAATAATACAAGCTCCTCATGTAGTCTATGCAAAGCATTGTATCTATTGAATGAATCACCCTAAAACCAGATCACTTAAAAAAAACAGACTATTTACTTTAATCATCAATAAAAACTAGTTATCCTCAGACCTGAGAAGTTTTATTTGGGTTATTTACCACTCAGCAAGAGGAGAGATTTAGATGTGGTTTAAAAGGGAGATGGTATAAATGTAGGACAATCAAAAAGGAGAATCCTAATTTCCAGACTGTGCAAACAGTATGGTTATAGTAGATATTATTTTTAAAGTATGGAAATGCCTTCTCTTCTTTAACTCACCTGACCTTTCATCAGTCATTTTTGGATGGCCTTTATTCCATTCAAGAAAGGGAATACCATGGAGTAACCCCCAAAATAACCAAGTTATAAACAGTTGGCATGTCTGATTCATAGAACATTCGAGCCTGTCATGTTAAGTTCATAGGACGTTCAGTCTCTTCATATAGTACAGTGCTCTGGGGTTCTCAGAAGTTAAATATGAGAAGCCTATGACATTGTACTCATTGCTTACTCATTCAATTTATCAAAGATAGTTTTTCAAACACCTTTATCACTTTTGTCCAGAAAGATGGCATGATTTTTCTCCTATGGTACTGATTTCATTTCTGATTATTATTTTATTTGGTTAATTATTTTTATTTTTATCAGACTATTTTGGCTGCAGGAATGCATCCCAACACCCACAGATGCCATTTAGTGCTGAAATTCAAGCACTGGATGCCTACTGCCAGAGATGACACCCACTCACTAGGAATATTTATGCAGATATAGGGGCACGGCCTGAGCTGTGAACATACCTCATCCTCAAGAACACTCTGGCTTACATTCTCAACAGCTGCTCTGAGTCATAGCAGGCAGACATCCTAAGGGATTTCACAATGCCTCAGGGCAGAAACTGGTTGTATCTCCCTATTTGAAAAGCTCCAGCCTGCCCAGAAGAATTGAGAAAGAAAGGAATAAGTTAAATGTATCAGCCTGAAAACAAGGAATAACCAGAGATGAAAGAGTTCTTTCTTTCTCAGTTCAATGGTAGTGATCCCCAGGGCTAAACCAGAATGCTCCTCACTTATTTTGTGCCCTCTTTTTGTGCCCTGTATGGTTGCTCTGAAGTTGAAACCAACATGCATTGCAAGACTTTTCCCCCCACCTTTATCTGTCTCTGAAAGGTGAAACGTAGTAATACTACGTTTTCTAAGCAAAGTGGAGAAGACAGGGAGTGCCTTCTTTCTTAAATGTTGGTTCTCTTAGAATGCTTGTTATATAATAGAGAAGATTAATAACCAAAGAGAAGGCTTATTATTTATGTTATAAAAGTCTCTTAGCTACCCCAGAATGTGATTCTGAGCCTGATTGCAAAGTGATTGCAGAGAATGCAGTGTAGGTGGTATTTTTTAATATTTACAGTTTGCTAAAAGTTAATGGTTTTCTCAAATAATTTGTTGCACAAAAAGAGGTGCATATAAATGGAAACAGATCACTCATTATCTGCTACAAGAAATCAAGGCCTGTTTGCCATTTATGTATTGTAGAATGAACTAAATTTGCCCACACTGCTGTAAGGACTGTTTAGGTTGTAATGCTGTATTCTTCAAAATTAAACTGGTGTTTGGTTTCTGGATACTCTTTTCCTTGCCCTCAACTGAAGCCCTGTCAACCTCAGTGGAAGGAAGGGATTAGAAATGCTTTCTTTTCACAGGCCACATTTCCTTCTGCGTGTGTTTGCATGGACCATTGCAGTTTTTCTTTGCAGTCATCCAGACCTCTTCTCTTTCCTTTACATGTTCTGTGGTGGAAGCCACTTAATTCTGTTTGGTATCTCCTGTTGTCCTTCTGGGAATTACAGCAGCTGTATGTGTGTGATGATACATTGAACTTTGGTTTTATATGAATATTTAATCAAAGTTGGGGTACCAGACCAGTTTCTGTAAGAGAATAATAGAACCAGTTTCTGGAACAGAGAAGTCACCCTGAGGCATGGCTGTGTTCCAGATCTCAGTACTATTGAGAGTACACAAGGTGTAGGAACTTCTACCACATGGAAGGGTGAATGTCACTGAAAAATCACTGTCTTAGTAAATGTCAATATTTTAGTGGAGGGAACAGCACTATGCATGGAATATGTGAGTATGCAATGCCAAAAAAAAAAAAAATAATAAGCTTGCCTTTAGCTTTATTGTACCTCCTGCTTTCCCATTGAGAATCTTGATAATGGAATGTACAAAGTTATCATTAGTAATAGTGAATTTCTTGAATATAATCACTGCCAGTACATGCTTAGGATATAGATGAGTTACACAGTGTATCTCTATCATTGATCATGCATGTAGGATCCATTAAAATTTATAAAACAGTTTTCAATGATTAATCACATTCCAGACATACTGTGAATATAATGAATATAAATAATGTTTATGAGGGAGAAGAAGTTGTTTAAGAAACATATCTTTGTTTCTGATCAAAACAACAGAAGAAATATCATTTATCTTATCGCCTTTAGCTTTGAATTAAGTAAGTCTTATAATTTTGAACAAATTAACTGCAAACTGATAAGACTGCAGCGCTACAGGTGTGCAATTAAGGCACAACAAAAGAGGGTTTATTAGACTTTGAATGTCATTTGGAAGTTTTAATTGCCTTTGCAAGCTAGGGGAAAGTTCATTCTGAACATTTTACTTATCTTCCAGGAACCATAATTATGTCAGAAGAATTGCAAGATGCTTTAGATAATATTTACGACGCTAGAATTCCAAAACTGTGGTCTAGGATTTCCTGGGAGTCAGCTACTTTAGGATTTTGGTTTACTGAGCTTCTTGAGCGAAACCAGCAGTTCAGTAGCTGGCTGCAGGATGGCCGTCCAAACCAGTTCTGGATGACAGGATTCTTTAATCCACAGGTAAGATTGCCACGTTGCCACTCATAACTTCTGAGTAACAGTTAAATTAGACCTTGGGAGAACTTCAAGTTGACTTAATATTGACTACATGAAGTATAATCTATATTAATTTTTTAGCATAAATATAGAATAAAACGTCTTTGGTATCTACTGAAGAAATTTTTTGCTAGAACAAAATAATGCTTCTGAAATAATGAAATACATCTTTTAGCTGCTTTAATTATAATGAGGAAATTGGGTAAGTACATGCTTTCGCACTTCAACTTAATCTTCCTTTTTTTTAGCTCTTCTACTACAGTAATTTGTTTTTTATTTATTGCATGAAAATACTTCTGAGTACAAAACAAGATAAGTTCCAGAACTTTGACATAGGAAGAAGAGATTTGGACTTGGTTCTCAATCCTTGCAAATCAGTTCTTTGAAATGTAAGGTCTGTTATTCATACCACCCCAGAATTGTGCCAGACATGGTCTGCAGAGACATATAAAAAATACAGCCTCTCATCTGCACCATCTAAAATAAAAACCTGGCACAAAATGAAACACCAAAAAGGGAACAGCTGAGAGTAGAGTTAAAAGAAGTAAAGTATACATACCTAGATGATGTGTAGTTTCTTTGCAGAGCTATCCACATTCATTAAAGCTTTTTATGATTCACAGATGTTTGTGGGAAGTGTGAGTTGTGGTAATGAGTCATTGTGAGAGTATCCAGCCAACAGGTTTCTATGAAGCCTTAGGAAAGAGCTATTTTAAAGATCTATTTTAATCTCAGTACTTGTTAGCAATGCAAAAGCTAGCTTTAACAGCTGCCTAGAATAGAGAAAACAACAGTGGCAAATATTCTCTAGGACTACTGCTGGGAAATATCCATCTATCATCTAACCTGTGTGTGTCAGCTGTCTGCTGGTACAACTTTATAGCATGGAAGGGGGCTCACAGAACCCCTGAGCAAAGAGTTCTCGAGCAGGAGGGAGAGGAGTAGGAGTTCTAATAAAATGATTATGCTTCCACACTTGGTTTGCTAACGACACGCTGATAGCAACATTCTAAAATACTTCAAAGTAACTTTTGCAATGATCAGGCTGGATGCAACCCTAACAGCCTTTTGGCTTTGTTGGTGTTTGCTTTTGCTGTACAGATGAGCAAAGGCTGATAGAAATTTTGTACTGGACATTTCAGCTGATTTTTTTGTGCTCTGGGGTTGTGTTGGTTCTGAAATTTTGCCAGCCCAAATTTGGCAGCCTACATTTTTTTGGATCAAAATAGCTGGATTTCTGAAAAGAGCTGCCAAATAATCAGTGTAAAATGTCCCCAAACAAATTGTGATTTAATAGACCATAGTAAATGAGAAAGCCTCTAGAAATACAAAAATTACACACTTCATAACCCCTAGTTCTTAAAGTCCCTAAATACATTGTGTGCAGAGATTAAAAAATTTATTTGTGCTGACAATCACAAGCTTAAGAATCAGATGGTTATTGTAGTCACCATTTTCTGTAACCTAAGCTGTGGGAGTGGCTCATTCTAAAAGCAATTCACCTGAGCAAAGACTAATTTTCTATTTAATTAACTATTACTTTGTAAATTGTCATACTGCTGTGTTTAAAATCAGTATTTTACGTGTTCAGAAAATTGATTTTTGTCTTCTCAAACAAGCTGAGGTGATGAGGTGTTAGTGCTGCAGTTCTAATGGCTTGTTTGTAATACCTGAGAAGTTGTCAGAAAAATCCTTTCATTTCTGAGATGAAATGCAGCTCCTAAGTAATTTGCCTACTTGCATATATCTCACTGTTAGCTTCACAGTCAATGGATAAATGCCACGGATAACACAAGGCAATAAAATAGATTTATAGCACTGGGAAAAAGAGACATTCTGGCAATAAAAAATAATATAGGATCAGACTCTGCCTTCTCTTGGATTGTTTATACACTAGGATAAATTCAGTAATTTCACAGAAGTTAATCTTTATTTTTAGTGATACAAATGAGGTCTGGCTCAGACTTCTGTGTAAAAGAAACCTGATTCCCCATGTGTGTCTGCATTGGGCTGAGATAACTGGGGTGAAAAATGCAAGAAATGCCATGAATTTTCTTCCCTCCTGGAAGTTAATCTGAGGTTACTGGATTTTTTCATCAAAAACTTGACATTAGGCATTTCTCATTTCTACCTCCCAATTTCCATTTAGTGGCTGACACTGTTTTATTGTTTCCTTGTTTGCATGTCTGTGTCCTGTTCCTGTCACTTGTCCTATATATAGATTTTAAGCACTGTGAGGCAAAGCTGTCCTTCTGGTTGTGTAGTATTCAGCATAATGACACCTCAACCTACTTCTATGATCCTTAGATGCCAAAGTAATGTGAATACTAATCAGAATATGAAGTAGAATGCCTCCATTCCTCAGTGTCCACTTAATTCTAGCAAACCTGCCATAAACTTCTCAGTATTTGCAAAGTGACAAACAAGGAACCTCCAAAGATAAGGTAAAGGAGAGAATATGATTCTGAGAGCAATAGACTTAACTGATTTTCATGGTTTTTTGTCATAGCCTCCATGTGTGTCTGCTTTCTCTCACTAGAAGGTTCAGAGTTAGTTCTCATGGGTTTTTAAAAGGCAAAGGGGCAAAGCTTCAGCAGGCTTCAGTGAACTGGACAGGGAGAAATTCAGGAAAAGGCAAACACACATATACAAGAAAAATACCAATACCTTAACCAACCAACCAACCAACCAAGAAAAACAAAACAAAAAAGAGAAAGGATTACCAGAAACTGAAACAAATGTCATGGCAACTGGTGTATTATGTCTCTGACAGAGGATTTTGGGATCAGCCAGAGCCTCAGCTGTAGAGTGGCACCTCAAACCACTTGATTCTGTCTTGCTCTTTGTTGTGCCATTCACCCACTCTGGAGCACCCAGCTGGGCCTCCAGCTCACAACTGCAGTCTTCAAATGCTGTCTAGGATTCATTCAAATGAGAAGATAAGCATGAAAAGTCCCACTGCAGAAAGTGTATAGGTCCTGCCATCTCTAGGAATAATCTGCTATCTAAACCTTATCCCTGAAGACAACTCACAGCTTGGAGCTTACTTTTATTCCAATGTTTCCATGGTGCCTTTGAACTGATTCCCTTAATACAGTCATGGCTCTGTCCTCTTCAGGCTCTTCTTTCTTTAATATTTCAGTTTATCTGAGACCCAGTAGCCCTCTGGGGCCTTACAGCAGTGAACACTTCATGTATTTTAAACTACTGGTTCTAGCATGTTTCTACAAATTAAAATTCTACAAATTACTGCAACGATTCTGCTTTCATTTAATGGCATTTCTGATAGAAGAACTTGGCCTTTAATCCTGTCTCCCTCAGCTATACACTGGAGTTCTCAACTACTTCCAGCGCAATTACTGCTATCTGTGCTATCACAAAGCCTCTTTAAAACACTTGTCCTGGAGTCTCTGGTATTATATTAATGAGGAGCAACCAGTGTGAGTTAACAGAAACATCTGGGCTCCTGAGAGTCATCTCACATTCTCATAACTTGAAGGGTATTGCATGGCTACTAAGTGCTCAGAGCACTCCAGTCCCATCAGCCAGAGAGTGGCCTCTGCGTTCAGTAGGCAATTTGCTGATTTTCCCACATCTCACTTCTTTCCATTCGTTTGGCCCTAATGGTAGCTCAACAGAGCATCCTGCTCTGTGAATATTGAAGATAAAAATATTTTTTAATTCCCTCATTCCCATCCTGATTTCTTCCTTGCTGTGCTGTTGCCTCAGTGATTCCCCGCTTTGTGTGTTGCTCATGTGGCTCTCTATCCCCCCATCTCTGTCTCCAGATGCTTTAGTTCCCTGTTCTGAAATAGGTCAAGAAACTTACTCTTTCCTAGGTGTCCTTTTCATTGCTCTTGAACATTCAATTTTGTTTTTTATTTGTTCACCTCCTTACTACAGAAGTGGATTTCCACAAGGTAAAATAATGTGTACATCTGCAGCATGATCACTGGAACAGCAAAGGAGTCTGCCCTCCCATCTTTAAGGACTAAGGGACTTCCCACATACTGAACTGTGCTTTCCCATGGACAGCTGTATCAGGGAAGCTAACCAGCATATTCAGCCTGGTTTGTCTTTTGATAGCTTATACCACTGTCATGAGATTGTAGCTCTCTAGAACAGAGAGTTTTATTCTGTGCTGCTGGAGTGCTCTGGGTTTATCTCACTGTTGTCTAAAACACTATGTTATTGTTGTATATAAAGACTTCATTGAGCAAAGTGTCAGAGGCATTTCAGTATCTAATGGCATGATTCCAGCTGGTACTTCCTTTATGTTCTGTAAAATGCTTATTTGTTGACTGAAAAGTATTTCTTACAATGTTAGTATAAGAAAAGATGAATAATATAGTCAGTGTTAGAGAAATTAGAAATCACCTGTGTTTGGAATCTCTCAAAACACATTAATCTGGCAGCCTTATATACATCTCTCCATCTGGTTGGTTGTAAAAAAAGGCATGAGAGGTGAGTTATACAGACACTTCTGATATGTTGAGCAAGCCAACTTGGGGGCTGCTTAGCACCAACATGTGCACATCAATTATGTATGGATGCTTGGTACTGGATTTGCACTACTGAATTTAGTTTATATGAACGTGAAATTCTGTGGGACGAGCTTTAATACAGCTGGTGTCACATAGGAAAAAATAAAAAAGGTGTAAATGGTTTAAATTCAAGGCTTTTAAAAAAATCCTCTCTGTCTGTCATATTCCTGTGTGTCTCCTTAGGGATTCCTAACAGCCATGAGGCAAGAGACAACTCGCATGAATTTAGCCAAAGGATGGGAACTGGACAGTGTTGTTTTATACAGCGAAGTGACCAAGATGATGAAAGAAGATGTTGTTGGCCCTCCTCCTGCTGACATTGGTGGGGTTTACATACACGGCCTGTTCCTCGAAGGGGCTGGCTGGGACCGCAGGAACAGCAAGCTGATCGAGTCAGCACCAAAGGTGAGGATCAAGTGAGTGTAGCAGGCTGTGGCATATTGCATGTGCTCTGGGAAAACTGGGAAGAATGCTTAGTGCCTGCAGCAGTGGTTTCACAACAGGTTTTAAGAGGGTAACCAACTAGCAGTGCTGGGAAGAGGACAGACTCTACCTGCCAAAAGTGAACAAAAAGACTTCCGTCAGAAAATGAATTTAGGATGCATAGCAGTACAGCAAACCAGATGCTGGGCTTCTTGGCTTGAGGGGCCCTAGCAGCACAGTTATGTTTGAATAAAATAGTGCACCCCATAGCCAGTCTTCTTTTGACTGACCAAGAGGGACCTTATCAAAGCTTCCAAAGCCCTGGGCTAGGTTTGATATGGAGGTCATTGTTTGGTTGACGAGAAATCCCTAGTATTTGTATTTTAATATGAGGGAGAGTATTAGTTCTGGGCTTATGCTCAGTTATCCATCCATAGAGTTACATTTTACTGATGTGACTAAGCAGATTTAAAAATCTGGCTATGGAGTAATGATTAGATACTGTAGTCATGGTCCAGGGAAAATTGTCGTTGTTTGCACTGGTACTTTTTCCAAGCCAGTGCTAACTGTCCTGGAATTGGAATTGAGGTAATTCCTGTCCATAGGTAAAACACTTTTGTGTCTGACTGAGGGAAAATTTTCCAAACCAAACCTTGCCAGCTGTAACTTCTGTTGCCTGGTTTGTCAAAAGACCCCTTCAAACATGGAGTTTACTCAAGTGCTCTGGAGTGTTCAGCAGGGCTCCATGTTGCTCTTGGATCTGGGTCCATTTTATCCCCTGACAATGAATACTTTGTTTTGGTGGAAGACCTGAGGAGATCTAGTTTGGATAAACGCCCAAGAAGCACCTTGGATGTTAGAAGCTCCACTGTCAGCAGTGCAGAGGTAACAGGGAGGGTTGCAGCTTGGCTTTTGTAGCTCTAGACCTGACATTCAGGAAAAAGGTGGGGAAAGAATGGAAAATACCAGTGAAAAGGGCAAAGGAAGGGAAAAAGACAATGGTTGCTGTTCTTCCTAGAACCATTGACATTTTTCCATCTGTCTCTGCAGCATGCAGATTTCCCTGTTCCTACTTTTCTGCTTTCCTTCCAACAGGCTTCCTGATAGCTGTTGTTCCTGTGCTGCCATGGGCTTAAAGTTAGTGTCAACATAGTAGTGAGTGTAGGACTTGTACAGTCACGTGTACCTCTGCTGAGGTGCGTTTGCTGAAGGCCATCACTGAATCTAGTTCTAGTGTTTAGAATTCAGATGCCCTCTCCTGCTTCTGTAATGCTGAGCCCCGTGTATCTTTTAACCTTCTCAGGTGCTGTTCACGAGCCTTCCCGTAGTCCACGTGTACGCTGTTAGCACGGCAGCGCCGAGCGACGCACGGAAGCACCATGGAAACGTGTACTGCTGCCCTGTCTACAGAAAGCCTCGGAGAACAGACCTGACATACATCTTCTCTTTGTATCTGAAAACAGTGCAGAACCCTGATCACTGGACTTTGAGGGGCGTTGCACTGCTCTGCAGTTCGAAGTAAGGACAGACAGCTACGGAACAAAGAACCATCAAGCAGGATTAATCTGCAGCCAGTATTGCATTGTTGTTGTCAAAGTGGTGGCTACCTTCTCACTGTGGGGTGGGAATTGTCAGGTGATACATAGAGATTAGGTTAGTTGCACATAAATCAGCTTCCTCTGTTCACAGCAAAAATACTACATGTATTTACCCTGGGAATATCAGAGGGAAAACAGCTGCAGGTGTAAATTTGGCAACTCTTATAAACCAAGTGAGAATATAATCAACTAACTTGCTCATAATGGAAGCACTACATAAAAAAGTGCTTATGATAGTGACAAATGCTCTGACATCTTATGGTGGTCTTTTGTAGATGTTATCTTTCTTTTTAATACAATAATGTTTGATAATATAATATAATTATTTTAAATTCAACTTTGTAGTTAAAATCTCATCATCCATAGCATTATTAAAGCTGTAATGACAAGATAATTAAATGCATGGTAGAGTTTTATGTTTATCTGCATATATTTCAATACACAGTTCCTTTGATTTTGCATTTCTAAACTTGCTGGGTGGTTTTACTAATGGCTGCGACCATTTTGTTGAACAATCACTTTTTAATGCAAACAATCATAGAAAAAGAAGTGTTTATCTTTGCACAAGTGCCTCTTGCACCTATTAACTCGTTTCAAAACCTATATCCACTTGTAAGGAAGTTGTGCACACCCCCCATTATTAGCAGGAAGAAAAATTTGAATGTTTTCTCATAGTAAACACATCTGAACACCATTTTTGCTCTATTAACACTCATTCCATTTGCATTAGTGCCTGAATCCTGCAAATTCAAACCTCTTAACTTCTTGTTGTTCTGTATTTTGCATCAGTTTAGTTTAAAAAAGAAGACAACACACAATCCATACTTCACCTGGAATGGTCGAAGTACTTTTGTGTTAACCACTGCTCTCTCTCTCTCTCTACCCTGTAACTGAAGGATGTGATACTTCTTTTAATAGACAGATGGCTATTGGTGGAAAATGTGTTTGGCTTCTTTCACTAGCACAAATTCAAAGCAAAAGAAATTGTTGTTGGATGTTATGAAAGAAGGACTTGCAATCAGGACTTTGTTAATATTTTTTTTCTCCTTGTAAACACTTTTAATTTTTGTAGAGCAAGTGTCTAACAAAGTAGTTCATCCCTTGGTATAGCCAGTTTTACTCTGCAGTTAGCAACTGCAAGGCTTATTCCACGAGGAAGTTTGATATTCACACTCACACCCACAACCAAGTACAGAGTGCCAGCTTTCTTCTTGGAAAACAGAGCAGACAGGGACAGGGTCCCTTTTTTCCATTTAGCTAGGAGCAACAGTGCTGGCAAGATTATCTTTTCAAGTGAAACCAACTGTTCCAAAAAAATACACCAGACCTCCCTGCAGTGCAGCTGTACATCAACCAATTTCATTGAGAATTTTTTTTCTGAGAATGCTGAAGGATTTGGCTTCATGATCATTGATCTTGGAAATTATGGAAAAGAGGGGGGAGACTTCAAGCAGCAAAGGTCTGTGCTGTTCCACAGAAACTGAGGCTGCAAACCATAGTGCTTTCCCCATCCCCTACCTTTATTTAACTTTATTGGAGTAATTTAACCTTCATCTCTTGGTACATGTAAAAGTCCGATCAATAACTGTGATAGTAATTTCAAATAAAAAATTTAATACGTGAAATACTTTGCACACCTGAGAAACTCACTGCTTGCTATGAAACAAATCCTCCTCTGACCAATTGAAGCTAGAAGTAAACATTAAAAAAATAGATGTTTGATAGAGCTTCTATCTGGTGCTACGTTATATGCCCCATGGAAACTGGAAACGTGGAAACTTCTTTTCTTTGTCAAGCAAAATAAGAAAATTAAATGCTATATGAAGAAAATCTATAGGCAATGATGTTCTATCATATAGTGTTCTGCTGTATAAAAATGCAAATAAATAACTTATTTGAACATCAAAATTTTCATTTCAATAACTAAACCCTGTTTATCAGTTTAAAAAATGCCAACCCTTGCAGAACAGAATGCAGGCCATATGACTGAAGAATCAGAAAATTCATACAGTATTTCACTGAAGATAGCTAGAATTTTATACAGAACTGAAGAACATAAAGTGACTTTACCCCAAAAAGGCTTCTTATCACTAGTAAAGAACACCAAACAAAACCTTCAGTATATCCTACAAGCAAAATGCTCTTTCCTTGTTGCATGTGATTATAGTAGAGCGGAGATGAACAATTTACTATTGACAGAAATATGTTCCTTTCCCCACCTCTGTCTCTTTCTCTATGCTGCCCTTCCACTCAGTGGAGTTGCTGCTCCCAATCTGACAACATTAATTTGATTTGAAATGTCACTGATACGGTAAAACATTGACCTTCCCCAACCAGTGTTCCCTAGTTACTATTGCTAAAGCTGTTTCACTTCAAGTGGGATGTACACCAATCTAAATGAAAGAACTGGCAGGCAGAATACTTGAAATCAAACTAATTATATTTGAATGATAGATTAACAATTAGCTGTAAGTCTTCAAACAATGTATATAGATAACCGAGTTATGCTCTTCTGTTAAAATGAACCCGAGATATTAAATACAATCATACAGCTTTTGGCAATATAGTACAAGTTTCACACAGATAGTAATGACTAACATTGCTTTAGATAAGTGCTTTGAAGGCAACTCCATTTAAGAATGAAGAGAGCAATACAGTCCTGCACCCCATGTCAGCGTAGCAGTCATGTTTACAAACATATCTGATGTCAGGGCACTGGCTCCTGAGAGTTGCAAATAAACAGCATTCCATAGTCCAAAGGGTGTCTGTCTCATAATCCCTGAGGCTGTGACTGGTCAATAATGACAATGATAGGAAAAAAAGAATTGGGTTATGGATTGGCCCTGTACATCTGTGACTTTGTAGAATAGATTTTAATTGCAGTGAAACTCGGAAAAAACACAGAGAGTGGAAAAAAGCAATTCCCTTGTCTGGTCAGTTATATTCATAAATCCTATGATCCTCTGTAAAGAATAATAATTTTCTAAAAAAAATCTCAAGGAAACTGTGGTTATAATATTCTAACTTTTCTCTCAATTTATCCAGAACCTATGCATTCATCTTATTCCACTTTTACTGCTTCATATAATTGCCTTTCTCACAATCTCCTCTTTCCAAGACATGAATACTATACCCCCTTCCTTTTTCCTCCTGCTATTCCATATTTAATGTGTCTTCTTTTTTATTCTTACTTCATTAATGCACAAAACACATTGCTTACTTACAACAAACCTTCCTATTCCAGAAGTCTGGAAATAACCTGTAGTTGTTTCAGGATTTTCTCTTTTCTACTAAGAAAAAACACAATTTACTCAAAACCTATGGTTCCTACCACATTTTTTCATACTGTGGGTAAAGCGGGAATTTGCTCTTCCTGCTTTTTCTGCGAGGGTCCTTAAGTGATAATATTTGTACAGCTAAATGACACTTTTCATAGTTCTTCCTTTTGGTAATATGAAGCAATAGCTTTGTTATTGTTTTCTGATTAGATGAGTTGGTATAACATAATGGAAATAAATTTTATACTGTTGTACATGAAACGATAAGAGTGATTAGGCTGTAAAGTGACTGCTAAATCAATCTTGGAAATGCAGCAGATTCCCATCTCCCTTTGACACTGTGAGTTCCATTTGGGTTAATGATGGCTATCGGCACACACCGAGACAGAGGGGGAGCCCCTTCATTCAGTTTGCATGGCTTGACTTTTGTCAGGAAGACAACACTACAGACATCTATGTGGATGGCAGAACAACACCAACACGGTTTGTGATATAACACAAATTCACACATTTTTCTAAAGCTGAGTGAGTACATACTGTGTTCTCTCTTGCTCAGTGAGGACAGTATGGGGTGTGTGCTCATTGACTCCTTATACTGATTGCTTTAAGTCTAGCAAAGGGACGTCATCATCACCTCCTCCTCCTCCTCCTTCTTTTCTTTCCTGCTTAAGGACAACTTCTGGGATAGTCACCCCTATTTCAGTTGACTGGGAAGCACCTTTTGTTGCACTATTCTTGTCTTTCTTTACCTTAGTGATCACTTCTGTGTAAGAGATTTCTTCAGTGAAGGGCTCTGCTGCTGGGAGCTCAGAGGCAATGTGTACACTGGATTCCTGGATCCCCTCCTGACCTTCGGCTCCTGTTCGTTCTTTACTTTTTTTATGGATCTTGAATGTCTCCTTTGTTGGAGCAGCTTGTGAAATGGTTTTCTTGATCCTCATCCCAGATTGTCTCAGTCTCTCTCCTGACTGCCTGATCCTCTCTCTCCTCTCAGGGGTTACTATCCTAGTTTGAAGCCTGTTTACCTTCTTGCCAAAATTTTGCCTTGTCTTTTGGATATTTTCCCTTGAAAATGCCTTTTTGATGTCATCAATGCGCCTCATGCCTGATTTCTTGAACTTGGTTGCTTTGCTTTCTTCGATATAATATTCTTCATCAGAAGACAGATCATCAGGTGGGAAGAAATCATCCTCTATAGTTTCACCTGCTGTCATCTCTTTGATAACAGAGAGAGATGAAGGACACTCGGTTTCCTCCTGTGAATTAAAGCAGAGAGTTATGTTCCAGCAAGCGTGTTTCAAAAAGATGGTGGTTCAAAGTTTTTTTTTGGTTGGCTTGTAGTTAATTAGTACTAACTGAAATATAGTACTGTAACAAAGTAAGGTAGACTTGTACCATCATACCTAATCTATGCAGAACACAAATGGCAAAAGAAATCTGTACCAAGTTCTCTAAAGATATTATATTCCTGATTAAAGATTTCTTTTCACTGTGGTTCTACCTGAAATTAATTAATGTAATGGTCCTACAAGTCCTCTAATGGTTTTCAGACCAAACTTGTCTAGGTTTTGGGTTTGTTTTTTTTTTTTTTGAGCTTATATGTGTCTCTGGATTGGACCTAGATCCATTATTCCTCACCAATAAAAGCAGACACTGTAGACAAAAAGGCTCTTGGGCTTGTGTCAGCTGTACACTGTCCAACAAATGCCTCAATGATATGAGTAGCTTCAGTCTACTACTATTACAAAGACAATTGTGCATTTTTGACTGTTTGGAACTTAACAAACACTGCTGCTTCTGCCCAGAAGGGAATGAACCCCAGCATATTAACTTACATGTGCTGGCTGCACAAGGGAACAAATCAGTAAAGCAGGGAGATGTTATTTGGTAAACCCAGTAACACACAATTCATTCAGCACCTGCGCCATCACTGAGGTGAACATGATTTGCTCCATCTGGAAATGTATGATATTGCTGAGCAAGCACTTCTGTCTCCTGTGGTGAATTTGGTGGCCTGTTGGAGCATGCAGAATTATATATTTATATGACACATCTAATGTGTATCAGCAGCATGCTTGGAAATGATGGCTATCCTAGACATCTTAGCCCTAGGACTTCATGCAGACTCTCAAAAAAAAATAATTTCTAGAGGCTCAAAGCTCAAATACATGAAAGAATTCCAAAAACTGTCCACAGTAAACATAAAAATTTATCAAGGATGAGCTAGTGGTTAAGGATATCCGAGAAAAAGAAAAGGGAAAAAAGTTTATGGCAATGAAGAATTTATCTGAACAGGGAGAATTTCCTAAGAAAGCTGTTTTCCTGATATGGATGGACAGTACAGATTTGTGGCTCAGTGTCAGTGAGTTACTTCTATCTAGAAGTGCAGTGCATGCCGAGCAGAAAAACTGTAGCTTGTAGGAAGGGTAGGAGATAGACAGTGCCACACCCTTCTTCCCTACCAGCTTTTTACATGCACGTGCCTGTGCTCTTCTCCCAGGACAGCAGCCCTTTGGGGTGCAAACAGCTGTCTGAACAACAGCTGCATGACGCTTTTCTAAGCTGTTTCTCATTAGTACTAACTACTTCAGCTGATTTCTGGGGCATGGCAGTGTCAGGACTCTACCCTTAGTATTATCATCCTAATGGAGACAATAGGAGAGATACTGAAGCTGTGAACCCATGAATAGCAAGTAAGGCTAACTGAATATTTTGCTGTGAACTTCTTTCTGGTCAAAAAGATGTCTGTCATATTTCACAGTGACTCATTAGTAGTGAGTCATGTTATTTTATATAAAATAACATACATTGAGCTATTTGACAGATAAAGCCCACTTAAGAGTCTCTCATCATGCCTTGGCTTCAATAAAAACCCTCAACTAAAATAGTTGTTAATGCTTAGGAAAAAAAAGGGATAAATTATGTTACATTGATTACAGCAGAATGTTGTTCGACTCATCTGTCAAAATCAGCAGGAACAAAACTACAATGCTTTGCTAATAATCTTCATTAACGTGCAAATTAACATTAATTATATAAAGACTTCTACACATAAACATAATCTCTTTTTTCCTGAAAATTAACTAAAAACACAGCTGGATAGTAATTCCTTAAAATGTTTTTAAATTATACCCCACTCCTTCAGCTGAAATGGTAACAAAACTATTTCCAGAATGAATATTCTGAAATTTCAGTGCATACAGAGATGAATACAATATAGAGGAACACTTCATATGAAGATTACTTTTTAAAAAGAAGGAAGGCAGAGACACTATTTTCTCTGTAATATTCGTCTTCCTTTGGAAGAAGAATTTGTCTGTACTTTTTGTCAATTGCCAGATTTTTATTGTGTTTACTTTTAGTCTGTTAGCTACAGAAGAGAGTACTTTATCTTTCCTACTCCCATTAGAATCAAAAGTTATGAACAAGAACATGTGAGATGAAGATCTTGTAGATGAGATACAGAAACTAGAGCTGCATGCAGATACTGAGAAACAGTTTCATTCTCCTACAGACTCTCAGCATGAACTTTGCCAAATCTTTGATTTTCTTATTTTCCTTGGTCTCTGCACACATTTTGCAGAACCAAATGTAGCAAGGCAAAACATCAGTGTGAGTTTCTATCTCCTCTCAAGATTTCTGGATGTTACCGAAGTGGAAAGTATTAGTGAGCCTGTCTAGCATGTTAGGAAGGTTTTGGAATAAAAAATCAGTGAGTTAGGCTCAGTAGGTGAGCTTTTTCATCTATTTCATTTCTCTCTCTCCTGCTCCTGACTCATTTCTTCTTATCACTAGATATCTGTGGGGCAGAGAGAAGAGAGAAGCTCATCCTTCCTAAGGCAGGAACAAGAAGATTTAGTACCAAGTGGGAAACAGAGTCAAAGCATATAGCTACCAGCTCCTTTATAAGCTCACTAAAACCAAAAGAACAAACACCTACTGATTTCAGCAGCACAGAACAAAGTCCTAAATTGGGTGAGAGCTTTCTCCTTGTCTAAAGCAGATGGGACTGGGAATAGCAGGATTGGGCAGTCCAATATTTGTGGAGGGTGAGAAGGGAGTTGAGGCATTGGTACTGCTGCTTCCAAGGTTTTTGTTAAAAATCTGCTTAAGGATTTTGCTAGGAAAAACTTGTACTCATAACCACCACTCATGGGAGGTAAGGGAGGGTCTAGAGTGAGGGCAGAAGATTATTTCACAGTAAAATATTATACCAAGCAGTCAATTATTTTTAACATGATTTCTTGAGGATATTGGCATGCAGTCATAGGAGCTATCTATCATTTAATACATAGGACATGTTCTCTGCTTGCCTCATCTACTGGCAGAAACCAAAGACATGCACAGGCTAGAATCAGAAAACAAATTAGTGGAAGCTGAGCATTCCCCTTCCTTTTCATCACTCCTCCTAGAAGGACCACCTGCAGAGGGTGCTCACACTGGTCCTGGTGTGTTTGCTGGCCATAATTACTAATTGGACATAATCCCCTGAAAAGTTATCCACCACTCAACACACTGGAAACAGACTTAGACCTTTCAAACAGAACAATATTTTTTCCTTCTCTTCCAAGAAAAGGGTTGCTAAATCTGTCAGGTAAGTATTTGATTTGGAAGTTGTCTTTGATTTGTACAAGAAGTGTAACACACATACAGATATTATGCATCTCCCACCTTCTCACCCTTACATGGCCCCTCCATTAACACAGAAACATTCAGGCATTTTTCATCAATTTGAGAATGGATCTGGGTTCTAACACAAAGAAATAAGTGCTCTTCTGTGAAGCTGGCTGTGTTTTGAGTCGTTCTGTCTGTCCCCCCCCAGATGATATCTGTTCTGAGCAAACATGTCATGGCTGAGGTACCTTGCTTGTAGAGTTGAAGGTTGTCAGGGGACAAGGGGGCTGAGAAGAAGGGTTGTGTCTTATTAATGGGTGTAAGAGGAGGGAGGGGAGAAAGAAGTCAGATTAGATGGTGTGTTGAAACTGGAAATATTTTGGAGAAATGCTTGTGTCTGGAAGGACATGAAGCCTGAAA